AAAATGTAGCCCCCGAAGGCAAGGGCCGAAGGTACTAGACGTGCCTGGCCGAACGCCCCGTGAAAGGGCCCACGAATCCCCCGATCTTCGGTGTCCATCAGGCAGTTATCTCGGAGGGTTGGCTGCGCCCCACCCAATGTTGATCCGACAAGACTGCAGGTGTTGGTGCGACAGATGGGCGATGCTGGCGACTCTTATAGTGGCGAAGAGGTCACTGGCGGGCAGGGAACAATGGATAACTGACATCGGCTCACTAGCAGGACGACAATGGCGTTTCACACTGTGGCTGATGCACCGTGAAACGCCGGACTTTGTGGACACACCCTCGCAGAGCGCCGGCACGGACTTGGCACTCCCTTGTCAGCATGCTCACAACAGACCCGGACGTCTCCCCAATCACGCGCAACTCACCGTTCCTCCCACGAGGGAATGGCTAGCTGTTCCGAGCTCCGTCGACCTTCGGAGCTATCCATCCATTGTCTTCACTTTCCCTCAGCACCGCCCAGACTCAAAGACAACTCAACGTACAATGAAGCACCTCTCCGACGTCTCCCCCCACCCACAACCCCCGCCCACGCTGACCCAATGCAGATCCAGCCATCAGATACCTCCCTCCTCGTGACCGAGCCGTACTTCAACCTGCCCAACATCCAGGAGACGTACGACCAAATGGTCTTCGAGGAGTGGGAGTTTGACAGCTACTACCGGTGTACTCGTGAGCTATCCGTCGATAGTACAAGCTGACAGCAGCGGCGTCGCTGATTCCCTACGGAGGCATGTTCAGCAATGAGACCGACATTCCCCCCGAGTGCATGATCGTCATTGATGCGGGGTACTCCTTTACGCACGTCGTGCCGATCCAGGGCGGCGAGGTTGTGTGGGAGCACGTCAAGCGGTAGGCTTAAAGGATCGCCTCCTAGCTGACAGCAGAATCGACGTCGGCGGCAAGCTCCTGACCAACCACCTGAAGCACCTCATCTCATTCCGGCAGTGGAACATGTCGGACCAGACGCACGTCGTGAACACGGTGCGAGAGGCGTGCGGATACGTCTCGATGGACTGGCGCAGCGACCTCGAGAAGTGCAAGTGAGTTCGCGGCCCCCTGAACTCGAACTAACGCCAGGCGCAACCCGCGCAACAACGACATTGTGCAGGAGTACGTGCTGCCAAACTTCTCGTCCAAGCCGTACGCTCGCACGGGATACATCCGATCTGGACCGAACGCGCTCTCAGCAGAAGAGCTCGAGGAAGCGGAACTGTCGGAGAAGCCCGAGTCCAAGACGAAGAGGAAGGTTCCGGGCGACGACGACGAGGAACAGGTCCTGTTCATGGGCAACGAGCGCTTCGCGGGACCAGAGCTGCTCTTCCACCCGGATCATATCGGTGAGCTGAATGCTCAAGCGGATGCAGCTGACATCAGGCATTCAGCAGATGGGTCTGCCGGAGACGGTGGCTTATGTCATCTCGTGCATGCCAGAGGAGCTGCAGGGGATGTACTGGGCGCACATCGGTGTTGTTGGCGGTCTCGGCAACATCGATGCCTTGGGAGAACGTCTGTGAGTTTCATGCTTCATATCTTCAAGAGAAAGCTGACGCGACAGGGAGCGCGACCTGCGTGCGCTGTGCCCGGTGGACTATGATATCGGCATCTACGAGGTGTTTGAGTGAGTAACCGCCTTCCCTGCACGCACTGACAGTCAAGACCCGTTTCTGCACCCTACCAGGCGGCCGTGTCGTTGGCGTCCAATGACGTCTACCTAACCAACTACCCTGTGACCCGTGCCGAGTACCAGGAGCACGGATCGACGATCTGCCGTCGCAAGTTTGGTGGACCGGCGTACAACGTCAGCCCTCCTGGCTTCTCGCGCACCGACGAGGAGCCCGTCGACGAGCACGAGCAAGAGTTGCGATACGCGCTTGGGCTGGACAGCATCAAGGGGAGGGGCAAGCGCAAGGGGGAGGAGGAGGTCACGAGTGGAAACTGGGGTGGCCGGAGGAGGCGTGCGCAGGAGTCGGGGCTGGTGTCTGGTCGATTAAGATGAGCGCGCTCTGGCATGGCTTGCTCGGCGTCAACTGCCCGCTACATGAGACTTGGATGGGGGCTGGCGGGCACTGCCATCAGCCACTTGCGACTGGCAGCGGGCTGTCTAAACCTTGTGCGACGCCAGATGAATGGAAACGTCAGGGGCTGCCCGGTTTCACAGGGGTGGTAGCTGGGGGGTGGTCGATGAGAGACACGTGTCAACTTTGGTCCCGCCAATGACGGCACTTAGGTTCGAGTGCCAGCGCGACGTTCATGACAATTGCATCCTAGGTCATCCACCCCGCTCCTTTCCATTTAATATCTTCTTTTACACTTTCTCTCCCATCTCCACAGACTCCACTGCCAGATCTCGCAGCACCCGACCGACCTGCTTGCGACAGACATCTGATCCGACACCCCCGACCTCGCGCCGCCACTACTACCGCCTCACGCACTCGTTCCTCGCCTCTCCGCCCCCCTCAACCCTTGCGCCAGACCTCCACCGGCGTCATGTCCCAGCGTATCCACCTCAACCCCAACCGCGGGCAGGTTCCCATGATGAACCAGGGATATCAGCCCGATCCCATCAGAACGTCCTCCCCCGGCTTCCAGAAGTCGGACAATGAGCTCGTCGCAAAGATCCAGGAGGTCAGCTCCAAGATTGAGGACGCCGTCGACTCCATCTCCCAGGTGCGTATAGCGTTTTGGACCCCTTAGACGCGGGACAGCGAACCTTGAATGGAGAGGTGACACGACACACACACACCACAAACATTGTGTGCACCCGCGGATACACTGGCGAGACCGAGCCGGAAACGTGTAACCTCTCCAGCGGCCACTGGTCGCTCTCCCGTCTATGGCGTGCAATCGCAATAGCCACAAGCGCCTGATCGCTGACTAGTAAACAGCCTATCCGCCCCTACATCCCCAAGCTCGGCCGCTTCCTCATCGTTGTGACTTTCCTCGAAGGTGAGTATCTAGCTGTGCTAAGTGTGTAGCTGACGTGCAGATGCGCTCCGCATTCTGACCCAGTGGTCCGACCAGCTCTGGTACCTCCAGAAGCACCGTCACATTCCTTGGGGCCTCAGCCACCTGTTCCTCCTCGCCAACGTTCTTCTCATGCTCGGAGGATCCGCCGGTGTTATCATGCAGCGCTACCCCGAGATCTCGGTCGGCTCGCTCCTCGGTGTCGTCGTCCTCCAGGCGCTCGGCTACGGCCTTCTCTTCGACATGAGCTTCTTCCTCCGCAACCTCTCGGTCATCGGTGGCCTGCTCATGGTCCTCTCTGCCTCGCTCCAGAACAAGAAGATGCTCTTTGCCGGCATCCCCTCGCTCTCTGAGAACGACCGCCGCAAGTACTTCCAGCTCGCCGGCCGTGTCCTGCTCATCTTCCTCTTCATCGGCTTCATCTTCCAGGGCGAGTGGTCGGTCGGCCGTGTCATTGTCTCGATCTTTGGTCTCGTTGCGTGCGGCATGGTCGCCGTCGGCTTCAAGGCTAAGTGGTCCGCTGCCTTCCTCGTCATCCTCCTCTCCGTCTTCAACGTCCTCGTCAACAAGTGGTGGAAGGTTCACTCGGCCCACCCCCAGCGCGACTTCCTCAAGTACGACTTCTTCCAGACGCTCTCCATTGTCGGCGGTCTCCTCCTCCTCGTCAACATGGGCCCTGGAGGCTTCTCGGTCGACGAGAAGAAGAAGGTGAGCTTCACTTTTTTGATCAAAGCTGACAATCAGGTCTACTAAATTCTCACAACTCTACCCTACAGTGCTCCCGGGAGCAAGCAATCCACCATACCTAAAATGCATAGCTTGATCATACGACGGGCGTCCGAAAAGACTGATCTGCAGGTGTAGCCCCCGAAGGCAAGGGCCGAAGGTACTAGACGTGCCTGGCCGAACGCCCCGTGAAAGGGCCCACGAATCCCCCGATCTTCGGTGTCCATCAGGCAGTTATCTCGGAGGGTTGGCTGCGCCCCACCCAATGTTGATCCGACAAGACTGCAGGTGTTGGTGCGACAGATGGGCGATGCTGGCGACTCTTATAGTGGCGAAGAGGTCACTGGCGGGCAGGGAACAATGGATAACTGACATCGGCTCACTAGCAGGACGACAATGGCGTTTCACACTGTGGCTGATGCACCGTGAAACGCCGGACTTTGTGGACACACCCTCGCAGAGCGCCGGCACGGACTTGGCACTCCCTTGTCAGCATGCTCACAACAGACCCGGACGTCTCCCCAATCACGCGCAACTCACCGTTCCTCCCACGAGGGAATGGCTAGCTGTTCCGAGCTCCGTCGACCTTCGGAGCTATCCATCCATTGTCTTCACTTTCCCTCAGCACCGCCCAGACTCAAAGACAACTCAACGTACAATGAAGCACCTCTCCGACGTCTCGAGCGAGGGTATATAAACCAGTCTTTGCGACATTCCAATCAAACGCAACTACTTCACGATTGATTGGAATTCGAAACGCTTGCCACTGGTCATGTTGCTCACGACCCTGCTCGCCTCTCTTTCCCTCGTGGCAGCCTCCCCGCTCCCCTTCGCCCAGCAACGAAACCACACGCTCGAGCCGCGCAACCCCGAGCAAAGGGACGCCCTAACAGGCGTCACGACGCTACACTCCAAACTGCCGCTGGGCACAAACTTCTGTCTCGACGAAGACGTCCCGGGGGGCTTTGTGCAACTTTGGGAATGCCACGCGGGGGTGAACCAGCAGTGGCGACTTGAGAAAGTTAGCCTGGACATGGATAACTTTAAGGCGCAGAGTGTCACGCGCTTCAGGGTGAGGAGGGTGGATACGGATCGTTGTCTGCATTTCGTGGCGCCTGGTGAGTCCCCCGCTCTCGCCCTTCTCTTACTCTCCACTTGTCACTTCCGTCCAGCCGGATTCTCGCTTCACCTCCGTTCGACCCTCCACTCGGGCCTCCGTTAGGGCCTCCGTTAGGGCCTGCGGACCTCACGTCGAAACCCCAGCTTACCCCAGGTTCCGGAGACCACTACGACATCGCCTCCGAATACGTCCTCCCCCTCACGCTCGCGCCCTGCGACACAGCAGCGCGGTTTACATGGCAAGACGAGAGTCTGTGCGCCTTCATCGGCAACGGGGTAGACTACTACGTTAAGAACGGGCGCGACTATGGATTCTGCGTCTCGCCCGCTAACGCCGAGGAGTCCGGCATGACGAATGGAGACAGGCTCGCCGTGAAATCGGACCCGGGGTACAGGATGAAGTTTGACACGACGTTGGCGCATGCTGATGCGAGTGAGTTGGCCGAGTATGGACTCCCCGTTCGGACTGGGGGGAGGCAGGTTTGGCATCCATAGGGGGTTATACAGCTGGACAGATCGACCCTGTAGAGCGGTAGGAATGCCATATGAGTACATACATGTAGTGGCGTGGGGATCCCGTGACCTCTTTGATGCGCGAGAAGGGGGAAGAAATATGGAACGCGACGGTCAAGAGTCCAGACTCAAAGAGGTCGAACCCAAGTGGCGGGTCACACGTCCCGATAGAGTTTGCTCCAATATGTACTCGTTTCCAGCGCGTCGTTACGTTTGACGCCGTGGGATGAAACGGCGCTCCACCGAGGCCGCCGAGGGGTGGGCGTTGTGTCAGCTGGCAGAAGGGCTCCCCCTTGGGAGAACCGACGGAAACGAGCGGGAACTGCATGGGAGCATCTACCAGAGAACTGTATGGGAGCATCTACCAGAGATGCATCGTTTGTGGCACTGAGAACGAAACACGAGAAACTAACCGAAAAGAAAACAATGTACAGAGGACGGAATGAGAGACGCCGAGGTGGAACAATGGAACGCTTTGACAGTGCGAGCGTCACTTCCTCCGCTTCGACTTGTTCTGCAGACGCGAGACCTTCCTCTCCGCCTCACGCGCGACCTGTCGCTGGCGCCGGAGCTGCTCTTCCTCCTGTTGGCGCTGGCGCTCGGCTGCCTCCTCCCTCTCCTTCAGCTGGCGCCTTGCCTCCTCAAATCTCTCGAGGCGCTCCTTCTCCTCCCGTTCGGTTTTCTCCCTCTCCTCCCTCTCGGCCTTCTCCCTCGCCTCTGCATCTACTTTCTCCTTCTCGGCCCTAGCCTTTGCTTCCTCCTCCATCTCCGCATGGTGCTTGTTGACCTTCTCTGCCCACCTTTGCTCCCGCACTGCCACTGACTTTTCGAGGCTGGCCCGGTCGACAAGAAACTTGGCCTGTTCCGCGGGTGTCAGCGAGGCGAAGATTGCGTCCAGCTCAGCGGGAGGGGTGGTGTGGCCGTTAGCGGGAGAGGCGGGGAGGTGGAGAGAAGCAGTCGAAGGCGAGGCGGCGGGTGTTGACTGAGCCGGGACTTGATCACCACCATTGCTAGGACCGGCGACAGCAGCGCGGGCGGCAGCGAGGCTCCTGGCAGAGCTGTTGACCTTCTTCCCCAGCATGCGCTTACGCGCGGCCGCCTTTCCGCCCTTCTTCCGTGGAGGCGGGGCCGAAACGACATCGCCGAGTCCGTCAGCCCGAGGAAGCTGGGGGTACTCTTGCGGAAGTGGGCCGCGCTCTATCGCCTCGAGCTCTGCCAGCTCCCCAGTTCCGCCACGGCCTTGGGCCGACTTGCACCCCCAGCCCGGACCCATGCTGGCCATGTACAAGAGCACCTGGCGGAGTTTGTCCGGCACGCCCCTGTCGCGGGGCAGGGCTACGCCCCAGTTCTCGACCGCGTCGGCGAGCATGGTCTGCGCCCAAGATCCCAACTGGAGCCATCGCTCGGCGACAGGCTCGGCGGCCTCGTCGCCAGCCGCGCACAGAGCGACGAACGTCCTCCGCGCAATCTCGACGGCGCTTGCCTCGACCTCAGTCCACGGGCCGGCGGGCGCCTGTGCGGCACAAAGGCGGGTCCACGTCGCCGCCTGCCTCGACGAAAGGGGGGGACCCTCGGGATGCGCGGCGACGGCGAGCGTGCCGAGGAGCAGCTGGATGAGGAGGAAGACGGCGCCGCACTGGTTGCACCGGCAGGTGGAGGGGGGAGGCGGGATGGAGGCGAAGTCGGGGCCGAGGCGCTCATACAGATTGGGCCGGCCCGAGTTGTGGAGAAGGAGGTCGTTCGGGATTGCGAGGGCGGGGCTGAGCAAAGCGGCTGGCGCTGCGGGAGGTGCAGTGGGGGGAGCTGGCGTCGTCGGTGGCGAACCTCTCGCCACCGAATGCACGGACGGCGCGGACGCAGCAGTCACGGGCTCCTCAACCGGTCGATAGCGAGAACTCGTGCGGGAAAGCCTACCGTTCACCTGCTTCCCTGCCGGTCCCTTTGGCGGAGGCGGCGGCTCGGTCCACACTGTGACCTGCCCGGCGTTCTTCGACTTAGCTGGGGCCGGAGGGCCGGCAGTGCTCGATCGAGAGCCGTTGGGCGGGGTGTGGACATGCGCAGATCCATTCGTCTGGGTAGCGCTGTCAACATGGATGGGCTCGCTGGAGTTGCTGCGCTGCTCGGATGTTGATGCGAGGATTGGGATATCGTCGATGCTCGAGGCAGCAGGAACAGGCGGCGAATTCGGAATCGGTGTGACGGGCGACGGTGCAGCGACAGTCGAATCATTGATGGTCACGATGGCGGGCGGAGGTGCGAATCGGGGAGAGGCTGCAAGCGGTGCCACTAAGTTTCCGTTGGTACCGTTCGCTGCATCGCCCTTGACCTTGACAGTCGGCTGAGGATGCCCGGGATCGACGCGCGGCCAGACTCCATCAACGAGCCCCTCGTGCGCCTTCAAGAAGACGCAGAAACAGTCCCACTCCCTCCGTTTATGAATGCACACGCGCACCACATCGTAGACCGGGGCGTCAAGCCATCCAAACTGGCGCAGCTGCGCCTGATCACGAGCCCACGCCTCGGTCATCCTTTCCCTGGTCCTCACCACCTCGTACCGAGTCGCCCAATCCAGCAGGCTCTTCTCACTGCGCACGTCGCGGGCGGGAACCTTCGCTTTGTGTCTGTCCTCGCCGTTCTTCTCGCTCCATGCCGCAACAGAGGAAGAGGCAGAGCAAGCCGGCGCGTCGTCGATGGGGTCGCCCGGATCATCCGCGTCGATCACGTCGCTGAATACCACGGCCTGCTTGGCGTCGAGATCGGGCAGCAACAGAAGGACACTGTACCGCAATTGATCCTTCAAGACGGCGCGCTCCGTCCTGTCGATCTTGGGGCGGGTGATCTCGTCGACTAGGCCGCGGGGCGGGCTCGCGAGTACGGCGCCCAGGCGCATGATGTGCGGGAGGTCGGGCGGCGTCGTCGCGGCTGTCGTCGTGGCGCTCGGTGCGCTGTCCGCCTTCTGCACGTTCGGCGGGAGCATGAGGTGTCGAGCATGCAAAGCCCGGCTCACAAAGGCCTCAGCGAGCCATCCCGCCTGCCGCGCGACGATATCCTTCCTCATGGCCGGACTCAAATTCGAAGGTCCACGGAGACGGACATTGCCGCAGAAGAACTCGAGAAAGCTCTCTAGACGGCCTTTGTCCCACCACGTCTGCGCGTGCTTCCCATCAGCAACGTCCTTGGCGAGGAGGCTCTGCATGAACTCGACCGGGTTGCCGAGGAGGTGCGAGCCCGGGTGTAACGCCAGGTGGCGCTCGAGCGAGAGTAGAAGCTGCCTAGCCTCTTCGCGCTCGATGTTCAGGGATTGGGCCACGCGGCGGAGTAGACGCGGCGAGAGGCGGCGGGTCACTATGCGTGTAGCGTCAAAGTCGGCTGGGGATGATGTGCTCGCGTTGGGATCGAGGGGGCGCTTGAGGTGCTTCGGGGTGTGGTGGGTGTCGATCGAGGGAAGAGGTTCGAGAACGAGAGACGTGGGCTGGGGCGACGGAGGCGAGAGGTTGGATGGGCTGGAGGGCTGCTTCTCAACGGAATTGGCGTCTTCGGTAACACGGGAGGTCTGAAGCTCTTGGGCAGCGGCCGGCGCTGCTTCATCGTCGTGAGCGTCCTCGTCGGGTGTAGATGGTGTCGGGGCGGCCGGTGGCGGCTCCATGGCCTTTGGCCTTGAGCAGCCTCCGCCAGCCATGACGGCGTCGTCGTTCAGAGCACTGCAATGAGCTAGTGGGTTGATTCTGATGAGATGTGGGTCTAGAGGTGATCAGGAAGTAAGGATGCCAGTGAGGAGAATGAGCGACGAGCGAGGATGAGGGGATGAGGAAGTGTAGGACTGACAAAGCTGACACGTCGCTGTCTCCCCTTAACCCTCTGCGGGTGTGTGTCTGCTCGCGCCAGCGACTGGTATGCAGCACGCTGGCTGCCTGTGTGGGTTGACCGGACCGCTTGCGTTGATGGACAGGTGCGAGCTGCCACTCGTGGTGGGGAACCCTTCACTGCAGCTTCTGGAATCAACCGTCGTCGCACCTCCATCAGACAACCGCAATCCCCTGTTCGTCAGTTCCAGCGAGTCGTTTCGGCGTCAGCAAAGTCAGCAGTCGTCGTCAGCACGGAACCGACCCCCAGCAATGCAAGTGAATGCCATGTCTATGATCGTCTAGTTCACCTCCTCCGTGCTTCGCGGCACGCCCGGCGCCCCGGGTACGCCGAGATGGATGCAGAAATCGTAGATGCCGAGGAACACCGCGCCGCCCGCGCCAATCATGACTGTGCGGGGCACCCAACCGGAGAACAGCCTCGCGACGCCCTCATTCTTCGCAATGCTGACCAGTCTTCCAGGGAAGGACAGCACCGACGCACTCCGCCCCGAGCCCTGGTTCTCGAGCATGACGCGCGTCTTGACGACGTCGAGGGGCGTGGTGAGCGCCGCGGCCGTGCCGCCGGCAAGGGCGCCGCAGAGCGCAGCCTGGATCGAATTCGGGGTGCCGAAGAGGTTGGCTTTCAGCCACTCGTAGAGCGGGAACTGGATGCACGAGAACGGGATCTCGCGCGCAATCGTGATGCCGAAACCCCTGTAGAAACCCCTTATTCCCTCTGTGCGCAGCGTCGTGAGCGCCGTCGCGTAAGAGGACGCGCCGTACAGCCCCGACTGGGTGCGTTGCTTCACGACCTCGGTCGGCACGCGGATCAGACACGAGACCTGGTGTTAGCTTGAGTGAACCATTGCCAGCTGGCGGGCAGTCTGCTTCTGGTGTCGAGAGTCGCAGAGCATGGTGAGACCTCTAGAGCTACCAAGGTCCACACTGGCTCCTCGACTCCGGCCCAGCCAGCAATCCCCGCCCAGGCAGTACACCCACGCAGCTCGCTCCGCTCGCTGCTTGCAAGTCACTTACAAATTCTCCCCCACTCGCAGCAAGCATATGCACCATGCCCCTCCCCTCGACCCTCCCCCTCAATGTCTTCTTCAACGCCTCGTACGTGACGAAGAAGGCTGCTGCCCCGGGCGCAGATCCAGCCCCGACAGACCCGACACCGCGATAAATCCCCCGGAAACCACCAGACGCCAGGAATCCACCGGGGGACTGGATCCGTGTCTTGATCGTGTCGAGGGGGAAGAAGAGGAGGTCCACTGCGAGGCCGGAGGCGGCGCCGGACTGGCGTCAGCGGTCAGTCGGGGAAGAAGGAGGGATGGGGGAGGGGGGGGGCGGCGCACCTTCATGTGCCATCGGTACCGGATCGAGGAGACGTTGAAGAAAAGGATGGGGAAGAGGACGATGATGGAGAAGATGAGGGCGCGGTCGTAGTGCGTGCGCTTGCAGGATTGGTCTGTGAGCCCCTTCGAGTCGACGAGCGCGAGGAAGACGATCTCGCCCACGAACAGCGTCAGTGTCCAGAGGAACTGGATCACTTCGCACACCAATGCGATCATGGTGTTCGTGTGTGGTTGAAGATGGGGGAGAGGCGGAGTGTGAGGTTGTGAAAGCGGTCCTCACCCCGACTTTCGCCAGTTCCTGTCCGACCTCGAGCCGGAGGTTCAGGCCGGAATCGAGGCGAATGTCATCAGTACGCCTGTCAGTGAGGCTGTGGTAGACGCGATGTGGGAGGCGTGTACGTTTCTCCGGGACACGGCGCCGGGGTTGAAGGCAATAGCGACGGGCCTGCTTCGAGAGGTTCTGAACCATGCCGCCTAGCCGGTAGAGGGGAGTAATCCCGCGTGTAGAGTTGCTGGAGCTGCCTTTGTTCGATGTATATCATAGCTCAAGCAGTTCGCGGCCACTCTTCCCCTCCCACGGAGCGCGGGGTGCGGCAGGGTGTGGGGCACACAGCGGCTGTTGGGTTGTTTTCAGGGACGGACGTGGTCACTGGATGACGTTGTGGGATTTTCCACTCGTCCCATATCCCACTTCTTCCGTCGTCGCAGTACGCAGTGGAGACAGCGCCGGGGCATGTGATCCAGCGTCTCCGTTCAACGACCCGCGTAGTGAGTGCATCACACGTGGTGGACGAGTCGCTTCAATTGTTTAACCGGACCGGGAATTGCTCACCAACCCTGGGTTGTTAAACTCACCTCACCGCCTCTGTCTCGCCTCAGCTCGCCAGCTATCCACTGGGCTGGATCGGAAAGTCTCCCTCGACATCTCACGTCTCGGAACAAAACCGGTCGGGTCATGCTCATCGCGTAGTTGCAGATCGCAACGTCGCTAGGCGATGCCAAGACAATAATGCCAACCGCTGATTACGACGGTCGGGCGCTCATCCAGTAGATAGCCGTGTCACATGCCCCTATCGACAAGGGCGCCTCCCTACGTAGGCTCGGAACATCCAAGATCTATCGCTGCATGATCACCCGACCGATGCCCCGCACTCCCCCCGTATCTGTAGGAGGAGTATCGCAGAGGCGCGCGGGGGCGCTCGGACTGCTCCTTTGCGCCATGGTTGAGGAGTTCGTGTATCCCCGCCTAATCTCTATCTCCTTCGACAGGTAGATACAGAAGGGAACAAGCCTCCTCCACTCTCCCCCGCTTTCTCCTCCCCCGCTTTCATCATTGTCGCGAGAGGCGCCTGGTTGCGTCTGGCCCGTTCCTATCCGTCCAGTTCATCCATGCCCTTCGTCAGAGGCATGCAAGAAGGGTTTGAGCCGCGCTGCAGAGTTAATTAAGTGCCGTATTCCAGCGCTTCCAGCTATCACTCGGGCTGGACTTCGCGTACCTCGCTGTTCCTTACGGTATCGTGCGGCTGAGAGGGACGATCACCTGACCTCCCTTCCCTCGTTTGCCCACATCCTTTGCGTTGTTTGCGTTGCTCCTTGGCAGGTCAGTGCGCTCGGTCTCGTGCGGAGTGCGGACTACGAGGTGGGGAGGCTCACGGCGGAGTGGAGACATCCGGAACACTCATGCACTGTCCTCGTGAGCTAGCGGGTGGGGAAGGTTGTCCCCGTGCTTCGCTGCGGGGTGGGGTAAGGTGTCCTCGTGCTCTTGCGGGGGTGGGGATGGTGGGGATATCCATAAGTACATCCAGACATCCTTTGCTTCCAGACTGCCTGACATGGAGTGATCGAAAGCTTAGGTGGGGAGGAGAGGAGGGGAGATGTTTACATCCTCGTCATTGCGGAAGTACCATTGCCGTTCATGTGACTTGCATCATTAACACTACGAAGACCATTTTGCTTCTTCCAGGGGTAGAAAGGGGGAGTGCAGTCGAGATGCAATGCGAGATGGGAGCGGAGACGAGTTGGTGATATGCAAGAGTAGTAGTGGTGTATGCTTGAGATGAGGAGAGATGCAAAGATGGATGTGGATGGAGGATTGTTGGAGCCAGCAGAGACGACAGCGTCGGCAGATTAAACCTGAGCCCTAAGGGGAGGGAAGGGATCGGGGGGTGGACCGAAAGCGGGGGAGACTGAGCGCAACGCACGCACGGGTGGAGTCGGTCGTCGGCCACGAGATGGTGCCAAGCAAGACCCAGGGGGGGTGAGTATCGTGTCGTAATTAAGTTTTGAATTTTAGTCTACTACTGCTGCTGCTCTAGGCGATAGCGGCCACGGCCATACCGGGCCATGCATGTACTGTGATAGGGAATCGGGCTGCCCAGTAGCATCACGCTTCGCATCCACTCCTGGCCCCGCCAAAGCCTCAGCCCGCCGATGATGAAATCACACACACACGGCCCCCCGTCACAGGCTTGCTCGTTGGTTGGCTGCGACTCGGCCCTCGGACAGCTAGCTAGATCCTGACCCAGATCCTTTTGTTGATTATTTACTCACCGTTCAGCCGTCAGCCTGGCAACACAATCCACTGACGTCCGCGTGGTTCCGCAGGCCGCAGGGTGTCGAAAGGTCGGCCGGTGGGTGTGCCCGCAGGCGATGGCAGTCGCCGCCGCTCGCGACACTGTTGTCCGATCTCGCCGGCGGCTTCGTCCACATCATCCGTAATCAATTAGCCCACATAGTCTGCATACTCGCACACGGCGAAGCGAAGCTTGCCGATACCACCTTGCAAGCGCTGGGAAACGATAAATCTCCCGATACCGAGAGTTCCGCACCGTGGCTAGGCACTAGGCACAGGGGGAGGTACCAGCTATGCTCGCTTGTTATGGCGGCCTGGTAGGCTGGTACGCTCATTGTCACAATGCATGCGGATCCTATCGGTACACAATGTTGCATGACGGATTCCGGCGTGTACCGCGACGTCGCTCGCTACGTCGCTCAGTGATCAGTGAGGCTGAAGAGCATGGCTGAATTGCACCTTTGGCCACATTGGTATTCATCTGCATCATGCGCATCATGTCGACCAAAATCTGCGTTGCCTTGTGGCGTCCTAATCTGCCGATTACTGGGGAACAGTGCTACCGTCGGGCCGTAGCGTCCCCCCCGGCGACGCCGGTGTCTTACTCCACGGGCCCAGGCAAGGGGGAGGTGGCGTACAGGGCGTCCTTGGTTTCGTGGAGCCATGGAGTGCATGGAGCCATGCATGAGTGGAGTAGGCGTCGCCGTGGGCGGGGGATGGTGGGGGTAGGGGCAAGGGGTGTGGGTTTAGTCGGCGCGCAATTACATGCGAGAGAGAGCGGGGATCGGAATCGGCACCGGGTTCACCGGCACCGGGTCCATGTCGGCGAGTGGGTGGAATGGCGCGATCACCGCCGCCCATCGCTTACACTTTACTTACGAATAAAGTTTTGCCATTACCCTTGTGGCCTGTGGGCCCGGTGTCAATAGGCCATTGAAATTTCCGAGGCCGCACTCATTACAAACAAGAAAGGGACTGTTTAATTGGAATAGCAAGCTCGGCGAGTTCGGGACGAGACTTTGTGAGGCTTTCGCGAGCGTGCGACGCACGAGGCACGCGACAGTTGCGACAAGGACCGGGAAATGGCGTCGGCGCGGGAAAAGCGAGTTCTCCCAGCCCTCCCCTTCAACACTCAGATGCATGCTTCGCACAAGCGCATACGCGACGTCCGCGGTGGTGCAGTAGCAGCGATGGCGAGTGGGCCCGAAACACACTTGCATAGTGAACAATGATCAGCGGGCACACAGATCCGAGGCCCGATTGCAGTGTAGCGGTGATGCAGGCGCCACCGGCATCGTCGCCCGCATCCGCATTGCTTCGTCGCTCCCGCATTCGTCCCCGCAACGAGTCCCGCAGCGATCATGGTGATGCTTGTGTGCACGTTGTCGGCTCCAGCGAGTCCACGAGTGATATTCCGTACCCACTCGGTGCCGCCGTACCCAGGGTTATGTCGGACACATCGGGAGAATAGGAGCGTCCGGCTCATTTCAAGTCGTCGTATCTCCCCCTCATTCAGATGACTGTCGGCGACTGAAAACCATTCCTATTGCGCGATGCATAGCTCAGAATAAGGGAAGCTATAGGAAATCGTTATGCGAGGATGCACCGTGTATAGGGATACGGTGATTTTGGAGGAATGAGCGAGTATGAACGGCGTCTGCCCGGTGGATTTGCATGCACCGCTCCGTGCCGGCCCCGGCTCAGTTGCGGGCTGCACATCTGCGCTTTTGCGGTGCGCACAAAGGTGAAGGGTAAGCGGTGAGCGGCATGCATTCCCGCCGATGTTTACGGTGCCGATCCCCCCGCTACTGAACATGTAGCGCTGGTCGCCGCCGCCTGCCGATCCGGACGGTCCACCCCTCGTGCAAGGCGGTTACCGCCGCCAGATCGTCAAACGTCCAGATAGACCGTCGTGATCTCTATGCGACCGTCGCACTCGTCCGTATGCTCCGTACGCATCGCACCGACTCCGGGTCCGGGTCCGGAGCATTCTCCAGCTATCCACTGGGCTGGATCGGAAAGTCTCCCTCGACATCTCACGTCTCGGAACAAAACCGGTCGGGTCATGCTCATCGCGTAGTTGCAGATCGCAACGTCGCTAGGCGATGCCAAGACAATAATGCCAACCGCTGATTACGACGGTCGGGCGCTCATCCAGTAGATAGCCGTGTCACATGCCCCTATCGACAAGGGCGCCTCCCTACGTAGGCTCGGAACATCCAAGATCTATCGCTGCATGATCACCCGACCGATGCCCCGCACTCCCCCCGTATCTGTAGGAGGAGTATCGCAGAGGCGCGCGGGGGCGCTCGGACTGCTCCTTTGCGCCATGGTTGAGGAGTTCGTGTATCCCCGCCTAATCTCTATCTCCTTCGACAGGTAGATACAGAAGGGAACAAGCCTCCTCCACTCTCCCCCGCTTTCTCCTCCCCCGCTTTCATCATTGTCGCGAGAGGCGCCTGGTTGCGTCTGGCCCGTTCCTATCCGTCCAGTTCATCCATGCCCTTCGTCAGAGGCATGCAAGAAGGGTTTGAGCCGCGCTGCAGAGTTAATTAAGTGCCGTATTCCAGCGCTTCCAGCTATCACTCGGGCTGGACTTCGCGTACCTCGCTGTTCCTTACGGTATCGTGCGGCTGAGAGGGACGATCACCTGACCTCCCTTCCCTCGTTTGCCCACATCCTTTGCGTTGTTTGCGTTGCTCCTTGGCAGGTCAGTGCGCTCGGTCTCGTGCGGAGTGCGGACTACGAGGTGGGGAGGCTCACGGCGGAGTGGAGACATCCGGAACACTCATGCACTGTCCTCGTGAGCTAGCGGGTGGGGAAGGTTGTCCCCGTGCTTCGCTGCGGGGTGGGGTAAGGTGTCCTCGTGCTCTTGCGGGGGTGGGGATGGTGGGGATATCCATAAGTACATCCAGACATCCTTTGCTTCCAGACTGCCTGACATGGAGTGATCGAAAGCTTAGGTGGGGAGGAGAGGAGGGGAGATGTTTACATCCTCGTCATTGCGGAAGTACCATTGCCGTTCATGTGACTTGCATCATTAACACTACGAAGACCATTTTGCTTCTTCCATACACACTCTGCCTACTTCCGACTCTTGACGCTCGCATACTGCGCACGAACCAGTCATTTGGACGTTCCTACGCCGGTCCGCGCCGTGCCTTGCCTTCTCTCATCCGTTCGTTTGTACATACATCCCCCTCTTGTCTCTTCTCCGATCCGGACTACGCTACAGTTTTCCTACTCCCCCGCTTCCCGCAGTACACAGTGTCCTCAAGCCTTCAGGCGGGGACCAGATTGCGACCCCTGCCAAGAGGAGCAGGTGGGACAAGAGCATTCCCGCTCCAGCCATCACCTCACCCTCGTCCGCGGCCGTGCGGCCACGGCCTCGGTCTCGGATGCGCCTAGGTGACAATCTCGTCCACACCCACACACGCCCGCAGCGCATTCAGCGTCTGCTCGTCGGCGTGCTGCGCGCGGTGGCCCTTCTCGTCCTCGTACCACTGCAGCTTGGGCAGATTGCCCGTGTAGTACTCGATCCAGGACACGACCTGGCCGGCCTTGAGGCGCTCGAACGACTTGAGCGAGTCGAGTGGCTGGGGTCAGTGCTCTGCGCGAGCGGCGAGCGAGCGAAGCGAGCAACGCGAGGACGGGAGGACACGGGTCAGAGGAGGTGAATGCGGGCAAGTCTCAAGTCTCCCCAAGCGCGTATGAGCAGGCAGAGAACTAGCTCGCCGAGGTATTGCACACTCCGGAAATTGGGAGTAGGAGCCAGCGCCTTGAGCGGCGAGATGCGGAGAATGCCCAGTGTTTAGGAGCATGATGCGGTGGCGCTGTGTCATGGACAGCCTCAACTCACCGGAAGCTCGCGGGGGATGGGCGACTTGCCGTTCGAGACGGCAACGAGGGGTTTGTTGAGGTAGGCGTTGACCTTGTTCTGGGTCCTGTGGGTGTTGTCAGCAAGCGGCGATCTGGCGATCCGCAGATCATTGGGGGTGGCTGCGCCAAGGCCGAGTCAAGCCCTAAGCAGACCCGAGGCGAGCCCGAACCCGAAGCTCTTACTCACCTCGCCTCGATGGCCTCGATGCGGCGCTCCAGCGCCTCGAGGTCTCTGCGGCTCTGCGCGCGGTCGCCCGCCATGCGGTGCAGGACGCGCTCCGAGAAAGCATTAAACTTCTGATCCTGCTCCTCCTGGTCACGCTCCTCGCGGCGGCCGAGGGGGCGCTGCCCGGGCCCAGTCTCGGGACGGTGGTCGGCGTACTTGGTCGGCTGCATCGCATTGTCGCCATAGGCCGACCCGGCATCCGACGTCTGCTCCTCCTTCACCGTGTCCGGGCGGGTGGAGCCGGTGAAGCTCGGCTGGCGGGTGCGGGAGCGGTAGCGGGGCCGCTCGGGGGAGGCGTCGACGTGCCCCAGCAGCTGGCCGCGGAAGACGCGGGCGTCGCGCCGCGGGCTCGGGTCCACGCGCTTCATGGTGCCCGGCTCGACGGTCGCACTGGCGACCTCGTTGGCAAAGTTCAGCGCATGCTGGATGTGCTCGTCGTGGGGCGGGATGCCGCCGTGCGTCTGGTGCAGCTGCTTGACCTTGTCGTGCTTGTGGAACGAATCATGCGAGAGAAGGCTCTCGGGGATCGCAATCGTCTCCGTGGGGGCTTCGACGGTGGCGGCCATGGTGGCTTGGATGGGGTGGAGTGATGTGTGGAGAAGGACGAGGTTGCCGACGTCCACAGGTTTATGTGAGAAGGGCTGATGAAAGCGGGGACGGACGATGCATGTGGCAAACGGGCAGGTGCGGGTGGTGTTGGGCGGAGTCTGGATTCTCGCTCTGAGAACCTACCTGGAGCCAGAAACGGCGGCGGTTGTGGACGCTGACGACAGAGGAACAAGAATATGACAGGGGTGTGTCTCCTCTTCCCCTCCCACGGAGCGCGGGGTGCGGCAGGGTGTGGGGCACACAGCGGCTGTTGGGTTGTTTTCAGGGACGGACGTGGTCACTGGATGACGTTGTGGGATTTTCCACTCGTCCCATATCCCACTTCTTCCGTCGTCGCAGTACGCAGTGGAGACAGCGCCGGGGCATGTGATCCAGCGTCTCCGTTCAACGACCCGCGTAGTGAGTGCATCACACGTGGTGGACGAGTCGCTTCAATTGTTTAACCGGACCGGGAATTGCTCACCAACCCTGGGTTGTTAAACTCACCTCACCGCCTCTGTCTCGCCTCAGCTCGCCTTCTTGTTCATCTGAACTTGTCCTGTGTTCTGTCCTGAATGACTCCCTGTGTCCTAGCTTACTCCGCCCCATCACTCCGTTGCTCACTGCTTCCGACATTGTTCATCCCATTGTTCTTCCGGACATCATCCAGTTTGACATTGCTCGATCGCATCGCAATCGCTGACGCCCGTCACGCCTCACTCACATACCTCACCCACGCTTACAACCACAGCAGTTGATAATGAACGACGAGCAACCGTTGTCCGCTGTGGGCGATGCAGCGCCCTGGACGTTGTGGGCGTATAAGACTGACTAGCAGGACATGATGCGGGCGCTCACCAACCAGAGGCAATCATGACGCCAACAACATTACGAGTACCAGACATCCTCCTCGACGAACTGCACGCATACCACCCGGGCGTGTTCGTGTTCGCGGAGAAGGGCTTTCCCTTCCCTCTTCTCCGTGACGAGGCCGAGGCAGCCATCACGCTCGTGAATGAGGTTTCCAACGACCCCCGGTTCAGCATCGACGCGAGAGACCAGGCGATGATCTTTCTCCGCAAGGCGCTGAACAATATGGAGATCATCTTTGGCGAAAGCGACAGTGAGGATGAGGACGATGATGACGACGAGGCGTCGTTCTTCTCAGGCAACGATGACGGGGAGGTAAATCATCAGGAGGAGGAGACGGAAGGCGCAGGTGCGGAGAGCGGATCACACGGTGAGAAGGATCGGATAAGCACACTCGAACGCGAGATTGAGGACCTGCGTGAGCGCGTCGACGAACTCGAGGACTTCCGGCAGAGGATGAACGACCTCAGCGACAGCCTGGCGCGTATCGCCGCCATTCCGTCTATGACGCCGCCAGCGTCCCAGGCGCCGGACCTGGCTCCCGAATCCGGCACCGAGTCGCCGGTCGACGCGGCAGACATCTCGCGCGAATCTGCAGACACCGTTCCAAGCTTCGAGAAGCACTCTCCTGATGCTCCCGACGCTATTGACGCCGCCAACGCTCCGGGGACTCCTGAAGCGCGACCAGTCTCAGTCCTGCTCCCGCGACAGACCGGTAGCATCCCTACCGTTTCGAAGCGGGGAGGGTCGCGCTCGTCAAGCGACTCAGGCCAGTCCAAAGTGACAAAAGTGCGGCCGCGGCGGCGTCAGCAAGACACGCACCGCTCGCGCAGGTCATATCCCTCCCGCCGCTCCCAGCTGGCGCAGTCATCGCACCGCTCCAAGCTCTCCGAGACGAGCAGCGCGGACATTGGCTCTGTGCTCGCGCAGCCTCCCAGTCGCGATCGTTCGGTGTCTGAGAAGTTCATCGCCCGCTTGAACGAAGAAGCCGCCAGGCGGGGCTTGTTCAGGAATCATGGAGTGTTCGACAGCCGTTCCCCCTCGCCTGACTCTTCGAGGCGGAACCAGCTCTCCATCCGCTCTCAGAGGCTGGCGAGGACGAAGCTCGACATGTCCTCTGTCAGGAGCCAGCTGTCGCCGATGAAGGAGACCCCGTCAGAAAGCCCTAAGGAGGCCAAGTGGGAGAGGAAGTCGGAAAGCACGCAGGCAAAGTTGGGCCCGAAGACCAGTGGAGCGGTGAGCTTCCCGCCCGGCACTATTCCGGAGGACACGTGCACCTCCTGGGAATGCGAGCATAACCCGCCGCCGGCCGCTGCCGCCTCAGCACCGACGAGCACAAGGCAGCGAGTGCTCAGTTGGAAGGCGAGGTGGACTCGCGAGAGGGGAGACGCACGCTGGGCACGTCCAGAGTCTCCACCCGGCTCGCACTCGAGGGATAAGCGAACCCGGGCACTCGTGGCCAAGCTGGAGCGCTTGACGCGGTACTAGTCGTCGTCAACTGATTGCCAGGCTGTTTGCCTGAGCTCCCGAGCTGGTCGGCGTAGCAGAACATGTGTAGCAGTATTGTAGAGTACGAACCAGATGTCACTGTTGTTGTTCCACGCACGGGCCGCTTGTTGCTCGCTAGCGCCATCCGCAGCGCCCAGGGCCAAGACCATGATACATGACGCACGCGCTCGTTTTGTTTTTGCCACCCATCACCACCACCCATGTCGAGGACACCAACCCAACACAGACAGAGGACGCCCACGCTACGGACACCGACTCGGTCCCGCACACCGGGTACACCGCGCACACCGCGCCCAGCCCTGTCGCCGACGCCGGCCCGGAGACGGCGGCTCAGCAGTGTCTCTGAGATCTCGCCGCCGGGCTCGCCCAGCTCTCCGACAGAGATCACATTCATCACCCTCCCCCCACCAACGCCCGACCGGCGCTCACCGCGCCCAAACCCCCTTCGGAATCGCAAGTCGTCTGTTCCCCTCTCAACACCGCGGAAGCGACAGCGCACGACGACCCCGACTGCGTCGACACCGTCACGAGCGTCGTTTGTGCCCAGTGCCCAGCCCCCGCTGTCGAATCTCAGGTCCGATCAGCCGGTAGCGTTTCCCCCGGACGCAGGGCGGCAGACAGAGCGGCTAGGACAAGGGATCCCGATTCCCGCACCGATCGCGGCTCACCCCGACTTTCGCCAGTTCCTGTCCGACCTCGAGCCGGAGGTTCAGGCCGGAATCGAGGCGAATGTCATCAGTACGCCTGTCAGTGAGGCTGTGGTAGACGCGATGTGGGAGGCGTGTACGTTTCTCCGGGACACGGCGCCGGGGTTGAAGGCAATAGCGACGGGCCTGCTTCGAGAGGTTCTGAACCATGCCGCCTAGCCGGTAGAGGGGAGTAATCCCGCGTGTAGAGTTGCTGGAGCTGCCTTTGTTCGATGTATATCATAGCTCAAGCAGTTCGCGGCCAGGCAGCCGTAAGCCAACTCGGAGCATGTTGCCACGGCTCGTCCATGTAGCCGTTGAACCGAGAGTGGGAACACAAAGAACGCCTGCAGGAAAAAGAGACAGGAAAGAGACCTGATGGCGAGTCATTTTGGCGTTTGTGCAAGGGCCACCAGACGCGTGACAGGGCGTAGGAGGGGCGGCGGGACGTGACTGATTTTTCAACTTTCGAGCGGCGGAAGTTGGTCAAAGTTGGCCCCTGCACGTCGGTTCCCTGCCGAGTCAATTGACTCTGTGGGCGATCAAAGGCGACTTTGTCCTGGGTTCGACATATAAACACGTCTACTTCCTGCATCCCCCATTGACTCCCCACTTTTGCTCACGCTCTTGACGCTCTCGACGCTCTCTACGACTGTTAACGACTCGAACGCTCCCGAACGCTTCTCGACAAACGACTTCCCAAGCAACGCTCGCTCTCGCTCGCTTCAAGTCCAATTGTGAAAGCTCCTCTGAACAACAACACCAACAACATGCCCCTCAACGTCCTTGGACTCCTGCGCCGGCCCCTGTCCCGCACCCCGTCCAATGCCTCAATCGACTCTGCGTTCTCCTCCACCTCCTCCTCCTCAACGCACACCTGCAACTGTCCCTCCTGCCCCTCTTCCGTGTTTCCGTCGTCCTCTTCTTCCATGCCCTCGATGGCTTCTCACTCCTCCGGCCTGACGCACGCCACGCACGCCTCGACAGCTACCTCCTCAACCGTCGACTCTACCCTCTCCACGGACTCCAACGGCTCCAGTGGCAGCGGCAAATCGCGCAGCTCGGCCCGCTCCGCCGCCTCCTCGGCCAAGCGGAAACTGAGGATGCTGTACCGCTCCAAATTCCCGAACGTTTATTACACGGACAAGGCTATCGTGTATGTCAAGCCGAAGAGGAGGACAAGTAAGCGGAGTATTGGCCACCCGAGGCCGCTCGTGAAGAAGGGTCGCTCAACGGTGGTGCGCTATCGTACTCCGTGAGCCGCATCTCGCAGGTTCCAACATTGCAGTCATGACGACTACAAGCACGACGGAGGAGAGGAGGGAGGAGGAATAGAGGAGTTCATGCCAGCCCCAGAGGCAGTTTGTTGTATATTGTCTTACTATGTTCATGCACTATACGTCTTTCACCCAACTGGAGGTGTCAATGGCGCGAAGGACGGGTCAGAATTAGGGTGGAACTGGCAGGTGGTGAAACCGCCATTCATCGCTGGGGCTGAAACCGTGACTTGTCACGAGCTGGTCATCACTACCAAGGGCCCTATCGAAGTGAACATAGCTGCACGTTCATTCGCCAGTCATGCGTCTTGGGGAACACGATCTGGCTAGCTGGCTAGTGCTCCGGAGGAGATCTCGGACTGCGGAGCGGAGCGGTCATGACAACTGCCTGTCCGGCGGAGTCGCCCACGCTGTGCTGTCGTGGGCTATTGAATTTCCCACCACCATTAAGCGGGCACTACGACGAGAGCAGCGACAATCGACGGCGTGTCGCGCCGCGGCTCGTGCGATCGCCGCTGCTATCGAGTTACAGCATGGCGCTGCGCCGTTTCGCACTCCGCAGACGGCAGTGAGTCGTACTCAAGATTAGACATGGCATCTAGAGGTTACAACGGTGAGAACAGCGTGATACAAGAGTGTATAGTCGACACGAGACTGGACAAGGGACTGCGAGAGCGGCAATGCTCACACCGTCGGCGTCGACGGGCCCGCCTCCTGCGTACGAGTAGGCACAGTGGCCGCATCCTGGTTGCAGTACGGGCACGTCGTGCCGCCCGAGGTGCGTAGCCACTCGAGCAGGCAGCTGTCGTGGAAGACGTGTCCGCATCGTGTCCTCCAGAGCGTCGGCGCCGACACGGACTTGGTGACGATGTTGGTCGACGGGGGCGGGTATTCGTCGTAGCAGATGGGGCAGTCGGCTTGGTCTGCGTCGAGCACGACAGGCTCGTGCGGCAGCGCAGTGCCCTTCCACTCCTCTGCGTTGGGCACGTAGCACACACACGTCACAAAGTGGGGGACGTCGTTCGTCGTCGGCGCGCGCAGGGGGGCGTTGATCAGGTGCCGACGGTTCGAGTACGCGCGGGCGATGGGTCGGATGACCCAGCCCAGAATCAGGTGGCACCACTGCAGAATGTTGATGACGTAAAGCCCGTACCGAACCTTGGGCGAGCGCTGGCCGCAGACGTCCATCGCAAACTTGTTGAAACACCACGAGAGATAGATCGTTGCCACCCATTCGGCTGCCATGAAAGCGAGCTCCCATCTGTTGTCAGTTCGCGTCCTACTCCGCAGAAACTTACGATGAGCTCGAGCTATTGCGGTTGAAGTGTCGCTGCCTCTGCGGCCTAGGGGGCAGGTTGGCCTGCTCACCGCCCTCGCCGAGCGGTTGCGCCTCTGGGGCGCCGCCGAGGCGCTTCAGGGGCAGGCCCCCGAGTCTCGTTCGCCTGGCGACCTCGCGGAACCACGCTCTTGTGCGCTCACGGCGCACCTTCATGTGCCATCGGTACCGGATCGAGGAGACGTTGAAGAAAAGGATGGGGAAGAGGACGATGATGGAGAAGATGAGGGCGCGGTCGTAGTGCGTGCGCTTGCAGGATTGGTCTGTGAGCCCCTTCGAGTCGACGAGCGCGAGGAAGACGATCTCGCCCACGAACAGCGTCAGTGTCCAGAGGAACTGGATCACTTCGCACACCAATGCGATCATGGTGTTCGTGTGTGGTTGAAGATGGGGGAGAGGCGGAGTGTGAGGTTGTGAAAGCGGTCGTGCAGGTGGACATGAACCAAACCTGAGGGTGGCTGTGCGGGCCAAGCAAGCGCATGCAGCGCAGCCGGTGAAGGGTTCAGCCAGATCTCGCGCGTGATTTAGCTTTCAACCTCGCTTGCCTCGGTTACCGAAACAGCCGCGCAGCTTGTATCTGCAATCAGCCTCGCACAGGTCTCTGCTATTTCAACTATGCATCAACTGGCATCATGGGAAGCTCTTTCATGTACAACAGGCTCACGTTGCTTTGATGGCTACAAGATGCGGAATATTGGTTAATGATGATTACGAGATTGGTACAGGGGGATTAATTTAGAGATCGTCGCTTTATTACGTTTCGTGATTCGTCGTCGATTTCTGGGTTTGGGAGTGTGATTCGAGTGGCGTTGCTTTAAACAGTCACAGCAGCGGCGTCCTGGTTGCAGTACGGGCAGATCGATCCTCGGGAGGTTTTGAACCACTCAAGCAGACACTTTTCATGGAAGACGTGTCCGCATCTAGTCTTCCACAGCGTGGGAGCGGTGACGGGTCCCTGCTTCCTCAACAGACGGCGCTTGACGTGTGACTCGGGGCCCTCAAAGTCGTCAAAGCACACGCTGCACATTGCCGAGTCGGCATCAAGTTCGATGGGCGGGTGCGGCAGGTTGCAGGCGGAGTACTTAGAGTCGCTGGGCACGTAGCACACGCGCTGCACGAAGGGGTACCCCGACGTCGAAGGCGCGCACGCCACGGGGAGGCGGGGGACGATGGCCGGCCTCCATTGCTTGATGTAGTGCTTGATGGCGGGCCGGACGGCACAAGTGTTGCCGAGATACACCCATGTCATGAGCAGCAGAATCAGCTCAAGCGTCAGAATTTCGGGCTGGCGAAGACAGCGGGCCTTTCGCGTGTTGCTGCGGTAGGCCGAGGTTATGACCGGCGGACACCAGAAGACCATGAAGAACAGCATCCCCCGACACCTATCTGTCAGCTTGATCTACGGTTGTACGTCTTCGCAAACATACCACGTCGTGGCGTCCTTGCCGCTGACGCTCCGTCTGTGTGGCCGCCTGGGTGGCACGAAGTTGCCGGGCTCCTCACCGGCGGCACCCACACCGGCGCCGAGGCGGGTGAGGCGGGCGAGCTGTTGCAGCCATCGCCGCTGCTGTTCTCGCACCTTGCGCACCTTCCAAGTATACGCAAGGCTGAAGGCGTCCGCAACTGCGAGGCCGATGAACCACGGCAGGTTGAAGCCGAGTAACGCACTTTGGCTGCATTTGTAGCCGCGCACGTCCGCCAGGCGCATGTACGCGATCGAGGCGACAACGATCGTAGACGAGAGCAGGAGTTGGATAATGTCGATAGCGAGGTCAAGCATCGGGTAAGAGTGTGCTGCAGAGTACTGGAAAGCAGCATACAGCTTATATGTCTTCCCTCTGCCGAGTCGTACATGCCTGGACGCAACTCGCCACCCAGGAGCGCGGACTCGAGCACTCGCAACTCTTGACTCGTGACGAAATGGTACTCGGTTGCGTCGGCTCGAGGTATATTACACGGGTGCCTATGCACGTTGAGGACCAGCCAGCTGGCTCAGCATCCGTCACCAGCCACTGCACTGGCACAGGCAAACGGACTAGTCCGGTGGTGTAAGTTGTGTGCGCTGATAGCATGCGGCCCACGGGTCCGCCATGGCCACCGCCGGAATCCCGTAGAGGCCGCCTCTGTCATGCACGGGGGATCAGCTGACACCAATCTTATCATCGGTTCTTAACTGTTACCGAGACAGGAACACTGCCTCAAGCCGCTCGGTCCTGCGGAGCGCCACCAGCACCGCCCTTGGCTTGGCCGACTCGATTCGGACCGTACCTCATAAGCACCGTCCGAGGGTTCGGTAGGAACCAGCATGAGTTCTGAATCCAATCACATTGATACCCGCTATCTATACAGTTATGCAAACGTGCGCTCCACTCCTCCTGTTTCGGCCGCGAGCGGAGAGTTCGCGGAGGAACGTCACAACGCCACTCGATGTCATCGGTGGCAATTAAGGCTGGCGATAAGATTGAGCGGGGATAGCCCGGTGAACACCGTCATCTCGGAGCTTGGCCAGCTGCGGATCGCCCTGTCCTCGAGGCGGGATATCTTTTCCGGGCTCTCCAATCAGGCTCAGTTGTCGTTTGTGATGCCCTTATATACGAGTCCCACGCATCGCAATGCTCTACAGACTGTCCTTCGTGTCGGTCACCTGCACCTCCAGGATCTGGGCACCAGGAGCATACTGCGACTGCCGGACACGACCGAAGCAGGCAGGGCAGTCCATGTGTCCCTCCTTGAACCTCGCCTGGAGGCAGTCGATGTGGAAAGTATGTCCGCACCGGAATCGCCAGAGCGGGGCACCTGTGGCAATCTGGCCGAAGATCATGTGTCTCTGCATCCATGACACACTCTCGTGCGGAGGCTGGAAGGGCTTGACGCAGATGGAGCAGAACGCCTCTGCCGGTTTGAGTGTGTGCGGCGGGATCGCGAATATGAAGCCGCGGAAGCGTTCCGGCTCGGGTACGTAGATGCACTCCTCGATGGAGGCTGGTGCGATCGCGACTGCGCCCATGTACTCCCACGCCTCGACAATACGCTCGTCCCGCGCCGCAATGGGGTAACGTGCGATCCACGACAGGAAGTGGACCACGCCCAAGGCTAGCATTGCGGCCTGTACCGGAGGCAGTTGGCGGAGGAGGTCAGCCCCTCGTCTGGCGTACAGCGTCGGATCGGCCATGTTCACGAGAGCGGCGGCCGCGAAGCCGACCGCCAGGATATCGAGGAGGAGGAGAAGGCCGAAGAGATTGAAACCCCTGATGTCAGACTCTCTCAAAGGGTATGCAACGTACAAAATAAACCATCCCGTCGTCTCGGAGACATGTCTCGCCGTGCGGATTGCAGCCATGGTGGCGGCGCCGCCCCATTCGGCCTCGTTTGGCGTCCTCTCCTCGTCTGTGCCTGCCTTCCTCTCAGAACGAGGCGCATTCCACCTCTGCGCGCGCAGGAACCGAATCCTCCTCATCGCTCCGTATCGCTGCCCAAGCGTCATGGGCAAGGTGAATACGAACAGACTGGCAGTCACGACGAGGAACGATATCGCAGATGCCCAGCACCACCGGTGCAGCCGCTCGTAGCGGCCTCCGATCAGGTTGACATGCTGTGCCTTCTTCAGCGTGTTCGTCACGTAAGCCGCGAGGCCCATCACACCGCCGTCAGCGCTACGAAGTAGCATTCGAAGAGGAACGCGATCATCCCGCTTGGTGTTCAGTCGAGGGAAAGCAAGAGTGAGTGAGGTGTCTGTGTTATGGATGTTGGATGGGCAACCGGAGTGCCTCCCGCACATATGAGGCGACGGAGCATAGTTTGTCGCACTGGTACTCACTCAGAGCGCCAAGCCAAACGAACACCAGTGCCGCCAGTTGATGAGCGCGGAGCGAGGCAGTGTGAGGGGCGGTGTCGTGACAGGTCAGGGCCGTAGTCAATACGGTTACAACCGAGATGCCGTAGATAAGAAAGCAGAGCACAGCGCCCGACATACAACAACGTGCGTCGCGTTCTCCCCAGCATCGCCCCCACTCCTTCCTTCTCTGTACCTGATGCGTGGCGGGGCTCCGTTCCCGTTCTTCTCGTTGAGCAACACCTGGTCCAAGTCTCCATGCACGTCCTCGTTCCCGATAGTACGGCTGACAGGGCTGGCGCTCAGTGCTCGGGTCCGAGGGTGCCCAACCCAACGCACTGCTCGTGCCTTGCACCACTTTCCCGCGGATGGATCCGCAACAAACGTTTCCATTGTGTCTCTTTCCGTGCATTCTGGTGGGTACGTTTGGTTCTGAGGCTGGCGCCACCCACCGAGAACGCCGGCCAAGTGCGAGTGCGGAAGGACGGACCGCTTCTGAGATCAATCACATCCCTCTTAAGTGTGCTGATAGTGGAACGCTTGGCGGCCTTGGCCGCCACACAAAACCAGCATTGCAGTAACGTCGCGCTGTTAAAGGTCTCGCATACGAAGTTCACTGACTTCTCGCAGCCCCGAGCAACCGAGAATTGACAACCAAGTCTTAGCGCAGCCATTCCGTTACCGGCTCGCATCACTGAGTAGCTGGCTGAATGCGATCAGCAACTTGATAGCCCTGGACTATAGGAGTAGGGCCGAAAACTCTGTCTCTCCGACCTCCCGCATCCTGACTACAGAAGTGCTCGATAGCCGAGCAAGACGTCTGCGTGCTCTGTGGGATCAAGTTACATGTATCCGGATCGCCGTCGTCCGGGCTAACCTACAATATCGGCTGGGCAAGTATTCTAACAAAGGTTGGGAGAGGGAAGGTGCGTGTCTGAGCTGAGCCGCTCAGCTGTCATGGTCGTGGGGGTGGGGTAAACGAGCTCTTCGATTACGCCTTGAAGTGGTCGGCGATCAATGATCGCGGGAACTGGAGAAGTCTATGCAGCCAGCGTGCCGAGGACGAAGCGGGACGGCCTCGGGCCTTCCTCCTGCTTCTTCTTCTTCTTTGAGGGCGACTTGGGCGTCTTGGGATTCCGCGGCGGCGCAGGCGTGTACCCGGTGTGGCTCCCATTGGGGCCCTTGACCTTCACTTTATAGAAGCGTACGAATCCAAGGTTGATCTCGGACACCTTAACCTCTGGCTGTGGTGGGATGGCCGGGACAGGAGGCACAGGGGGCAGTTCAGCGACGTCGGGAAGGCGGGCATCGGGCTCGGCCGTTTCGGGACCAGTGTCGAGACGCAGCGCGCTCTGCGAGCCCACGGAGCTGTCAGCCCGTGACCGGCCGGAGGAACGCGAGCCCTTCCGTTCCTTCCAGAAGAGAAGGGAGCGGCTCTTCTTGATCGACCCCGTCGTGGGTGCGGAGGAAGGTGAAGTCGTGGAACGTTGCAGTGGGAGCGGATCCCCGGGGAGATGCGCAGACGGCGACTCGAACGACGACGGCGGGGTCGACATGACACTGCTCATGCTGCAAGGCACTGTGTGCTGCAAACTGGGGTAGAGGGTGGGGCAAAGGGAGGAGGACGAGGAGTCCACCCCACGACGCAGACCTATATGTCGCTGCACGATGCACACACTAACATGCTAGTGGGCCTCCGAGTGGGGATCGTGGGGAAGCCGGCAACTGTGCCAGACGTGCCGGTCAGTCATCCTGCGCTAGCGCGCTGCCTACAGTTACACTACGCGCCGCTGAGCTCAGAGTTGCGGCGTAGCGCAGTGCCTAGCCGTATTCGGTCTGGCATGGCAAAGTCCCGCTCGCCCGCTCCACTTGACACAGTCCATATTGCAACTAGACGGCCTTAGTGCAACCCGCAAGTCCGGCTTAGGCCTGGACGGGAAGCCTTCCCTGGTTTGAACCCAATAAATGAAGCGCCTTCAGTGCAGAGTTGAAGGGCGGCGAAGGCGTCTTAAGGGCACGACTGGACGGCTGATAATCGCGTGGACCGGGACGGTGCTTCAATCAGGGCGTCTCAGTGCCCTGACGGCTGTGATCGCTGCGATCTGCATGATGCATCTCAAGAACACATCGCTGTGCCCTGCTGAAGCACGCATGAAGCTGGGAAAGATGTTTCTTGACAGTAGCATGAGGTATGCCCCAGCATATTGCTTCGGCAACTCGAAAACCGGAAGAAATGCTCTAGCATGACACTAGGCCGCATTCCGGCCCACCACCACCATGGACTCCAAGCACTAAACAACTTAGCTCAAGCCCAAACACGCTAGTCTCACTTCCACTTGCTGACGAAGCTGGGGACATCGAACGATGCATGCGAACCGTATATAAGAGTGTCGGCGTCTGCGTGAGAAGTTGAACGTCCGCCATTCCAGCGGACATCCAAGGGTTGTCGATCAGGAGAGATCGTATTCGTGAGAAAGAATGGTGTACTAAGACGGTCACTGGAGTGAAGTCGCCTGCCTGGTACCGTAATGCGGGGAACAGCTAAAGTTACCCCACAATTCGTCCTCGCTAGTCGTCCTTCGTGTCCTCGGTGGTGCGTTGCATGCGCCTGCGCGACTCCATTCCCGCCTTGCGTGCGACAGCATCCAGCTCGGCGTCGGCCTTGGCGGAGATGGCATCAGCCTCGGCCTGCAGCTTGTCCGCCTCAGCATTGAGCTTCTTGATCTCGGCATCCGCCTTGCCGCAATCCCTGCCGCCCGCGGCGGTATCGCGCATCTTCCAGCTCAGGCCGCCCTTGACCTGCACCACTGCGAGTGAGACAAGCAGCAGGTTCAGGTAGTACACCTTGATTGAGCCGTCGACGCCGGCCTTCTTCCAGCGCTCGGCCTCGGCTTCGCGCTCGCTTGGGCGACCGGCAAAGCTCTGCAGGTACACCTCGACATGGTGACCGCGCTTAGGTCCCGTGGGCTCAGAAGTGGGAGGAGGGTAGGCTGCAGTGGCGCTCATCCTAGGGATTGAGTGGATGGAGGAGATTGAAGCGTTGGAGTCGATGGGAGAAGGTCACGACAGCATCATCTGCCATGCATTAAAGATGTCGGAGCGAGATGCACAGCGGATGGTGACACCTCGTGCTTCAATGTTGCGGTAGTGCTAAATCGGGGTGTGGTGCCTTGCTCGGCGGGCATCCGTCCCCGTCACAAGCGTCACATGACGGTCCGAAGCTCCGAGCGCCATCTGCTCCGATGCACTCTCAATTGTCGCTCACGTCAGTGTCTCCTCATGCACTCACCCAGTTTGCACCTTGAACTTACTGCACATTGTGATGTTCGCGTTTCGATTGCACTACGTGCAGGATTGAAGACGGAAATAGCCTGGTTAGTGTCGAGCGATGAACGGATTGGTGCGGAAGATACACGACAATGCGCAAGCGTACGGCTGTGCTGTCTATTGCTCTAAAGTTGATCCTTACTCTGCAGCTCCGAGATCATAACATCTCCGATAAACATTGCTGGCGCTTGCTCGTCGTCTACAGCTAAGACTCTTACCCGTCGCCGTCTTCGCCGAAGGTTCCTCCTCCGAGAGCGGAAGTGCGTATGGGCGATAGTACAGGGTCAAGTAACCTCACATGTTTCTAGCCTTCAGGTCACGCGTTGGGGACAGCTTGTGGCATCCAACTCGTTTGACTGACGAAATAAGTGTTACATGACATAGTGCTGACTGTATTGAGGATTGTACTGCTCATTGCAGAAGCATCGGGTCCCGGTGTAGATAGAGTCTGCTTACTACCACCACTCCCACAAGGTACAGACATGTCGACATGAAAGAGCAACTGGTGGACTCGGGGGGAGTTCTTGCAAGGCCACCATGTCACATATGTTAGAATGAAAGGCTGGAACATGATACTTGCATGTTCTACTGTGGGGCAAGAGGCTCTATCCCTGTTGTGCTCGCGGATATTTGCAGAGAACGTGCTCCTCACTGTCCTTTTTCCGCCATCTTGCCTTATGTGCAGCAGAGCCCCGTCCCTTCTCCTCCGGACTCACTCTCCTCTTGGAAATACCTGGGCTATTGTGGCGTTCGTCTCGGGCAGCAAACCGAGCTCATCGCGATGCAAGAGGTGCCAGGACAGGTCACTGCAAGATAATCGCGTGTGATGCGTGCCTGACAGGCATTCCTTAGGATGGCCATCCGCAAATCTTTGCTAGAACTCCTCAATCAGTATCCGATCGTGCATTTATTGTTTCCTACGTATAAAGGAGCATGCAGGGCTGCTTCGACTTCACAGGTGAGGTTACAGGTCTCAAAATGCTGCATCTCACGGAGCAGCAATGACCCCTTGCGCTTGGGAGAAGAACCGCTTACAATCTACGATTAATGCCTCAGCAGCCCAGGCGCCTGCGGTCATCGTCTAGCCCTTGCAGATGCGCATCACCCAGCATCTGGTATCGACATGCGTCACCGACGCTGTCTGCTTCGCATGTCCCGAACCTCCCTTCCTTCAAAACCTTTCGGCCAATTCCCTCGGCCTCGGCATCCACCACCTCTCAATTGGCCGACCCCGCAAGATGCTCCTCTTAATGGCCGCGATGACGTCGCCTTGCCTGTCTCCGCGGCCGAGCGCCGATGCCCTTTTGACAGGCAATGACTCGGCTTGCTGACTACTACGACGTAGGGCGAGAGTCTGGGTCCGAGCCCGAGACTTGTGTGCCGAGCCTGACACTGTTGACGGCATGACGATTGGGTGGATCTGGGTGAAGACGTGACGCGCAAGATCGGCGGTGATGTGCCGCCTTGCGTCAGATTTTCGTGGCAGCGATCATGGCTCCACTTTTGATCGTCCTCTTTCTTGGCGCTGAGATCAGTGGAAGACGACTGATGAGCTATGTCAGAGACACGGGCGGAATGGGAAAAGTGTAGCATCTAGGATTAAGGTATATGGAGTACTGATACAACAATGGGAAGGACTAGTGGCGACGTGGGTGCACGCGGCCACTGCGTTAGGGAAGGGATCCATCGTCCGAGTCGGACATTCTAATCGCGTTCTGGTGTCGGCTGCTCTGGCTCCTGGTCGAGCCTGCTGTGGTTCTTCGACCACGGGACGAGACGGGAGAGCACAGGCCCCGCGCGGATGTGTGTCGCGGCGCAGATCGCGAGCGCGCCGTCGGCCTGAGTCATGCTGTGGCTCGAGGCGAGCACAACATACAGCGGCTCAGTCCGGCTGGGGTCTGGGTGAAACTTGTCGTGCAGCATCTTCTTGCCTGCGAAACCGAAGCCATCGAACGCGGCCGCGTTCACGCGCCGCGTCGCGCCGTGCCAGTGCTTCCGCAGACCCTCGATGCTGCCGATCACACGCTGCGGCTCCAGGCCGAACGTCATGTGCTCTGCGCCAGCGCGGCGCAGCCAGCCCATCGCTGCAACAGTCAGGAAGTCGGTAGTGCCCGCTGGCGCGGTGGGGATGGCGACGACGGGGTCGAGAAGGTATCGTCCGGGCGAAACGGTCATGAGAGTCGCCATGCCGTTGGGCCGCTCGTCGGAGTCGACAGTGTAGAAGTACGTCTGCAGGTAGGGCAAGTCGAAGACGCGGAGCTTGGTGCTGTAGGCTGAGGCTTCGCCCTTGGCCACCTCTTTGCTCGCGTAGCACTCGTCATACACGCCTTGCAGATAAGCCTCGAGAACGGCGTCCCGTCCGTCAGCCGGGTTGTACATGCGTAGCACGCCGTCCTTTGCCATCTTCTTGACGGTGAACAACATGCGCTTCCCGTTGGTGCCGTCGAGGATGGCGTTCGATTGAGGGTTGACCACCTGCTCGTTGGCGAACTGAATCGTGCTCCAGCGGGCAGCCGAGGCGATGGCGGCAGTCTCGGCACCGACGCCGACCATGGCAAGCCGCCAGCGTCGTGCCCGGCAGTACGTCTGGAACTGGTCGAGAATGTCCTTCTTCACGTCTGATGAGCAGACAGGGTCACCGAACACAATGGCGTAGTGGTGGAACATTCCCTTGACGTGCTTGTACGAGATGGCTGCGTTCTTTCCGCATGAGATCCAGATGCGGTACGACGGGTCGGAGAACGTGATGCTCCAGCCGCCGTACTGAGAGACGAGCTCCTCAGTGAGCGCAGAGGCGACGTTGTGCTCGAGGCTGAAGTCGGTTGCCGGAACGGGTGCTCCGCTCCGCGTGGCGACTTGCCGGTCGGCTGGCACCTGGAACTTCTCAATGCTTTCCCGCCTTGCACGAAGCTCCCGCTTGGCGCTGATGGGGTGCTTCAGCCCGTCGAGGGCGATCTCCCATCCCTGCAGGTCCGCCTTCTTCGCCTTGGCCTCCTCCTCTGCCCGCCGCTTCTCCTTGTTGATCTCGCGGCGTGCTCGTCGCTTGGCGGCGCGAGCGGCGGCTTTGGAAGTGGTGATGGAGGAAGCAGGGGTCGATGTGGAGGTTGACTCCTCCAGTGATGATGACGATGGGCTGCGCAGCTCGACGGACGACGAGGCGAGGGACGGCTCCCGCGTCAGTGGGGGTGTTGAGGCAGTCAGGCTCGGGGAGGAGTACAGGGACTCCTGGCGTGGTGACTCAGACGAAGCCTTGGGTCGGTCAGGCGCTGTGGCCGAGGCGGGAATCACGTTCATCGAAAACCGTGGGGTGGTCTTAGCGTCCTCCTGCAGAAACTCCAGGCTTAGATGCTGCAAGCTGGGGTGCTCCCATAGCGAGTTGACGTTTGCCGGGTCGAAGGGGTCCTGGTTGAACCTCTTATCGAGGGGGTCGGCAATCTCGGGCTGTCGTATGAGCACCATTGTCGTCGTCGCTGATGGAGGGGTCGGCTGTGGATATGTTTATGTGTGGAGTTCGCGAGTCTGAGTGTGGCGACAGGCGAGTGTGCAATTGTGGAATGGGATCAGCTAGTGATGTGCAGTGGTACGATGTTCGAGAAGTGTGTTGTTGATTAAAGTCGGGCGACTGTGTTGAACAACAAGTGTCGAAGACAGAATGGCTGTGCAACGACGCGTCAATGTGTCGAGCGTGGGTGAGGGTGATATGAGTAAGAGTCAAAAGACAAGAGGGGGTGGGTGTCGAGTTTATCGGGTCCGCGTCGAAGGCAAGGGGGAGCGGGGGAGGTCGAGCGGCTAAGAGCAGTGCTAGCTAGATTGTAGATCGGTCGAAGGGTGTGGGGCACATGGGCCTCGAGACTGTGAAGCTGCTTTTGTATAGCATGTCGGATGGAGAGCCGGAGGGGGCAGGGATAGTCCGGTGACGAAGCGGAAAGTCTTTCGAGCTTGTGGGTAGTGTTCGGCGGCGAGCAGAGCAGGATACGATGATGGTGACACGCGCTGTACGGCCTGGGTGCAGCATTTCGCCACACCCAAGACTTGCACGCCAGACGGCCGAGGCTTGACTCAGCACGCCCAGAGCGCCAGGGCTAAAAATGGAATGCCCGACGATAGCCCCGCAATCGCCTCATCGTTTCCTCTGCTCGCCTCAGCCGTTCTTCCTGCTCCCTGCGGCATTGGCGTCCCTGAACCAAGGCATTCCTCACCAATGCTAGTCCATCTCCTCAAAGTACTCTCGAGCTTCGCAACAGCCGGGCCTCGCGTCCAGTGCCTCGCGCCGAGTTGAGGACTATTTTTGCCCGCCACGCACTTCACCACTTATGTCCGCGGCACTGCGCTGATCTCAGCTTCTCATTGAATCGTCATCTCTCCACCGATGATGTAGCTCCGCATCCCTGCCTATTCCATCTCCGATCTCCGTCACCGTAAGGCACACACCCACATGCATCCACGGAGTACCCCTCCGTCTCCGTCACTCGATGCATGCGGCACCCATCCGGCAGCCGTACGATTGCTGATCGGCTCGATCGTCCCGTTACAATAGTTAAGACCTAGATGCCGAAACGGCTCTAGTTGCATGCGTTATGCACAGTTGCAGCTAACAAGCGGTGCATGGAACCAGGCCTAGCCAGGGGGCGGGTTCCCCTTACTATTCACTTTACACGCAAGCGTGCTGTGCAGTGTACGAGTTGGCGTCAGGCGTGCTGTGTGGCAGCCTACTCGGAGCTCGGACCGGGCGCAGCATGAACAGCATGCGGCTGCAACAACTTAGTCTTCCCAGCGTAGTCTTTCTTTGGAACCCATCATCCGCCGGATGCGAGCAAGACAGCCGTGCCGAGCCGGGTACAACCGTGCACAGCACTGCCTCCTGAGGTTCACGCGGGTGGCCTGGGCCAGAGGAGAGCAGCAATCGCGCGCCAAGTGCCGCTTAGCGCGATTGCTCGCGCCTAGCGTACCCGGGAAAAGGACGACACTTACGAGTTGCTTTTGTTGCATTGTTTGGCTCGAAACGGCTGCGCTCTCGCTAGTACTTCCAGTGGAGCATGGCACGCAGGGGCTGGAGGTGGGCTGCAAACCGTATTTATAGATGCTGTGCAGTGCACCTGGGACCATGCGGGCTGGCTCGGCTCCGGGTGCTGTTGAAATGTTGTTTCGGTTCGAGAAGTGGAGACACGCTGACGAGTCTCAGAGCTGCGCTTCATGCCACGTTCCTTTGTGACGTTGAGTTGCATCAGGCTCATACCTAATGCCTTCAAGCGACAACCAAACGGCCAGAGAGAGATGTGTGTGGGAAGAAGACGTCGACCTTCTCCCGCGTAATAGATGCTCCGCGACGCAAGAGCCGTCTGGAGTTCAGCTTACGGTCGTGGAGCCGGGCTATTCCTGTCCGCAAGGCCAGAGGCAGGTGACCCAAGTGAATGAATAATTCGGATGAACTGCGGATAATAATAGATAAGCCTGCGAGTTGAACATGTCCCGGCCGCGTACGAGAGTTGAACCGCGCAAGCCCGAAATAGCTTACCAGGCACGGCTGGAATTGGTTGGCTCTGTGTGTAGAAATGGCTGCGTCCATGATCGTACAGGTTGCGTCCATGGAGGAGAGATCTCGAGATCTTGCACGGCCATGAGTGACGACTGCGCGATCTGCCGTATGCTGAACTGCACAACTGTCACAACTCGAAACGCGAACGCCAGACTAAGAGATGCGGTGCTGATGGGCTATTCCGGACCTGGAGCAGCATTTCGGGCTCGCCGCTGTTATTCTGAGTGGGTTGCACAGGAGTGCAAGGCGCGATCGCAAGGGCAATCGGTACAAGTGCGAATAGACCAGGTCGACATGACTGCGCACTGCGCTTGTCCTGGCTCGCTGGTTAGTGTCCTGGCGCAGAAGGCGCTGCTTGTAGAGGCATGATGCGCCGATGTGACACTCTCGCACCGAAGGTTCAACGTGAGCTGCCTGAGACTTTACCATTGCCCAGAACGATGAAGGCATGTTATGTGCGCTGCATCGCTGCCGTGACGCCCAGCATGTCCGGGCTGTCAAGTTCAGACGCTCGCAATGGCCCCACCGACCACTCAGGCGTAGCTGCTTGCGGGTAGTCACTGTGTCCTGGCCCCGCCTGAGCCGTGATCGTCGTCACTACTGCGCACCACGCACGCTGCGCGTTACCCGGTTACAGCCTCACCGGAGTCACGAAGCGCCGCTCCTACCGATACAGCGCGCACGGAGCTGCGCCGTCTGCGTTATCGATCACGATCTGGTCGGGGACCTCTGTCGTCCGCTCCAGCTTGCGCAGAGAGCATTCCACGATTCATGGCATATGGAGTGACCCGTGGCCGTCTTGGACGACAGAGCAGACTGGTGGGGCTCAACGGTGCTGCCATCAGTGCCGCCCATATCACAGGCTGCTACTAGTCAGCCGGTGTGTCTGTCGCTACTGCCCTTGTTGGTATCGGCGTCTTGCTTCGTTCGGGAAAGTTCTCTTGCTCGCCTTCGCTATCGTCTGACGGCTCTTGGGTTTGGACTGACGTTACTCTCACTACTCGCAAAGTGTAGTCAGGCTTAACATTTGCTCTTCTGACGATTCGAACAGAATTGGACATCCTGGACGTCCGCATACTATCGCTTAACGTCTCCAGTGGCCTTCCTCGCACCTGCGCCCTTGAGGTCTCGAGCTGACTCGGCTAAGCGCCCTCTGTCCCGTCGATAGGCGACATGCGCACATCCTTTGGCCTTCCTCAGTCACATTCGTCCGCTGCATTACGCCCTTCCAGGCTGGCCGGCTGTACTTCCTCGCCTCCTGCTCGAACGCTTCTTCGTACTCAATTTAACAACAATCACTCGATCAGCACTCACCTTGAACCCTCCTTCCACTCTTCCCCGTCCCGGTTGGCATAAGCTATCATCGCGTGGGGCTCATGCGGCTGCCAAAGGACGAGTCAGGCGAGTACATCTCATTGAGCGAAAGACATCGACCAGAAGTACACGTCGGCCGTTCTTTGGATGTCTTCCAAAGGATGAGTCCAATGGCGACTGTGTTAGCCAACGTCGAGCTCTCGCTGACATCGTAGCCCTCTCTGACGCTGCCATCGCCTGCATTCCTCGCTTAGTGTTCAATAACACGGTGGATTCTGCATCGCTTACTCGTCTGGTTACCTTCCAAACTGAGTGGGGGTCAGCGGCGACTGCGTTAGCTAAATTGAGCTCTCGCTGACAGCTAGCTTTCATGAACACAGCCTCGCATTGTGAGTATCCCTCACCCAGTACAACTGTACTGCGGTGCAATGCGAAAGCTTCTCTGATCAAGGGATCCGATCAAGGGGGCGGAAGGCGTCGGTGACAGCCAAACTTTACCTTCGCTGACAACATAGTCCATCAACGATTTCCCGGTGAGTGTCCCTCACTCAGCGACGAATCGGGGGAACATCTCGACTCGTCGATCCCTTCCTCGACAGGGTTGGGTCAGACGGCGACTGCGTTAGCTATGATTTAATTCTCGCTGACACCATAGCGACTCTTCCACAGATCTATATTGTGAGTTTCACTCAACCAGCTCGTCGCGTCAACAAGATTGCCCTGCCTTGAAAGGTTGGCTGGTTGGCTTCCTTCCACTTGAGCAGACTCAACGGCGACTGCGTCAGCCAAACCTGTATCTCGCTGAGAACTGCCTGCCTCAGCTCCACTTGCGCGCAAAGAACAAGCGTGTTAATGAAGACCTTCCCTCCGCCAGCGTCTGCCCTCACCCATGACTCAGTGAGTATCACCCACTCAGCTTCTTTCGAGGGCTACTACCAAACCTGCCGTTGTCGCTATCGGCGGCTGCGGCATGGAGAAGGCGACTGCGTCAGCCGAACATCAAACGCTGAAGACTTGTCCTCCTCTCAAGTCGATACGATTGGGAGTCCTCGATGTCCCAGACTCGCACCGCTATCCTCTCCTCGGTATCACAACCACCCCGGCAACTGTGTTAACAGGGCCAGGATTGACTGGGTTGATCCTTAGAGCTTCGTGAGTGCCAGCGGCCCTTCTCGAGCTGACTTCACAGAACGACGTCCGCAGATTCCACCAGGCTTCCTCCTCATTGCCACCCTACGAGCTCGGGACGCTTGGGTGCTCTGACGGTGAGTCCACTCACTCAGCAACGAACCAGGCTTGTTCGGGGCGGCCGACCGAACAAGCTTGTGGTCTAGGATCTCGCAATGCTCTCTTCTGGCAATAAATCCCACATGTTCCCCTCCGTGCAGACGCGACCGACGGCAGTCCGCTTTCCCTTCCCCCGGAGCACGATGGCTCCGTGGCGGCACAACCCACACCCCCGAGTAGGCACGGCCACTCGCGGCGGTAACGATTCAGCGACACGACCCGAGGAGGCACGGTGACCCCTCGCGGCAGCTCAGATCACAGCACACCCCCGAGTAGGCAGAATGACCACTCGCGGCGGTTCAGATTCACCCCGAACGACGAAGAAGGCGAGGCAACGAAGCCACCTCTTTGCGGGGTCGGACAGGGCCACAAAGGCGCGGCACGTCGAGGCGGCGAACCGCTGTGAGGCAACCAGAAGATAGCATTTCGGCGACCATCCCCTCCCGCAAGGGGACACCGGCGATTGTATCAGCGTTCGTGCTGACCCTAGAGACTTCGAACTATCATCGTTGGTTTCGGTGGCGTCAGGTGTGGAAGGACTGCCCCTAAGTCAAGGTTAGTGCAGTAAGTAGACAAGCGGTAGATGCAAATCCCATACTATGACAGATGAGGAGACTGAGAGAGCCCCATGCAGCCTGCAACGAGTTTTGGGTACCGACAGGACGAGCGGACACAAGCATTACCTCCGCACACCACAACACACCCGACAGCGATCACGTGAGGGCAATGTCTGGTTCGCTAAGCTCAACAGTCTAAGGCTGAGAAATCCCACACCCACGCGGCCCAGGCACGACATCCAGGCCCCGGCTCCGGGCCGATGATCCTTCCTGCCTCTCCCGGGGGTCGATGACGACAAAGGCCAGGTGAAGCGAGGGCCTCAGAAATTTTCTGGCTTGAAGCCATGCAACGCCCGTACGCCGGTCGTCTGAACCAGCCTTTGACATTCAGCGCCCGACGACGCCCAGCTGCTGCTCGACCAGTAAGCAGAGGGCGGAGAGACGGTTGTCAGGATTATGCATGGCATGGCTGGGCCTGACCCTTCAGGCGGCTCCTCTGGAATCTCGCCTGATCTCCGTGGTGTCTGATTCTGCCGTTTGCTGTGCCGTCCACCAGACGCTGTGAAGCGGGGCATGTTGGCTGAATCGTGGCCTGGCGTTGCCCGGAAGCCTCTGACTAATGCGGCGCTCTTTGTCTCTGAGGCAATCTCACAGGCTGGGTCTACCCTCAGGCTGACCGCGGGAAAGAAGGAATGCGCTCAGTCTAGCTGTCTAGTTGCCGGTCGGCCATCATTCTCGTAGTTGGTCGGGCATCGGCATCCGCAGAGGTCCAGGCTTCGGCAAGCTCCACTTGATCAATTCGGCCATTCGGTGAGCCCGGCGAGCACGGCGCATGGACATGTCTGAAAGTAGACATAGACACGGGAAGGTCTTTCCTATCAAAACGAGGTCTGTACGCTTGGACACTAGCAAGACCGAGATCTCGACGGCTCGCGGAATGGTACTGGACGAGGACGAGGTCAGTGCAGCGATGTCCGCTCAAGAAGGGCCGTCAACGGACCTAGAACCATCACTGCTAGCCCTGCGTCGTCTTGGCCAACGAGAGATGCAGCAGTGCAGCGGCGATCAGCGACGGCGCCGCCTCCTTCATCAGAGAGATCTGGAATCTGCGTGTCGATCCAAACAGGCCCATCGCACAGCATCTCATGACGTCGCCGTGATGGGATGGCCAGATGTAGACACTGCGGCATGCGTTGGGCGCGTTGGGGAAGGACAAACAACAGCGTCTCCGATCAAGCTTCAATAAGCTCCGAGCGCCGTAGGGCTGCAGACAGGATCGCAGGGCCGTGACGTCTGTCCTTTCGATCCGTCCTTCGTTGAGACCGTCCGACGGACCAGGCTATCGACGTTCCGTCAATCCGTCCCCTGATGATCCATGCCCTTCCACAAAGGCTGGACAATGCGTCACACCCTCACGCTCTCACAAAAGTAAACACAAACGAACCGCTGCTGCGTCATCGTTGCGATGCATGGCTGAGACGGTGACTTCCCACACCACCTGGTTTGGAGGTTGTGAAAGTGTGTATTCAAGCATCGGAGCTCGGAGACTGGCGTGCACCCCCGAAAATGAGCCCGGATCGGGGGTGCATACGGCATGAATGCGATCTGCCGGAAGTCTTATGGCTGTCTTCCGTTGACTCTAGCGCTGGCAGGAAGCCTGGGCTGCAGAGCTGAAGAGGCTGCCGGAAGCAAACACGCTACGGCCCAGCGTACGGCTGGCGCGTCGTGATTCGGCCCGGGGTCCTGCCGGGCCTGGCGTGGCTTTCAATGTCTTGCAGACCAGGAACCCCCGACCCTCGAAAAGCCTCAGGCCGCATGCTCATCTGTACCTCTTGTTCCTGAGTGTGCCTGAGCATCGCAGCCGGAAGAAGGCATGCTCCCTTCTGCGCCGTGGTCTCCGCGACTCTGCGGTGCTGCTGTGCTGCCTGCGACGAAGGTTAGGCAGTCAGCCCCTGCGCCCACTTCCCCCTGCACCATAGCGCTGGAGCGCAGTAATGCGGGCAGGAGTGGCCACGAGGTATTTAGGGTGCGTCCGCACCCTGCCGGACCCTGTGTCAGGCCCAGACTTAAGCTGCAAATCCAGGGTGCTTGCGTGTTTCGAACTTCCGCTTTGGGACAAACATCCCGGCGCCAGCCAGCCAGGCAGAGCTTTTTCAGCCCAGCAAAGCCCAAGGAGGCGCCCACGCGACAAGCCGGTCTGCGGCGCTCGACGCCCGTTCAAACCGCTGAACCACTGTGTGCTGTACGCCCCCCTTCGCGCCCCTGCCTGGCTGGCTGGCTGGCTGCTTCCACCTCGTTGTTTGGCTCGGACCCCTTTTCTGCGACCCTCATCCTCAATCCTCTCCACTCGATCTGCTTCCTCCCTCATCTCCGACTCCTCTCGTACCTCTCTCGCCTGGCCTCCGGACCCTCTGTCGCTCTCTCACACACCTCATCTCGCCTGACCTCGGCACCCACTCTCTTTTTTCCTCTCAACGATATATCCTCCGACTCGCCGAGACGACTAACCTCCCCCTCGTCTCTTGACAATCCCTCTCTCTCTCTCTCTCTCTCCACATCGCATCCGAACGTCTCCGCGACACAACTCGAACGGTCCTGCTCGACGCACACGACCATCTCCGGTTCGACACCAGCCTGGTTTGACACCTTACCTCAGCGTGAGTTGTTGCTCTCATCGCTTCAGCTGACAATCAGCTTCTCTCCTTGTCACCCGCCTCTCCCTTACTCGCGAGACTTTGACAGCCTCGACAACACTTTCTGTCTAATCGACACCTGTCCCAAAAGAAATAAACAAAACGTTGAAAAATGAAGCTCCTCGCCTCGTTCCTCCTCTCGCTGCTCGCTACTACTAGCGCAGCGCACTCGCCCCGCTCCTCGGCTGGACGCAGGCGTCACCACGCCAAGCGCCAGAACTCTGGCGACGCGACCTTCTACGCCGTCGGCCTGGGCGCGTGCGGTAACACGAAGTGAGTAAGGCTGCACACCTCCACCACAACCGACCATCGGATGGACGGGCCGTGCGTTGCTCCACGGTGCGATCCACAGATCCCCGGATCTACCTGGGGTTAATTAATCGTTGTTCCGTGTGACCGTGTGGCATGTGGTGGCATGTGGCATTACTAGTTTTCGAAGGGGCGCACCGCTGACAGCTTAGCAACGACAACGAGATGGTCGTCGCGCTGAACGCCCCGCAGTGGGACGGCGGCGCGCACTGTGGTCAAATGCTCACGATCACGCTCGGCGGCAAGAGCCAGACCGCTAAGGTCGTCGACCTCTGCCCCGGCTGCGCCCACGGCTCTCTCGACATGTCTCCCGCGCTTTTTGAGAAGTTCAACTCGAAGGATGTCGGCCGCTTCCAGATGTCTTGGACCTGGAACGACGGTTCCGGCGGCGGTTCCTCTGGCGGCGACCAGCAGCAGCAGCAGGAGCAGAGCTCGGAGGAGCCCAAGCCCAGCTCGAAGAAGGAGGAGAAGCCCTCGTCTACCTGGTCGCCCGAGCCTACGAGCACCTGGACGCCCGAGCCCAGCACCGAGGCGCCGAAGAGCACCTCGACCTGGTCGCCTGAGCCCAGCTCGACGGCTCCCTCGAGCTCGGCCGCGCCCTCGCCCAGCTCGTCCTCGTCCGCTGCCCCCTCCACCTCGTCGTCTACTGCCGCGCCCTCGTCCTCGTCCTCGACGACCTCATCGTCGTCGGCCGCGCCGTCCTCTTCGTCCTCGACGCTGCCCTCGTCCAACTCGACCCTCTCCACCTCCACCTCGCAGAACAGCACCTCGGCCAGCTCTAGCTCGACCCAGAGCTCGAGCTCCTCCACCCGTCTGCCCGACGTCTCGGCCGAGTCGCCCAATGACTCGGTCCTCACGCCCGGCAGCAGCGAGGGCAACCTCGCCAAGGTCAACGAGCTCGTCGTCTCGCTTGGCCGGCTGGTCGTTGCTGGTGCGACGGCTTAAGCGTGCTGTGGTAGTGGTGTAGTGTTTTGGGCTTTGGGACTTGCTTTTTTTTTATTCTGCTCGTTTTATTTTTAGATTCTGCGCCAAGGCGCTTTAGATGTACAATTGTTTTGCTCTCACTCTTACTCTGCTCTGTGCGCACTTGCTTGTTCTCATCTCGCTCACTTGGGCTTCTTCGGGGGTTTGGGAGCTTTGTGCAGAAGGAGGAATGGGTCATGAAAGTTCGTCGCATTATACAGTCTCTCCTGTGGCGTACATCTATCTGGTCTTTCACTCGCTTCTCCGTCGGCTCGTCCGTACTTCGACTTAGTATCCCCTCCTAAGCCGCTCAATCTCCTCCCTCTGCTTCGCAATAACCTCCCGATTGGCCCTAATCTCCTCGACGAGAGGGCTAACCGCCGCGCGAATCTCATTCTTGAGTCCTCGGCCCATGCGGAGCATGTCCAGTTGGAGGTTTGCAATCTCGCGCCGCATCTCTTCGAATGCGACGACGCTGATGCCTCCCGAGCCCTCGGGATATCCATTGCTGGAAGAGTCCGTGATGGATACGGGCGACTCGAGCTGTGCGGCCTGCGTCGGGGCGGAGAGGGAGGGATGCGGGGAGTGGCCTGGGGCAGGGTGAGATGTGGGCGTGGCCCAGTCGCCCGAGACGCGGCGCGAGGCCACCGATCCCGCGGGACTCGACGCAATCGACGCCGTCTCCTCGATCACCGCGCCCATGCGCGTCGCCTGCGGGTCGAGAGGCTGGATCCTTACTGTTCCGCCGGTACGGACACTTTGCGGGCTGCTGCGTGTATTCTTCGGCGTCGCTTTCGGCGTGCGTTCCTTAGCCGTTCCGTTCTCACTTCTCAGTCGTTCAATGGCCGGCAGCGCTGGGGCGGACACTAGCCGCCGCTTATCCCCTTTCTCGCCCGACACGGCGCTGTGCGCAATGTCGGACACGCGGCGGTCGGGCCTGTTCGGCGCCGAGGACTCGCCTAAGACGTTTCCACCCCCGATTGTGCTGATACTGGCGCGGGAGCAGGGACGACGCTTGGGCGGCAGGACGTGAATGTTCAGGACGGGGTCGAGAGAGGTCTCGCTCACGTCTCCCTCGGAGGTGACGAGGTACAGCCGGCCCGAGGCGCGGACGGCAACGTTCGAGCCGTCTATCCATGTACTGGAGTCAACGGGTTCGGGAAGGGAGACGGTCGAGACGTCCCCGGTCGAGAGGGTGAGGAAGTGCAGATCCGTGCCGGAACAGATGGCCACGCGGCCGGTTTTGGATGCTGAGATATGCGTTGCGGGGGAGGGAAGGGAGAAGGTCGTGGGAGTGGAGGAGTCGAGGGGGTGGAGAGTGAGTCCTTCGGGAGAGGGGTAGAGCAGACCTGCCTTCGTCAGAGCGAGGAAGGGCAGTGGCTGCTGTTAGTTGAGGCCGAGCTGAAGAACTCACTGTAGGAATGTCGTGCGAGAGATGCAGGCGCTTGCCGCCTTCGTAGGTATACACTTCGTCGCCAGCGAGTACGACAACGTCGCCGCAGCACTCAACGCTCGTCACGTTGTCGGGTGTCTTCTGTCAGCTTCCTCCCCTCTCCTAGACTCACTTCAAGCTCCGTCGTCCTGGTCCACTTGCCCTCCACCCGTTTCCAAATCCCAGTTCCCGCCGTAGACGCAATAACAACACCCTCCCCACACCCGACAGCCTTGACTCTCTCCCTCGAGCTTGTCAGCTTGATCTCGCCGACTCGCCTTCCCTTCGAGTCATATTCCCAGACGACAGGCAGAGAGTCCGCCCACAGGTACGTGTGTCCAGCAGGCGACATGGCTGTCCGCGGTTCAGCACCCTTGGGAAACCGGGTCGGGAACTGGAGCGCCGTCGAGGGTCCCACCCTCGGCAGTGTCGTGAGCGAGAGTGAGGTCGGATGCACTAGCAGTGTCGTGCTCATTGTTGCTGGCGTGTCGGTGATGTCAGACGGAAAAGCGAAATCAGTCGCGCTGAACCGTTGTTTACATCCTAGGGATGTGGACCTCCACCATGCAACGGCTGGTGCGGGACCAAAATGTCCAGGTGCGGAATGGATCTGTAGCTACTCCTCCAAGCTTATGAAGTAGATGTCTATGCATGCGGCGGGCCGCGGCGTCGGCGCGCGCAGTGTCCCTATGGTATTAATACAGAATATGCGGGACAGTGTCCTAGAGTAACAACAGGTGCGAGAGCACGATTAAGATGAATGGGAGGGCGAAGCTGGTCGCGGGCAGAGCTTGTCGCTTGGTGGCGGCATTCTCGACCGTCGCCTGCGAGCTGTCGCCTGGCCAGCCGGGGATGGCCTGATGGTCGTCTGAAGCCGACGCCTTCGGGACTGGGATGCTGACGACGGGAACAGCGGCAGAGGGGTATGCCGACGCATTGCCCAGACCCAGCGCTTGCGGCACACCGAGCGTCGGCACCGGCGTTGAGAAGGCGTAGCTCGGTGTCGGATAGTTAGGGGGTGAGAGAAGGACATGCGGCAGCTTCGTGTTGACCGTCTGTGACGGAGTGGCAGCAGAGATGGGCTGCGTGCCGTTCGCCTTGTCGGTCAGAGGCAGGAAGCCGATCTGCGGCGGCTGTCCGCCATCGACACCATAGCTGAAGACAGTGTACACGTTCTTCAGGAAGGGCGTGCCGAGCTGCCAGTCGAGACCGTCGCCTGTCGCCGGCACTGCGACAGGCCAAGCGAGACACATGCTGCTCTCGGGCACCGCGGCATAGATCCAATCGGACGGCGGAATCTCGACAGAACGGCCATTCTCGCCGAACGAGAAGCCAAGCGTGACTCGCGTATCGCACGGAACGGCCCACTGTCCCGTGCTCACCATGCGCGCGTCTTTAATGCCGCTGAAGAGCTTGGCGACGTCATCCTCGGGTCCGTAGATACCGTTCGTGCCCACATCGAGCAGCGCAATTGGCGGCACACCGAAGTTGGCGTACGTCGAGTTCAGAGCGAAGCCCGTTCCGTTCACGGACACCTCGGACAGCTGCAGCGCCCAATACAGGTATGCCTCCGACTCGAGCTCGGCCGGCGTTTTAGGCAGGCCGCGCTTACCGGGCGTGCCGATCGCACCCATGCCGTTATCTTGTAAGAGGTTCGAGCTGGGAGCACTACTGCTGGACGATGAGGCAGAGGGCGAGGAAGGGGCAGGGGCGCCAGAGCCGGACGCAGAGGCAGGCTCGCCAGCGGCAGCGGGTGTCGCCGACGCAGACATGGCCGAGACATCGATGGTAGTAGCGTTGCTCCTAGAAACGCCATTACTTGCGCGGCCGAAGGGGACGACAGGCCACCACTCGATGTCGTTGACAGTACGGCCCGTCGAGGGGTCATCGGAGACGTACAGCGCCGAGACGCCGCCAAGGGTCAGCGACCCACTCGAAAGGCTGTATCGTGGTGCTGGCTCGGGGTGCAGCGACTTCAGGGCGGTCGCCTGGCTAGCGTTCAACGGCGGAGAGAGGGCGAGGGCGAAGGCGGGGTAGGGAATCGAGGGCGTAGTGATGAGATTCTCAAGCAAGGTTGGCATGTAGGCGGCAGAAGAGGAAGGCACGGCGGCTGCGGGCGCAGAAGAACTTGTCGCAGATGCGGTGCCGCTAGAGTCACTGGACGACTCCTGCCTGCGCTCCATTCCAGAACTGGGTGAGGCCACTGCACTTCCGCTGGCGCCTGACTCAGAGGGCGCAGAGGCTGAACCTGACGGGCTGCTCGCACCCGCTGGCGCTGCGGACGATGTCAATGGGCTACGGTCAGAACTCGGCACGCTGTCCTGCAGGAGCACTCGGCCCAGAGTCGACAGCCGCGGGAAGCCGAGGCCGAGCACTCCCGAGATGTCCTGCTCCGGGAGAGACATATTCGTAGCGGTGATGAGCCCAATGACCTGGTCGTCGACGAGGTGCGCCGCAATCATGACCTGGTCTCGCGCGACAAAACCGCTCGCAAACGACTTGTCGGCGTACTGCGTCCGCCAGTAGGTCGAGTTTCCGTTGACCTCCTTGAAGTCAGAGCTCATCATATCGTAGTACGGATTCTCCTTCGTTGGCGCCGGGCACTCTTTGCCACACTTCGTCGAGGCGATCAGAAGGTCCGCGCTAGCCGTGTCCAACTGCAGTGGGTAGGCCCTTGACGGGCTGCCGATTCCGACAGGGACAACATAGGTACTGCCATTAGCTAACCGGAAGGAAAGAACTAGCTCACCTGTGCACGGCGCCCAGGGCAATAACGGAGCCGTTCAGGCCGCGCTTAACGATCGTTGGGTCGACCTCCCGCTTGTGGAGGGCGAGGTCGACACCGCCAACGCCGATATCAGCGCGGGGAACATTTGCGCGACGAGAGTGTGGCCGGAGAGATTGAGGGTCGCCGAGCTCCGCCGCAACGAGGCCGGCGATGGCCAGAGTGAACAGCGGAACGAGCATTGGTCGAGATGGAGGAGGGGATGCAGAAGGAGGTGGGAGACAAAGAAGTTGTGTGAAAGTCGATCAAGGAGGCGGGGATGAGGGGAGGCGTGCGAGGTGCGTGCGCTGTGCGAGCAACGTTCTCAGAATAGACGTGTTTGTGGTGTGCCTTGTTTTCGCGTGAAGAAAGTTGCTGCTGGAAAGAATAGGTTGAAAGTGATTTTATGAGATCGGACCGGCCGATCGGCGAGGAAGGCGAGTGCGGTGGTGTGTGCAGCTATGTGAGAGTGAAAGAGTGTCAAGAGAGTATAACGGGGCGATGCAGAGTGAGGGATGATGGAGAGTAGATGACTAGTCGCAACGGACGGCGCACAGCTTAGCGTAGCAGCTCGAGCGCGAATTGCCCGCGCCCTGTGCCGCCCCCGTCGCATGCCGCCGTGCCGCCACGACCCGAACTCTCACCCTGCACAGGCACTGCCTGGCACTGCCCGCAGCCAACTCCCACCAAGCATGCATGCTCTTCGACGTCGTCAATCACCTCCGGTCCTTCGCGATTGGCCATGTTGGACTGCTTCAGTGCAACTTCACTTGCCCAGAGTTCCAAGAGTGCATCTTCTGACTTGGGCGCATGTGCGTTAATGAAAACCCAGCTTATCCCGTCGAGTCTCGAACGTCTCGTATCTCCAGATCTTCTTCGACCTACTGCGCCTCAACGGCGACCATACTTCTCGTCTCTCATTCCATCATAGCGACACTCGCAACATGCACTCCTGTCATAGTCATCTAAGTTATCGTCATACTGCCGAGCACAATCCTAACTACCGTGCCGTGCTATCGTACCAGATCTACACATCGTACTGCCTTCAATCATCAGATCGAGGGCGGCTACTTTCTCCCTCCGAGGCCGTTAGAACTCGTCATCATTCGGCGATCCAAACCAGCCAGAGTACACGAGAATGGTGCCGTAGACGAGCACACCACCCGCGATCGACATGTAGCACGCAGCCGGCGTGATCAGTCCCGCGTGCGCGAGGACTACCGGGAGAGCGAAACCGGTGGCCTGTTGTCAGCTTCACATGTTCCAAGAAGTCAGCTGTGCGGTAGAGGCCCTCGGCATCTCTACTCACAACAAGCGCTCCAGTGAGCCAGTGTCCAAAGTCGGTATAGGCCGAGTTGTATTCCGGGGAGAGGTCGTCCGCGTGCGCACACCGTCCGCAAAGCGAGTTGGGCAGCGGCGCGATCACGAAGGTGAGCGCTGGCGGTTAGCTGCGAAGCAAATACTCGAAGCTTCGTACTCACCAACAAGAATGGGGAGCCAGTTGCCCCACAGAGCACACGAGAGGATGACGAGCAGGAAGCCCGCGGCGAGCACGAAGGCGAGGAAGATGACGGCTGGATGCGGTTACACGGGGATAGCAACAACCAGAGAACAGAGTGACGCGAGATCATTGAGATTACACGCGAGCGTAAAGGTAAAGCGTCAGCATTGCGTTCATCGTATGAGTTAGGCGTGAAGATGCCTGCGTCCGATCGCCGTTGTAATTGCTGTTCGACGACACCATGGCTTGGCGGCAAGAGTGCGCACCGGCGCTGGAAACGCAAACGTAGCAAGCACGTCGTTGTCTGGCGATCCCTCGCTGCCTAATCCTTCTTACTCACTCTTCAATCCTGCGGCCATGGTGGGATGGTTGTGATGTTCGCCAAAGGAAGGATGATGAGTCGCCGTCGAGCAACTCACGCTGTGACGTCGACCGACCGAGCTTGGCTAGCGCTGGGTTCCGGCGTGCGCCGTGAGAGGCTAACACTCCACGTGGCTGGGGAGAGACCGAGTGAGGCTGGAAAAGCACGTGACCTAACTGCAAAACTTACCCCACAGCGATTCAGGGAAGTCGGCAATGGCCACGGCCAACCAACGAAACTGCGGGTGACCCCTGCGGGCGGCGTGCGGGCGGCGGCACTGGACGGCCCTACTACCGGCCTGGGTTACGGCGATGGAGCTCAGGCTGGCGCAGCTGGGCAGGCTAACGAGTCAGAAAAGTTGGATTTCGACTCCGCGTGGCTCTCTGCAGCCAGCCAGCGTCAGGTATCCGATCGACTCGTACCGACCAGATTCAACCACCGGGTAACTGAAGTGTTGATTTTCCTTTCTCCCTATTCTGTACCACTAGATCTTCACCATGTCCTCGTCCCGCTACCCCACTACCACGGTGCGTGAGGTGAGTAACATTTCCCGGCTGACTTTTCAAGGACGAAGACGCCCAGTCTGACAACCAGGCCCACGACCTCCTCGACGACCGCCGCGTCAAGGCCATCAGGCCCCTCATCCCGCCCCAGATCCTCACCGAGGAGCTTCCCCTCACCCTCCGCGGCGCCCAGACCGTTCTCGACGGACGTCGCCAGGTCGAGGCAGTCGTCAAGGGCGACGATGACCGTCTCCTCGTTGTTGTCGGGTACGTAACCCACCCCTGCTTTTGTGGCTCAGCTTGCCGCCGAAAGCTTCTCTAGCTGACATCAGACCCTGCTCCGTCCACGACCCCGAGCAGGCGCTCGTCTACGCCCGCCAGCTCGCCGACTACACCGAGAAGGCCAAGGACGACCTCCTCATCGTCATGCGTGTCTACTTCGAGAAGCCCCGCACGACCGTCGGCTGGAAGGGCCTCATCAACGACCCGGACATGAACGGCACCTACCAGATCAACCGCGGTCTCAAGATGGCCCGCAAGCTTCTCCTCGACGTTACCGAGCTCGGCCTCCCGACCGCCGGCGAGTTCCTTGGTGAGTACATGAGACGACCGCTAGGCCGCCGAGCATCTTGTGCCATTGCTATGTGCGCCCGGGTCTCTACCGAGAAGAAGCGTTGGCGCAGATCAGAACGCAAGCAGGGAGGAAGGTTGAGAGGGAAGGCGCATGGAAGGCGCAATAGAAGGCGGGAAGGGCGCCGATCACTGCGCAAGGGCCGACGGCCAGAACAAAGGAAGGCAAAGAAGGCTGACACGATTGCAGATGTCATTTCTCCCCAGTTCCTGGCCGACCTGTCGTCGTGGGGCGCTATCGGCGCGCGCACGACCGAGAGCCAGGTCCACCGTGAGCTCGCTTCTGCTCTCTCGATGAGCGTCGGTTTCAAGAACGGAACTGTGAGTACTCTCTTCCGGAGTTGCCTTCTTCAGCTCTTCATCTGTGGGAGTGAGCTGACCGTCAGGACGGTTCGATCGGCATTGCGATCGACGCGATGGGCGCCGCGGCGGCCTCGCACACCTTCCTCTCGGTCACGAAGCAGGGCCTGACTGCCATCGTCGAGACGGAGGGCAACAACAGCACGCACGTGATCCTGCGCGGCTCGACGAAGGGCCCGAACTACTCGGAGAAGGACGTGCTCGAGGCCGGCGAGAAGCTGAAGAAGGCCGGGCTGAACCCGCGCATCATGGTCGACTGCTCCCACGGCAACTCGAACAAGCAGCACGCGCGCCAGATCGATGTCGGGCGCGACATTGCCGCGCAGCTCGCTGGCGACGGCCCCACCGCCCAGATGATCATGGGCGTCATGATTGAGAGCAACATCAACGAGGGTAACCAGAAGATTCCCCCCGAGGGACCCAAGGCGCTCAAGTACGGCGTCTCTATCACGGACGCGTGCATTAGCCTCGAGCAGACCCTGCCCCTCCTCGATGAGCTCAGGGAGGGCGTCAGGCAGCGCAGGCGCAACGTCGCCGCTAAGCGCACCCCCGTCTAAGCGTTAGTTACGTAGTAGATTTAAAAAAGGCAGCCCCAGCCTGCCACTTCACACCTGGGCTAAACATTGTAGCACCTTCAGCCTAGATGACATGCATTGGATAGGCCCGTATTAACCTCTATGGGCAATTTTGAGCAGAACAGAACACGGACGAAGGAGGTCGTGACAAGTGACAGTACAGTGTGTGATGAGAGTAGTAGTACAACAGGATAGCTTACACCTGGTCTAAAACAAGCCGCTCGTCATCTTCGTCCGAGGCGACCTCCGTTGGAGACGCAGCCTCGTGCTTACCTGAGTCGTCGTCGACTTCGATCGAGTTATCGTCATCGTCGTCGTCGTCGTCCCCATCCTCATCGTCGTCCTCTTCTTCATCCTCATTTTCTTCTTCCTCTTCTTCCTCATCGCTGCCCCCCTCCTCTTCATCAGAGTCATCTTCCTCTTCAGACTCGGTCTCAGAGAAAACCTCGCCCGGGAGGCCGATGAACTCTGCCTGGTCGTCAAAGCCTCCCTCTGCCCCCGCAGTTGCGGTTGGCGGCTCTGGAGCTGAAGCACCCTTGGTCTTCGTTTTCTCAGCACGGAGCACATGGCGGAGACCACACTTGCGGCCGCGAGAGCAAGTTCCCTTTGCGTGCCACTCAGGGCACTCCCAGATGTGCAGCTCGGGGCAGGTTCCGGCAGGTGTGTCACACCAGCCCTCGCGCGCGAAAGCCTCGCACACCGGGGCATCGTCTGCGACACGGACATGAGGGTAGAGGCACTTGTCGCCCTTGTAACAGGAGCTTGTGGCTTGGAAGCGAGAGCAAGAAGGGGTGTTGTGAGCTGAAGGGGTGTGGGACAGAGGACAGTTGTCGCCCAGCTGACAGGTACCTTTGAGGAACTGGTGACAGATCGCCAATCGATCCGGAATGTGCTGGTAAGGGCATGTTAAAGCGCGCTCGCAACGACCTGTAGGTTAAGATGTGTCAGTATGAAGTGTGAGGAAAGCCCCAATACGATGTGGGCTGCTGATGGACGGGGCGAGACGCACCCGTCTTAGTGTAGTAGCGGCATGGCCTTTTGGCCTGCTCGGCCCTCCGCGCGGAGGCCCTGGGATGGTCAGTCACGGCTTGTTGCTCGGGCAAGTTTCCGCACGTTGATCGAGAGATCAGGTTGCCCCTCTTTGTTCTCCGGAAGTTCTCCCCCTGGTACTTGAGGGAATGGCGAGTCGGCGTATTGTTGACGTCCTTCTTGGTGCCCGGGAGTTCTGAAGTGTCAGCAGTTGACAAGCGATGCGGCATACCTCCGATCCTGGTGAGCTTCTTTCCGTCCTGCTCAAACTGGAAGACAACTCCGTCGATGACGACGCGCTTCTGGCCCTCCGAGCCTCCGGGAGATGTATCGGACGACGATTGCAGCACCTGGATGGACGGCGGCACTTTCGGCTGGCGCGGTCTCGGCGGTTGAGCTGCGAGCTTGTCGCTGTACCGTCAGCTCAAATCAGCAAAAGGCACTCACCGTTTCTGCACCGTCATCAGGCTCATGTTTCCTCCACGGCTCGTCTTCTTCACCCAGGCGCTTGAGTCGTGTGACAGCCTCGGAGCAGTTGAGGGCACGGTCGTCGACGCAGAAGTTTGAGAAACTTCGCCTTCCTCCATTTCCGTATCCTCCACCGCAGCCGAGCTCGTACCTGCTGACATCATTGGCGCTGGTGTCGACGACGAGGGCGTTGAAGATCCAGACGCGCGGTTGGCTTGCCTGAAGTCGACAGAGTAGCCCCCTCCTCCTCTCCCCCTGCCGCGAGGCTTACCACGACCACCGCGGTACGAGTAGCCTCCTCGGTAGGGGTGGTAAGACGAAGGATGGCTGCTGCTGGCTCGACTCGAGATAGCCCCTAACGGTCAGTAACATCGAAGATCGGTGCCCACCTGAGAGCTTGGCAATTTCCTGCTGAAGCAGGAGTTTCTGGCGTTCCGTTGCTGTTAAAGGCGGCATGGCAGAAAGGATACTGAAGATGACAATGATGACATCGAGAATGCGATCAAGCAGCCTGATCAGCACCCAGCAAGCACCCTGGGCTGCCCAGAGCGGCTAGAGCCTTCGCCACCAACTGCCCAGAATATCCACGCGTGTTTTGGTAGATTTTATCCAGGGTTTGATTTTGCCACCCAGTGTAATGGTCCCGCAAACGATCGATGGGCGGTGGAGGTTGCCCGGTGGAGGTGGTCCACCGTTGACAACTAGCGCAGCAGGAATGTCGGTTCCCACCTCGACCACCTCGCAATGATCAGCGGTCGATCTGCGCCTTCCTCGCACGCAAAAGCGAGACATTCATGAAGTTTTTCTCCTAATGTCAACTAACTCTGCGTTGAGACGACGGTCCTCGGAAGGACATCTCGCCATGTTCTTCACCGACGACCTTCAAATCGGTAAAAATGGCTCGTAAGTTCGGAAAGCCGTATCGTTGCTGACGGATTCGCAGACTGGGGATAGTCTGGTGAGTTGACTGTGTGCCTTCCCTCACATTACCTGACGCATCCCTCACCAGGCTCATGGCCACCCTTGGCCCCAAGAACAAGCGCATTACCCGCAAAGCCATCACTAACCTCGAAATCCCTCACACGTGCGAGCTCATCGGTCAACCTGCCGAGCCTATGGCCCTGCGTTTGAGCGGTCATCTTCTGGTCGGGGTCACCAGGTAGATATAACCTTTGTTAATGACTTGCTGACCTCAAATAGAGCATACAACCAAAGTTACGAGATCTTCTACCATGTACGCCTAGTACCAGCCTCCGAATTGCTTACCCGCAGGACGTTCAAAACTTTGATCTCGCTCTTCGTCGTTCCGTCACCATCGGTCTAGGAGCGGACTCTGTCTCGAAAACTAAGGGCTCTGGTGCCCTTGATCTGCCAAATGGTGGCCGCAGCAGGTGGGTCTTCGTGCGGTCCCGCTAGCTTACTGCAGGTACGACCATATCACCTTCACCGAAGCCGATGAGCTCTTCGACTTCAACTTTGCAGGGGGTCTGGAGTTTGGTGCCATCGTGAGCTCACATTATCCTTGGAGCAACACTGACATCTCTCAGGATTGGAACAGACCCATCAACGAGCAACGCAAACGCCGCGGGACGTCAAAGCTTTCCTCCTTGCAGCAGACGCAGTCATCTCACTCGGTCTCTCATCAAGGCGGAGACTTCATCGGCTATGGCTCGGACGATGATGAAGAGGCATCCCAAGATGGGAGCAATGTCGGTCGAGGACGGAAGCGCAACTCTTCTGTGGCAACAATGGACACGATCAACAAGCGCCCTCGTCTTCCGACCCGAGAGCCGGAGATCATGGACTTTGCTCCAATCGAGCTCGACATCCTCGGCGACCTTGGTGACCCACTGCTTGATGACATTACCCATGACCCACTGCAGCAAACAACCGACATTCTTGACGTTGATCTGCCTCTTCCAGCTGAGGGCAACCCGAGCTCCTATGAGTGAGCTCCGCTTCAAGGACTGCCAGCTGACATCAGTGAAGTCGATCACTCACTGGGAGGAGGTGCTGATGCGGACGCAAACAAGCGCCGCAGTAACTCTCCTACAGAGAGTGAACACTCCGACGGACACGAAGCGACCAGGAAGACGAGGAGGAAGAAGCCTGCAAAGCGCTTGCGCTTAGACAAGGTGGGTCGTGAATAACTGGTGCATGCGCTGACTATCAGGACGTGGAGGCTGTCGATGACAACCTCTCCTACGAGGACATGATCGCGGAGCAGAGGGAAGACCGCCGTTCGAAGGTAACCGAAAACACCAACCGCGTTCAGGCCGCATCACTCGTCGATCGCGCAGGGTTGTTTGTTCAATGTGAGTTATATCGACATCCAAAGCTGACTGTCAGTTATGGACACTGGGATGCAGGAATTTTATGGGCACGCCATCGGGCCTCCCCAGTTCCAGTGGCAGACGGCGCCACCGCAGATCGCCAAGGCTGGCACTGTCCCTCCTGCCGCTGTCCCCGACACTCAAATTGACGCACAGCAAGAGGACTTCTTCCCCACAGACTATGGCGACTACGTTCCGGATCTACCCCTCCCTGATCCTGAGAGTGGTCCAACCCGCTCCGCTAACACAGGGTTTGGAGGTCCTGCACCGACGCCACCTTCTTATTCGAACGATGCGCGCCGCAACCTGACCGCGACACCGGAGCAGCCCCGCCGTCTGTCCCAGAGGCTTCCCGTAAGATAGCAGGCGAACATCATCTGACGTACAGTGGGAGGATGCCCTTGACCTCGATCTTGACAGTCTTCCCAACCTGCAGGATGAATCACCTTCCAAGCGCCGGTTCAGCATTGTCACGCCCCTCGAGCAGCGGTAGGCATCCCACAACCCCACCGCTGACAACAGTATCCGCTCGAATGTATCGACTCCGGATCGAACACTCGAGCGAGGACGCCGCTCACGCTCCCGTTCGGGCTCGGTCCTGAGCATGATGCAAGCGGACGAGTCCATGCTTGATTTGAACGAAGACGAGCGTGAGATTGTTGTTGATTGCGGTTTGCTAATTGCGCCCAGTGCCTCTGGACGAGCCATCGAAAGCCCTCAGCGGTCCGTTCGCCCCCGCCTTGCTAGCGACTCTGGAGCAGCAATGCCGCTCATTCTTCAGGTACCTGCAGTCTGGCGTGCAACCTTGCTGACACCCAGCTACGTCGAGCAGCGCATGCTGCAGCATAAGACGATGGAGATCGAACTCGACGAGATTGTTGATGTCGGCTCCGACAAGCGCGTGGCAGCGGCGGCCTTCTACAATTGCCTGAGTAAGCTGAGGGGTCGTGACGTGAGCTGACCAGCCAGTGCTGGCTACCAAGGGTATCCTCAAAGTCCAACAGGATACACACTTCGGCCCCATCTCGGTCCGGATCAATGCCGAGGGCGACGACGAAGAAGATGCGGAGGACATCGCCATCGAGGGCGGAGAGGATGATCGCGATAGCCAAGCTGGATCGGTGATCCAGGAAGAGGAGGAATACGACGACGAACCAGCGTAGCCTATTTGTGCCTATCGTGAGCTGTTTATATCGCAGAATGATACTGTGGACGGAATATGCATGCAAGTGTGAGTATGTGTGTGTTTGTCTATGCGGATTCTTTCTTCGGCAGCGGCGGTCCAAAGGGGTCGTCGTCTGCTGGCTTCACCGGTCCACCAAAGACGAGCTCATCCTTCTCCATCGCCTCCTTCGCCTTCGCAGTCTTGATCGCCTTGGCCTCGGCGGCCTTAGCCTCAAGCTCAGCTTTCCGCTTGATGTACCTGGACGTCAGCTGAAGGCGCGTTAAGGTCCAACTCACAATGCTGTACCCGGGACGCGCTCGGGGTTGATGCAATTCTTTAGCCGCTTGTCGATTTCCTTGATCTGCTTCTGCTCCAGCGGCGGCGTAGATCGGATGAGGTCCTGAATGTCGCGGATGATGGCGCGTAGCCGGGGCAGAGGGATACCGTACGGGTACGCCATCGGTCCGTCCTCGTCGTCATATCCGTCGGGCGGTGTCCAGTTCGCGTACTTCTCATCCAGGAACTCGTCCACGACACTCTCAGCCGTGAGTCGCCAGCACGCGAGGCCGATCTGGCTCGGGCTCCAGATGAACTCAGCGTCGGTCAGGCGCGAGCGGGACAACCAGTCCAGGGCGGAGGGGAGATTGCGCTGCAGAATGTCAATGTTAGCGGGCTTGTTCTGGAACTCGAGGAACCAGCCGCGCAGCGAGCGCTCGGCGCCGTGCGTCCAGAACTCGAACGCGAGCGACTGCGCGATCACGAACTCGATCTCGAGAATGTCGGTTGACTTGAAGTTCTTGAACTTCGGCACGAAGACCTCAATCGGGATCGGGTGATTTGTCGTCTTCGCTGCGAGGAAGAGACAGGTGGGCCTGGACGTCAGCTCTGGTAGGGACTTTGGCAAGCTGCGATCAGCTCACATTATGTTCTTCGGGTGCCACTCCATGACCGAGTTCTTCAGGTAGAAGCGCTTGATATAGCTGATCGTTGTCGATTCAACGTACTCCGGCACGCCGAAACCTTGTCGACAGATCTTGGACGCCTGGTCACAGTAGAAGTTGACTAGCTTCAACTCCTCCTCTACACTTGGGTACGTCGTTGGCGGCGGCGGGGAAGGCCCGTCGGCACCTAAAGACTCCTGCGCTTCCTGAGCGTTAGCTGGATTCAACAACCTCCGAGATAGCGACTCACTCGCTCAGCCTTCATGTTTCGCTCTGTCACCTCTCGACTCTTCTCGTTCAACTCGTGACGCAGATTGTAGAGCTGATCTTTAGAATATCGCCAATGCCGGAACTGGGAGCTCTCGTGGAAGGCGCTGGGACCGGGGATCAGAGCCGGCATCTCGGTCGGCGTTGGCGTTTCCGCGTTCGAGGTGGGATCAGGAGTGACTGTCATGGCGTCGAGCTGTTATTGTAATGTCGGGGCTTGTAGAGCTTGGTCGATACCGCCTGAGCTCGACGGTAGTCCTCCTGCGACCCAGGAACGTCATATTATTGTGCTCTACGGTGGAGTGGCCACCACGTGGGGTATGACGTGTAGGGCAATGGCTGATAAGCCTCCACCTCAGACATCTCGTCCGGAACAGCTACTGAAATCTATGTCGAGCGATCCGGAACCGAGACTCTGACATACAAAACGACGCGCACAGCAGCTTCAGCAAGCGCGTACGGCCTTTCGAACTCACCCCAGAGGCCCGATATACCCGCCAAAAATTCCGCCCCGCGCATTCAAAAAACTACACGCCGAGCAGGACATGCCGGCCGCCGACAAGGTCGGATCCTGGCTCGGCCAGAAGGGAGCCAAGAAGGGAAAGGAGGCGTACGAGAGCGACTCGGAGGCCTCCGATATCACCGAGCCGGAACAGAATGCTCATACCCCGGACAACGATGAGGTGGTCGACGACGACGAGATCGTGGAGGAGGACAAGGACAGCCGGGAAGCGAACATCGATTGGGCCGACGTACTGCCCAAGATTCGGCCGGCACTCCTGGACCCCAGCAAGAAGCGGAGAGAACAGTTCGCCTCGCGCTACCTTTACGTGACGCCTGAGTCGCCGGCTCCGGAGTCAACAGGACAGCTCCTGCAGCAGCTCCTCATGACCCTTACCGCCTCGACGGAGTGGAAGGCTGTCGACCTCATCGTTCAGGTTCTCATGGACCTTGTCAGGCGCGATGAGGAGCAGCAGGCCCCGATGAAGCTCGGAGACAAGCTCGTCAAGTGGGTTTGTGCCGAGACGGCCAAGGCCGTTGACGCCGCCAAGTCAGCCCCACCCCAGGTCCTCCTTCCCCAGCTCAACCTCATCCTCGCCCTCATCACCACCCTCCTCGGCTCTCGCTCCGATGCCTTCGTTCAATCGGCCCAGCTGAAGGACTTGCTCCTCTCCCTGGCCGCTGTCACTGACGGTATTGAGGCCCGCCAGTCGCCCAACCCCCGCAAGGCATGGCGCGTTCGCCACAAGGTCAACATCCGTGTCTGGCGTGTGCTGCGCCTGCTCCGCGAGAACCTGCAGCTCGTCGCACAGACTCTGCTCAAGGCACCGCAGCCGCTGCGGTCCGCCGTGCTGCTTGGAAATGTCGTTGGTGTCGCGCTCCGTGTCAAGATGCCCAAGGGCAAGGCGCCGGCGCGTGAGGCGATCGAGGCCGAGAAGCCCGCGATCATCGACTACTACTCCACCAACATCCTCGGCTCCAAGGTCGCCCTCCAGCCGTACCTGTTCTCGTCGTTGAGCGAGTTCCTCTCCACCTTTGTCACCGACGCCGACCTCACCGGCAAGCTCATCCCCGCGACAGAGCGTATGATGCTCCGCTCGCCCGAGATCGCCCTCCCCGTTACCGCTGCGCTGCTCGATGAGTGCAAGAAGGACATCAGCGCTATCGTGCCCGGCAAGCTGGTTGCGGGCGTTATCTCGTCGTCCAAGTCGTCTAACGCGGAGACCCGCGCCAAGTCGGTCAACCTTTTCCAGGCCATCGTCCGCAACACTGCCTCTGACGAGGCTCAGCTCAAGATTGCCAACGAGGTCCTCTCCCTCCCCAAGACCGGCAAGACGGCCAACGCCGACCAGCGTGTCGCCCTCTACAACATGGTTTCGTCTATTCCGACGAGCGCCGCCTCTGTTGTGGTGGACACCCTGCCGCCACTTATCGCCAAGGAGTCGAACGAGGCCGCCCTTAACGCTCTGGGAGCTGCTCTCGGTCCCCACCTTGCCGCTGTTCTCGTCTCTGACAAGCCGGTGGCCGCCGCTTCCGCTTCCGCTCTCACGAAGGAGCTGGCTTCGTCCAAGCTCTCCGTGCGCCGCGCCGTGTCCACTGCCGTCGGAGAGGCTGCTTGGACCACCAAGGAACCGTCGGCCGAGGGCCAGAAGCTCCTTGACTCGTTTGCCGCTCCCCTTGAGTCCAACCTCAAGACTGCTTCTGCCAACGTGCCCTCGAACCCGACCGGTTTCCTTGAGGGCTACGTTGCCGTCGCCCTTGCTCTTGGCCCGCTGAAGGACTCGAAGCTCGCTACTTCTGCTCCCATGAAGGAGGTGCTCACCGTCTCGCCCAAGCCCTCGTTTGTTCTGAACGACAAGGCATGGATTAAGCTCCCCACCGAGACCGATGAGCTCTGGCTTCTCCGTGCAGTTGCTGCTCTCATCGCGAACAATAACATCGAGGACAAGGCCGTTAGGGTCGCCCTTGGCCTCGCGCTGATCCACCTGGCATTCGAGTCTAAGCACCCCAACGTTCGCCGCGAAGTGTACTCCACTGTCTCGGACCTGGCTGCCCAGCACCCTCGCAACACTGCTCAGATCGTTCGCGAGGCTCTCATCTCTTGGCTCCGCACCAATGAGCAGCGCCGTGCTGCTGCCCGCGCCAAGGGTCCGACTGCTGAGGAGGAGGAGAATATCGTCTCCAAGTCCCGTGAAATCGGCCGTCTCCTGTCTGCAGCTGTTTCTCGCGGATCGGCCGACCAGGAGACGCTCGAGGATATCGCCGCCGACCTTATCGTCATCGCCCACCACCCCGAGATTGGTGAAGAGTCGCAGGTGTCCTGGATTACCATTGTTCAGTCCCTTGGTCTCGACCCTGCCAACCTCGTCAGCGTCAAGCGCGAGCGCATCCTCGACCTGCTTTGGGAGGTTGCCTCTGCTCCGCCCAAGGACGCCCGTTTCGCTGAGGCCGCCTACCGCGCCATCGCTACCCTCGCCTTTGTCGACCCCGTGGAGTTCGTCGGAGACATTCTTGCTAAGATCAAGTCTGACCTCGACCCTGCTGCACTGGACTTCATCGGCATTGAGGAGCGTGGTATCTGGCAGACGCCGTCTGATCAGATGTTCACCGATGTCCTGTCGAAGAAGAGCGATCAGGTCGAGAACAAAAACAGGAAGGATTACGCTGTCGAGAAGTGGGAGCAGGAGGTGCGCGAGCAGCTCGCCAAGAAGAAGGCGACGACACCCGGTGCCAACCTCTCGAAGCAGGACAAGGCTCTTGTCGCCGCCCAGCTCAGGAAGGAGGCTGGTGTCCGTGAGGAGATCGCTCTGGAGCAGGCCCGGCTCAAGCGCGGCCTCGAACTAGTCTCGAGCCTCGCTGCTTCTGGCGTTTCCGCTGTCGAGAGCCAGCTTGGCACTCTTGCTCACCTTCTGCTGAGCAGCGTCTTCGGCGCGGGCGCTTTCCTTGTCGATGACCGTGCCTTCGAGGTCTTTATCCAGATCAGTGGTCTCGCTTCTGACCGTCTGGATGAGTACCGCCGCCTGACCGCCGCCGCTATTCTGCGCGGCTACGAGGCTCCGTTCGTCCCCGAGGACTACCTTCAGGAAGGAGCTTGCGAGCTCGTTACTCGCATTCTCCACCAGATTCTCTTCCTGGTTAACAAGGCGCCCCTGGACCCGACTACCTACGCCCTGGTTAGCATGCTTTTGCACCGCGTCGTTGCCGTTGGCGGTATCGGATGCCAGTCGGCGCAGAGCGATGAGGCTCAGGAGCAACTCACCCTCGTTGTTGGCATCATCGGCGCTTGCGTCGGCGAGTTCCAGGATGACGCCTACCCTCGCCTGGAGACCATTGAGGACCTGCTCAAAATCATCAGCACCCAGCCTCGTCTCGCCAAGGACGCTTCGTCAGCTCTTGCCGACCTCGGTACCGCAATTCGCGACGTTGCCACCCCCGAAGAGATCGCCGCCATCATCAAGGGCACTCTCTCTGGCGAGTCCAACGTTCGCAACTCGGCTCTCCAGGCCCTCCAGCCCATCGACCTTACGGAGCTCAACTACTCCGAGGAGCTCTTCATCGCCACGCACGACCCAGATGCAGCCAATGCTGCGCTTGCTGAGCACCTGTGGGAGGACAACGGCCTGGATATTCCGGAGACGTACCTCGACTCCCTTGTTCCGTACCTCTGCAACAAGTCCGGTGCCGTACGAAAGGGTACCGCCGAGGGTCTCACCGACGCCGCGGAGCAGCACCCGTCGCAGATTGAGCCGACCATCAAGGCGCTCGAAGACCTCTACGTCGCCGAGCTCAAGGCGCTTGAGCCTGAGATCGACCGCTTCGGTATGGTCATTCCGGAGACGGTCAACAAGCCCGACCCCTACCAGTCGCGCGTCGCCATCGCGGAGGCCCTCGAGAAGTTTGCTCCCCTTATCCCCGACGGACAGGTCGAGCCGACTCTCAAGTTCCTCATCGAGCGCGAGCCTCTCGGTGACCGCCACGAAGAGGTTCGCCGTGCCATGCTGAACGCTGCCACCACCATTGTCGACATCCACGGTGGCAAGGACATTTCTGGTCTCATGAGCATCTTCGAGACCAACCTTGCCACTCCTTCCACCTCTCAGACCACTGATTACGTCAAGGAGAGCGTGGTTGTTCTCTTCGGTCGTCTTGCGTCCCACCTCGAGTCCTCCGACAAGCGTATCCCGAATGTTGTCGACCGTCTCGTCGAGGCGCTCAACACCCCCTCCGAGCTTGTGCAGTCGGCTGTTGCTGACTGTCTCCCTGCGCTCGTGCAGGACATGGGTGAGGAGGCCGAGTACCTTGTTGATCGCCTGTTCTCCACCCTCACCACCGGAAAGTCCTACGCCGCCCGTCGAGGTGCCGCCTACGGTCTTGCTGGTGTGGTCAAGGGCCGCGGTCTCCGCGCTCTCAAGGACTACGACCTCATGGACAAGTTTACTGAGGCTGCCGAGGACAAGTCGAGCTACGAGGCTCGTGAGGGTGCCGTCTTCGCTTTCGAGACCCTCACTGCCACTCTCGGCCGTGTCTTCGAGCCTTACATTGTTGAGATCATCCCGCTCATGCTTAAGCTGTTCGGCGACTCGAACACCTATGTCCGTGAGGCTACGCAGTACGCTGCCAAGATCATCATGTCCAAGATCTCCGGCCACTGTGTCAAGATCATTCTCCCCACTCTTCTTGACGCTCTTGAGGAGAAGCAGTGGCGTACCAAGAAGGGCTCGATCGAGCTCCTCGGATCCATGGCGTTCTGTGCTCCTCGTCAGCTCTCGCTCTCGCTCCCAACCATCATTCCCCACCTCACTGGTGTCATCAACGACTCGCACGCGCAGGTCAAGTCGGCGGCCAACGCTTCGCTCAAGCGCTTCGGTGAGGTCCTCAACAACCCCGAGGTCAAGTCGATCCAGAGCACGCTCATGAAGGCGCTCGCCGACCCCTCGGCGAACATCACCAAGGCTCTCTCGTCGCTCCTCAAGACTACCTTCGAGCACTACCTCGACGCTCCGTCGCTTGCGCTTGTCATGCCCATCATTGACCGTGGTCTTCGCCAGCGATCGTCCGAGATCAAGCGCAAGTCGGTACAGATCGTTGGTAACATGGCTTCGCTCACTGACTCGCGTGACCTTGTGCCCTACCTCCACGAGCTCATGCCTCTCATCCACGAGGTTCTGGTAGATCCCGTTCCCGAGGCTCGTGCCACTGCCGCCAAGTCGCTGGGTACTCTCGTCGAGCGTCTCGGAGAGACCAACTTCCCCGACCTCGTCGACAAGCTCCTCCAGACCCTGCGTTCAGACACCTCCGGTGTCGACCGTCAGGGTGCTGCCCAGGGTCTTTCCGAGGTTCTCGCTGGACTCGGTATCGAGCGCCTCGAGGCTCTTCTCCCCGACGTCATTACCAGCACGGCTTCGCCCCGCGCTTACGTCCGTGAGGGTTTCATCTCGCTCCTCATCTACCTTCCGGCCACCTTTGGTCACCGCTTCTCGCCTCATCTCGCCCGTATTATCCCGCCTATCCTCAACGGTCTCGCCGACGAGTCCGAGTACGTGCGCGATGCCTCCATGCGTGCTGGTAAGATGATCATCGCGAACTACTCGAACAAGGCTATCGAGCTTCTGCTTCCCGAGCTCGAGAAGGGCATGCTCGACAGCTCGTGGCGTATCCGCCAGTCCTCCATCTCGCTTACCGGCGAGCTGCTCTACCGTGTCACCGGCATCAGTGGCAAGGTCGAGTTGGAGGAGGATGAGACCGCTGGCCGTGGTGCCGACCAGGCGCGCAAGGCGCTTCTCGAGGCTCTTGGCCAGGAGCGCCGCGACCGTGTCCTCGCTACACTCTACATCGTTCGCCAGGACACCGTCTCGACCGTCCGCCAGGCGTCCATCCACATCTGGAAGGCGCTCGTCCACAACACTCCCCGTACCACCCGCGAGATCCTGCCGATGCTCATGCAGCTCCTCGTCTCGCTGCTTGGCTCGCCCCACATGGACCAGCAGGAGACTGCTTCGCGTACCATCGGCGAGCTCTGCCGCAAGAACGGCGAGCGCATTGTCGGCGAGATTGTGCCTATTCTCAGGAAGGCTATCTCGTCTACCGACTCCCGCACGAAGGAGGGAGCGTGTCTCGCCTTCAGCGATGTCATGCAGTCCGCTTCCAAGGACGCCATCGAGAACCACGAGGACGTCATCATCTCGTGTGTCCGTGGCGCTCTTGTGGACCCCAACCCCGATGTCCGCACCGCGGCCGCTCAGACCTTCGACACCATGCAGCAGTACATGGGAGCCAAGGCCATCGACCAGACCATCCCGACGCTCCTCGAGGCCATGCGTGGCGAGGGCGAGGCCTCAGAGACCGCTCTCCAGGCACTCAAGGAGGTTATGAACGTCCGTGCCAACAGCGTCTTCCCCGTTCTCATCCCCACCCTCACCGCTCAGCCCATCAGCGCCTTCAACGCCCGTGCCATCAGCGCACTCGTTCGCGTTGCCGGCAGCGCCCTCAACCGCCGCATCGACACCCTGCTTAGCGCGCTGGTCAAGTCGCTCGAGGCGAACCCCTCCGAGGACGTCAAGCCTGACCTCGAGGAGGCCATCGAGGCGCTCTGTGCTTCCGTTGAGGATTCGGACGGCATCCACCTCCTCATGATGCTCCTCTTCGGCTGGGCCAAGGACGTCAACCCTACCCGCCGCGCCACTGCGTGCAACATCTTCGGTACCCTCTGCCAGGTCAACGAGGAGGACATGGACGACTACCGCGTCGACTGGATCCGCATCCTTGTGGGCCTCATGGACGACTCAGACGAGGGCGTCGTCACTGCTGCCTGGGAGGCGCTCGACCACTTCGTTAAGACGATCCACAAGGACGAGCTGCAGACGCTCGTCGTGCCGCTCCGCCGCACGATCGAGTCGACCGGCGCCCCCGGCCGCACCGTTCCTGGATTCTCGCGCCCGAAGGGTGTCCAGTCGCTTGTCCCCATCCTGCTCGCCGGTGTTCTCAGCGGTACCCAGGAGCAGCGAGAGCAGGCCGCATTTGGTATCGGAGATCTCGTCCAGCGCACTTCCGAGGCTGCCATCAAGCCGTATATCATCCAGCTAACTGGTCCTCTCATTCGTGTCATCTCCGGCCAGTCCATCGCGCCCCAGATCAAGGGTGCCATCCTGCAGACTCTCACTGTGCTCCTGGAGCAGGTGCCGCAGCTTGTGCGCCCCTTCCACCCGCAGCTCACGCGTACCTTCGTCAAGAGCGCGTCAGACCCCGCCGCGCTTTCCATCCGTGTCAGGGCCGCGACTGGTCTCGGCGAGCTCATGAAGCACCAGCCGCGTGTCGACCCGCTGATCACGGAGCTGATTGGTGCGGTCCAGACCGGCGAGCGCGAGGTTGCGCCGTCGGTTGTTTCGGCTCTTGCCGCCGTGTGCAACAGCGCGGGCCAGAACATCGGCGCCGCGGCCAAGACATCGATCGTCGAGCTCATCGAGGAGGCGTTCATGGGCGGCCACGGCGACAGCTACAACAACGCCATCGCGTCCGTCGCGGCCGGACTCGCCAAGGCGGACGCCGAGGCCCTGCGCCCGATAGTCGACACGTTCCTTGCGCCGGCGACGCCGCCAGCGTCCCTCGTCAGCATCTGTATCCGCACGATGCTCGAGGACTCGCCGGATGCGTTCTACGAGCTCGAGTGCACCGAGGACGTCGCGAAGAAGATCATGGCCAGCCTCGGCTCGGACGCGGCCAACATTGCCCGTCCGTCGCGCGAGGCCCGCGAGCTCTTCCGCTCCCAGCCGAGGTATAAGGACGACGCGGCCGTGCAGGCTATCGTCAAGTAAGGGTTGAGGCGTTGTAGGCATAGATGCAGCGTAGGCTAGAGTAGATATCAGATACAGTTTTATTTTTCATCATGCATCGTAGCATTGTGCAGGGATCATTACAACAGGGTACATTGGCGGCTACGGAGCGTCTATGGGCGAGGTCAGAGGGGGCGTATCCGGACGAGAACGTCGGCGACGAGTCCAGCCGGATCGTTCGCCGAGATGGCGGCGTTGATCGCCTCGGTCATGTCCGCGTTCGTCCCTGTAACATCGGCAGCAACGAGCTTCGGCGCAAAGTCCATCGTGAGTGTGACGCCTTCTTCGTACTCGACCGTTGTGCGTCCATTCTCAACACTCATGTCCCGGATACCGAGGAGGGCGCGGTACTGCGTGTTCATGCGTCCGAACCAGTCCGCGAGCTGCAGAGCGTGGTTGTCGCCCATAGAGCGGAGCTTCGTGACCTCGGCCGCGCGCGCTTCCTCCCTCTGCCTGTCCTTGCTGAGCTGAGCGACGCGCGCCCGCCGAGCGATGAGCGCCTCGGACAGCTCCGCGATCCGCCCGTCTGCGGTGCCGAGCGCGGATGTCAGCTCTTCGAGCCGCTCAGTCTGCTTATCCAGCGTCTCGCTCGCCTCTGCCATGGTCATGCGCGAGTCGGGCGGGTGCGCGGCGTTTAACCGCGCGAGCTCCAGCTCCATACTGTCAATCTCCTTCTGGAGCTTCGACACCTGCGCGACCTTTTCGGACAGCTCGGCGTGTTCTGTTTGTCAGCTAAGGACCCGGTATGCCAGGTGGAGGTCCCTCGGTTGCCCTCCTCACCCCCAGAAAGCCACTCACTCTGCTCGTTGTCCTTGGCCATCTCGCCAATCTCGACCCTCAGGCGCTCAACCTCGGCCTTTTTCTCCTTCAGCACAGCCTTCTTCTCCTTGTTCTCGCGCTCGAGGCGTTCATTCTCCCCAGGCGCCAGAGATGGCGACTCCCCTGTGATCGCGAAAAGGAATTGGCGCTTGGCCTCGGAATCGAGAAAGCGCTGCTTCAGGAGGCGGAATCCGCCCTTCTGCTGCTCCTTGCGGGCCAGAACGGAGCCAGGGCGCGCATCTCGGTTCTCTAAAAGGGAGGAAGAGCGGAACCAGTCGCGCTCCTTCTCGAGAGCTGTAGGCTCGGAAGCTGCGGAGACGAAGCTGGAGGTCAGTAACAGGTAGAGGGCGAGGATACTCACGCTTCGGCGTTCGCGTAGAGCTCTGCATGGCCCGCGCTTGCGGATGCTGTTATGGTCATGGTTGTTGTGATGGTTGAGAAAGTGGAGGTTGACGGAACTCGACTGAACTGTCGTTTGTTGACATCTCAGGCACGAATCAGGCACGCACCTGGTAGCGGGGGGGTTGGTTCGTTGGCTGAACTGGTGCTCTCCATCCAAGTCGTATCGTGAGGACAGTTGAATACTCCTCATGCATTTCGACTCTACGTGCCGGAACACGAACAGGTGGTATACACAGTGCAAGAATGCAAGGTTTGCTGGCGCCAACTGATCTACAACACTCACAAATCAAAGCAGCTTGCAACCTCTCCCTTCATCTACTATATACGCCTCTACAGATGCTCCACCGATCATTGCCACGGCCAGAGGCGCTTAGACCTACCAGACAACCACACACTATACCTAGCAAGGGTTCCGTATCGCAAGCAAGCCACGGCAAGGCGCCTATGAGCGAGATGTGGAATGCCATCGAGATCCGACGGAATGGAGGTGACGCGAGCAATCGCCAATCCAATCATCGTTGCTCCGCCGGCGGCGTTGTGGCGGGCAGGAAAGGCGGAGTGCAGGCTTGCTAATCGCGCTCTGAACCGCACAGCCCATGCGTGCAGGCTCCCGCGTCCGATCTTCCGATCCGGTCCCCACAGCAAACAGACGCGCCGAGGTGACAAATGAGTGCGAGTTGTCGCCGCACTCTGCGCACCACTATCTGCGGGGATTACTTCATCATCGTTAAGTCGCCGCACATTGAACGCCGCAAGTTCCCCGCAAATTCTTCACGTGAACCTCACGTGTTTTGTGTGGAAGGCTATTGTCAGTCGACGATGAATAGAAAGCAGAATGCCGCTCATTAGAAAAATATGTCTAACGCGTTCTTATTGCTGCGGCGTTCAATGCGATTGCGGCGTCTAAACGCGATTGTGCGGGGATTTCTCTTAGTCAGATAGGGGAAATCTTACAGATTCTGTCGCGTTCATGACAACCACAGTGCGCGCTGCTCTGGCCATAAATATGTCTGCAGCTGCGAGGATGGGATCCCAGCATCTAAACTTCGAGCTGCACACAGCTACACACTCATCTCGACTGAACCTCACCTCAGACTCAAGCTTAACGGCTTTCCGTGAACTCAAGAACATCCCACAATCCCAACGGTAACCTCAATATCTCGATAACAACAACAAACTCGACGATGAGCGACATCGAAGCTCAGAAGGAGGCCGTTGCGGCGTCCCCTGATCGCGTGCCTTCGCCGACATCGACCCTCGGTCCGGTCATCTCGCGCCGCCAGACGCGCGGCGAATACAAGCTCCAGCAGGACCGGGGCGAGGTCCCGATCGAGCTCGTCTCGGCGATGCTGGAGAAGACGGACGCATTCCGCGTAACCTTTGACGGACCGGACGACCCGCGCAACGCGCAGAACTGGAGTCTGCGGAAGAAGGTCCTCCAAAACGTCCTCATCACACTAGCGACCTTCTGGTCCGGCGCGGCCTCGGCCATCCTCTCCGGCGCCTCGCCTCAGGTCGCTGAGCACTTCCGCGTCGGCTCTGTCGTCGCCGAGCTCGCCAATGGCATGTTTGTGAGTATCTCTGTGTTGTGTGGGGTGCATGAAGCGTCCAGAGTGGCGCCACAGCCTCCACACCATCCACCACCTCCACCCGCGTGAATGTGGCACTGACAACAACAGGTGTTCGGGTTCGCCCTCGGACCTCAGATCTTCGGTCCCCTCTCGGAAGTCATGGGCCGCAAGTGGCCCCTGACCTTAGGCATGTTCCTGGGCACCATGTTCAGCATCCAGGTGGCGGGAGCGTCGAATTTTGCCACCGTAATGATCGGGAGATTCCTCGGAGGTGTCTTCGGCGCCGCTCCTTACGCCGTCGGCGGCGGCTGGTTCCACGACGTCTATTCTGCGCTCTGGGTTCAAGTCGGAGTCGCTTTCTTCGCCGTGAGCACAGCTGGAGGTCCAGCTATCGGTCCGCTGATCGGCGCCGGACTTGCGTCGACGGGGCCGTACGGATGGAGATGGTCGGAGTGGTTCTGTGTCATCTTCGGCGGTGCGGTGACTGGACTCATGGCCGTTTTCATGGACGAGAGTTATAGTCCCGCCATCCTGAAGAAGGTGGCTGCGCAGCGCCGGAGGGACACAGGGAACTATGCCTGGCACTGTGAGCTGGACACTGTAACCATCTCCGCCAAGGATATCTTGGTCCGGTACTGCCTCCGCCCTGTCCGTATGATGTTGACCGAGCCCCTCCTGTTCGTGCTCAACATTTACATGTCTTTCGTCTACGCCCTCCTGTACATGCTCATGGCCGCCGTTCCCGTCATCTTCGGCGAGTACCGGGGTTATGGACAGGTGGTGAGCACGCTGCCCTTTGTGAGCGTGTTCATCGGCATTCTCTTCGGTGGCGGCCTCATGATCGCCGATCGCTACCGCTACGTCGCCAAGCTTAAGCGCGAAGGCAAGGAGGAGCTGCCGGACGAGCGCTTCGTACCCATGGGAGTGGGTGCCGTCATGCTCGTCATCGGCCTGTTCTGGTTCGCCTTCACTGGTCCCGCGCAGACCTCGAGCCCGTGGCCGAGCATCATCGCCATCGGTTTCTCAATGGCGGGCATGGTCCTCATCTTCGAGTGCGGCATTGTCGTCCTCATCGACATGTACCGCAGCTTTGCCAACTCGGCCATTGCGGCCAACACCCTCCTCCGTAGCGTGTTTGGAGGCGCGTTCCCCCTCTTCACGACTGGTATGGTACACAACCTCGGATACCAGGGCACGTGGGCTATGGCCCTCCTCGCGTTCCTTGCACTGTTCCTCGCCCCCATCCCCTTCATCTTCTACCGCATGGGTCCCCGCCTGAGGGCCATGTCCAAGTTCAGCCTCGAGCTGTAGAGTAAATTTAGAAATTGTAGACCTTGGATGTTAGTAACTTTGAACTTGTACTTGTGGGCTGCAAGACGTGACGTCAAGTAGGCATAATGAGCGTGCTCTACGTAAACCTGATAAGCATGTATGTCCACACAAAGATGATGAACACAGTGACCATGATGCCAAGCTGCATGCACGTTGTGCTGCGTCCCTTGCGCGATACCTGATCGAGGTTGCCCTTGGACTTGAGTGTGCCGTCCAGGTTTTCTGTAGGAGTCAGCTATATGGTGGGGTCCGCCAGGCAGCTCACGCTCGAGGACGTCCTGTGAGTTCTGCAGCAGGCTCTTCTCGTTCTCGAGGCTGCTGCTGAACTGGAGTGCGTTTAGTTTCAGCTGGTGCGACATCTGTTTCCGTCAGCTTCTCAGTCGACCATGAACGCTTACGCCGGCGAGCTGCCCGCTCAGTTCCTCCTGGAGCTCGCGCGCGCCCATGCCCTTTGAGTTGGCGCCGGCGAGCAGGCGCTGCCGCATGCCCTCCTCGTCCATCGGGTCCTTCGCCACCTTCGATTTCAGCGGGAGCAGACCAGCGTCGCCGCCCTGCTTTGACTCCTGCTCGCGCCGAGCAAAGTAGTCCGCCATGTCGAACGCCTTCGACGCTGTTGGCGTCACGACAACCGCTGGTGCAGCTGACGGTGCCGCAACGGGAATTTCCAGCTCCACAGGCTCGTCCTCCAGCTTCGTCGGCACGTGAGCTTCCAGCAAGTCCTCGGCGGCCGCCTCCTCTGGCGGCGTCGGAAGCTGAATGTACGGCAACGACGACGGCGGAGCAGGCGCAGAAACGTGCTGAAGTCAGTTGCGCTTCTCTTACAGGGGACGTACCCTTGCCGAGTCCTGAACCTGAACCTCTACACGAGCGAGGATACGTTCCAGATCATCCAGCGTAGCTGCGGTCGTTGATGCTCTGCTGTCAGCTGACAGAGGGAATGTGGCCAGCTCACTGTTCATTTGAATCGCGCAAGGCTTGCAGAAGCGCTCGAGCGTACAGTACAGTCTGTCTTGTCAGCTACGATCACCGCCCGGACAGCTTACCTCCCAGGTTTTCTGAACCTCGAGCCAGCTCATGTCCTCCTCCTGGTCCATCCTTTCAAGAGCCCGCACCAGCCGGGTCACGTTGACGAGGCCATGTTTTGTCCGCGCAGCCTGCTGCGCAGACGCAGCAACTGTCGGTGACGGGTCCATGGACAGGAGGCTCAATGCTGTGACGGTTTTCGGGCCCTGCATGTTTGCTGTGGTCGATAGGGTGAGCGGCCTGGTTGTAAGGAGATGTCTACATGAGCCAGGTCATCGGCCTCACCCTCCAACGTCATTGTCAACAAGGGGCGGCGTCAGGCACGCTGCCATGTCCTTTCGCCGTGCGGGATTATCCTGGCCCAGATCCACCCCAGCCGCTTCCAACGACACTCAACTCAATCCACTCCCCCGCATTTCCATCGTTCGCGCGTCCAACCCGCTTCCCCGCCGAAATCGACCTTTTTCCGTGACCAGGAACGTGTACACGAACCGCCTGATCGAATTTGAACCACTTCGCCGCATCGACTCGATGTCGCCCTAGAACTCGCCCAGGCGCGTCAGTGTCAACACCCGAAAGTGGAGGCCGTCCAAATCTCGACCTGAAGCAACCGCCCGCGTGCCGCCATGGACCACGATGCAGCGGGCCAGGCGGGCCCGAGTGCCGCGGGGCCATCACGCGGACGGGCTCTACGCAACCGCCCCAGCGACGTATCGTACACCGACAAGCGCTCTGCGCGCCCTAGTGGTCGTGCCGTCAGCCAGGAGGAGATGGAGCGCGCCATCTGGAAGCTTGGGCCTGAGGGCATGGCTGCGCGACGCGAAGAGTTGATCCACGAGAAAGAGGCTCTGCTCCGTACCGTCGTCGAGGAACATGACATGGCCGTCAAGGAGAAGTTCCACCTCGAGCGATACGTCAGCATCCTCGAAGGCTGGGACCCAGAGGACGCCAAGAACGACAACTCGCCTGTGTTCCTAGAGGTAAGCTGCGGACTCGCAACATACAAGCTGACATAAACTAGTACAAGAACAAAGACTATGACTTGCTCAGCCTCATCCCGAACTCGATCATCCCAGGCGTCCAACCCGCTCAAGCGTTCGGACGCGCAAGGACGACACGCAGGCAGCTGCAGCAGAAGTCCAATATGGTCGGCAACGTAACAGCAATCGCAAAGCCGACGCCGAAAGGCAAAGGAAAAGCGAAGGCTGTTCCTGAGCCGGAGCCGGAGCCAGCTGCGCCAGCCGCTACTGCATCGGTAAAGGGCAAAGGCCGCAAGTCAGCCCCGTCTGCGACTGCTGAGCCTGAGTCAGAGGCTGAATCCTCCCGGGCCCCGACGCCAGCTCTTAAGACGACTGCGAAAGGCAAGGGGAAGAAGGGACGGCGTGCTACCATGCACGTCGAGCCTGAGACCGAACTCTCTACCGAACCGGAGGAGCAACCGGTACAGAAGGGGAAGAAGCGGGGGAGGCAGTCGATGCCTAATCTGCCCGCAAAGAAAGTACGGGCTTTACGCAAGTCGGAACCTAGTGCGACAGCCTCTCCGCGTTCCTCTTCGCCTGCTCAGACGCCAGCGAAATCACCGACACCAGAGCCTGAGCCGGAACCAGTCGCCCTCCCGTCTCTTGCTCATCTCCCCTTCCCACCACCACCAGAGCGACCTAAGTGGCGACGATCTGGTCCCTCGCGCATCATCTACACCGATCCCAACCAACGACCTCTTACCAAGCCGCAGCATGATGGCGACATCTCCAAGATTCTCGAGTCGTACATCCACATCGAGGATACGGGACCGCCAACGACAATGCAATTCCTCGAGCAAGCCGCCTTACGAGCCGGTTGGTTACGGAACCGCGTCAATTGGTTGCAGCACCAGGGGCGCTTGTTGCGCTTGCTGGACGAGGAAGACGAAGGGCCTGAAACGAAGGTCCGCGATCGGAGTCATCAGAAGAAGGCTCCCGTTGGACCGCCGCCGCGTGCGACCGACTTTCAAGACAGTCTCATGTCGCACATGGTACAGGTGCGCAACGCCATGATCTACGAGGCCAAGATGAAGCCTCAGGTGTGCAAGCGCATTGCGCGTGGCATTCAGCTTTACTGGGAGCACATCCAGAACAAGGATGAGCGCGAGCGTCAAGCTCAGGAGAAAGAGCGCAAGCGCAAAGCCAAAGACATGGTCAAGGGTCTGCGGAAGCGCTGGGGTCTGGCTGTCAAGGTATGCTCATGTGGGCGTCGCGTAGCTGACAACAGATCGTTCGCGCCAAGATCGCAGCGCAGGAGAAGCTCGAGCAAGATCGCCTCGGTAAGGAACATCTTCAGAACATGCTCCAACGGAGCACTGGACTCCTCGAAGGACAGCGAGATCACATGATGGGAGGGGGAGAAGGGTACGAATCCGATTCTGATGATTCCGACGCTACCGACGATGTCTCAGCTGCTGAGGAGAGCGACGACGAAGAGGCAGGAGACGTTGACATGGAAGCCAAGGAGACGGAAGCCAAGGAGACGGACGCCGGACCGACCGCTGCTGAGAGTGAAGCTGCGGACGACCTCTCAGAAGAGGAGAGTGGGGAGGAAGGTTCTGGCTCGGAGGAAGAAGACGAGGAAGACGACGAGTCTCGACATGAGGCTCTGCGTCTGCTTGTCGGCACCGCGGGCGAAGAACCAGAGACACCCGCCGACATAACCGCCCCTCCTTCGGACGAAGCTGAGCCTGAGGCAGCCGGTGACCTGACCTTAGGTGACACGTCTCTTGTTCTTGTAGAGGATGTTTTGGCTTCTCAACCTTCGACCGCGCCCGCTAACGGCACTCGTCCCGTTCCAGCGGTGGACACGGACGATGTGGAGAGGGCCCCGCTGACACAGGGGCCAGGCATGGACGGCCCCACTGAGAACGACGCCCTTGCTTCTGCACAGACGGAAGAAATTCTGGCCTCATCCCCCGGCCCTAACGAGGAGCAGGCTGAGGAAGAGCTGCCTCCGCCACGACCCCGCTCGAAACGTATACAGCGCCGCTCGTTAGCTGCTGCCGCCTCGACGCCCGATCCAGATGCGAACGATGCCGAATTTCATGGCTCCGACTCGGAGCGCGACGCCCAGGATGCCGCCTTCGACGTCGAAATGGGCGAGAACGCCGCTTCGGATGCCGATTCTGAGGATGAGGGACTTCTCAAGGATGCCGAGATGCCGATCGAGGAACTGCTCAAGCGCTATGGCTACCCCATGCCTGGGATGGAAGCCGAAGCCGAGGAGGCAGTGGATGCGGAAGGCGATGAGTCTGAGGCTGGCGCTCCTACCGGGGAGGACCCCAAGGCTGAAGATGTGCAGGAAGTCGCAAAGGTTTCGGTGGAGACTGTGAAGGAGACAATAGCTGAGACCGAGGTCGAGGTGGACGTCGACACCGAGGCTGGGGTACAGGAGCTCTCCGCGTCGGTTCAAGCGCAAACCTCCGCCACGGCAACCGTCCGAGCGGTTGCACCTGAGGAGGCTCCGCTCGCCAACGGGTCTCAAGAATCCTCTGCGCAGCCGAACGGGCACACAGATGCATCGGGTCTCGGGCCAGCGGATACGGACTCCACGACCGACCAGCATCACGGTGCTGGAGCGGAGCCGACGGTCGACAAGTCCCTGACGGATGAAGCGCTCGCTCACCGTGGCTCATCGCCTCCTGGTTTGATTATCGAAGGCAAGCGCCAGCGTCGCGCTCGCCAAGTTTGGACCCCTCCAGACACCCCGCAAGCCCTTATCTCGAACAAGCCGAAGAAACCCAAAGTTCAGATCATTCCAGACCCGGCCCCCGACACAACCGAGGAAGCGGATGCCAAGGAGGAATCCGACGTGGAGATGGAGTCCACTCCCGAGCCAACGCCCTCCCTCACGAGTAGTGAAGAGGTCACCGACGACGAAGAGGAGGTGGAAGAGGGCGAGCCTGAGCCTGAAGACCCGAATGCACCCAAGCTCAAGCCTCCTTTCTTGCTCCGCGGAACCCTCCGTCCTTATCAGCAAGCCGGTATGGAGTGGCTCGCATCACTTTATGGCAACAACATGAACGGTATCCTGGCCGACGAGATGGGTCTTGGGTGAGCTTCCGGGAGCCCTCACGTAGCTAACAGCAGAAAAACGATCCAGACTATCGCTCTTCTTGGTCATCTTGCGTGCGACAAAGGTGTTTGGGGTCCTCACCTCATCATCGTCCCCACCTCTGTCATTCTGAACTGGGAGATGGAGTTCAAAAAGTTTTTGCCCGGCATGAAGGTTCTGACCTACTACGGTAACCAGAAGGAGCGTAAGGAGAAGCGCGTGGGCTGGAACACGGAAAACCATTGGCAGGTGTGCATTACCAGCTATCAGATCGTGCTCGCCGACCAGCACATCTTCAGGCGCAAGAACTGGTGCTACATGATTCTCGACGAGGCGCACAACATCAAGAATTTCCGCAGTCAGCGGTGGCAGACACTCCTCGGCTTCAAAACGCAGCATCGCTTGCTCTTGACGGGTACACCACTGCAGAACAACCTGATGGAGCTGTGGAGTTTGCTCTACTTCCTCATGCCCAACGGTATCACGGCAGACGCCACCGCTGTGGTCGGCTTCGCCAACCACAAGGAGTTCATGGAATGGTTCTCAAGTGAGTTTAAATCGCTAGCGGTTTCCTACACAGAAAGCTGACTCCCAGACCCTATGGACAAGGCGGTCGAGTCTGGAGAAGCGATGGACGAGGATACCATCGAGATGGTGAACAGGTTGCACACATTGCTGCGACCTTTCATCCTCCGTCGTCTCAAGTCCGAAGTCGAAACCCAGCTCCCCGGCAAGTTCGAACACGTTGTTTACTGCCGTCTGTCCAAGCGTCAGCGATTCTTGTACGACGAGTTCATGTCTCGCGCTTCGACCAAGGAGGCGCTCACAAGCGGCGGCTACCTCGGCGTCGTCAATACGCTGATGCAGCTCCGCAAGGTCTGCAACCATCCTGACTTGTTCGAGGTCCGTCCCGTCCGAACCAGCTTCGCAATGGACCGCGGCGTCGCGACCGACTTCTCTCCACTCGACGTTCTCGTTCGCAAGCGACTGCTCGAAGCGAACGACGAGCTCGACATCGGGGCTCTGAATTTGAGTGTAACCGGTCACGAGGCTGAGTCAGGATGGGTCGCTGGCATGCGCGCCCGTCTCGATGCCAGTGACCAGCTGCCCTTTGCCGACGACGCCAAGCCAGCGAAGGCTCCAAAGTTCGATACCCGAACGCCTTCTGGCTGGGCGAAGTACCGCGAGTGGAAGCAGCAACAGCAAAGCATGGAGCGCTGGCGAGCGCTCCGTGACATCAACCGGCGGCGCTGCCAGAGCGGACCCATCTACGGCCGTACCACTCTCAAGATGCTTTCCGACCTTCCAAACTACCTGCTACCAGCTTCTCAGCCGCATGGCATCAGTGACCAGTACGGAGAACACCCACCTCCGGCTGCGCCATTGGTCAGGTCATACGCCGAACGAGAACAATTGGTCACTCCGCTACTGAACAAGTTCGCTGTAATCCCTCCCAACGCCGTCGCCCGAGATGTTGCCAACTTGGCTCTTCCGGGCGTCGACCCCGAGCACTCTAGCCTGACCGACCCGGAGTTTGATACCCTGCACGACGCCACTGTCCGACTCCAGATCGCCTTCCCTGATGCCTCCCTTCTGCAGTACGACTGTGGCAAGCTGCAGAAGCTTGCCGAAATGCTGCGAGATCTGAAGGCGGGAGGTCACCGATGTCTCATCTTCACCCAGATGACGCGTGTCCTGGACATCCTTGAGATCTTCCTGAACTTCAACGGCCACCGCTACTTGCGCCTGGACGGAAGCACGAAGATCGAGGACCGCCAAGTGCTGACCGAGCGCTTCAACAGTGACCCTCGCATCTTCTGTTTCATCGCCAGCTCGCGTTCTGGAGGTGTCGGAATCAACCTGACAGGAGCCGACACTGTGTTCTTCTACGACTCGGACTGGAACCCAGCCATGGACAAGCAGTGCATGGACCGTGCGCACCGAATCGGTCAGACGCGCGAGGTGCACATCTACCGCTTCGTTTCGACTGCGACCGTGGAGGACGCAATCTGGAAACGTCAGTGCCAGAAGCGCGAGCTGGACCGCATGGTCATCCAGGACGGCGACTTCACGACCGACTTCTTCGCCAAGACAAACTGGAAGGATGTGCTGCAGGACGAGGCGGCCGTCGAGGACGACGACCGCATTGAGGACATCGAAGTCGAGGCTGCCCCTGAGGCCGAAGATGCGACCGTTGCTGAGCCGCGTCTCGGTCAACAGCGCGAGTTCGTCGAGGCGCTCGCTGAAGTCGAGGACGAGGAGGACGCCGCTGCCGCGCGCGTGGCGCAGGGCGAGGGGGAGATGGACTTTGCAGAGTTCACCGACAAACGGCCCGAGCGTCCTGTCGCGAGGCAGGCGCAGTCTCAGTCGCTTGCCCCCTCTGCTTCTGTTCCAGCCAGCGGCAGCGCAACGCCTGCCCCTGGTGCTGCAGTCGCTGAGGGCGAGGACGATGAGTATGAGTACGACGAGGATGAGCCGGGAGGTGTGGACGAGTACATGCTTGCCTGGGTGGAGCACGACTGGGACTACTTCATCAACTACAAGGTCTAAGACAACAGTGTATTTTGTATCAATCATTTTTGGTCGCGCTCGTATGCATAACACGGCACTGGTGTATTGTTACGAAGTTGAGGGGCACCATGTTTGTTGTTGGCTGGAGATAAGGTTTGGGTGACTGCCCCCAGCTGCTCAGGGTGATTTCGTAGAACACCGATTCTCGGCTCTCGCACCGAGGCAACCGTAATCCTCTGCCTGCCCCTGCCTTCTTCTGGCGCCAAGGATCTAAGACTACGCGATCTGCGGCAGGCGCCGTCGCCTTCGCTACGGTTAAGGCAATGCGTGCATCGTGCTCCAGATGATCAAGTTTTAAGACCTTCCAAGGGCGTTGATCGAGAGATCGAGATCACGAGAAGGAAGAACGAAAGTGGAGGCCGGACCGGTGTGTCCGCATGGGCGTGTTTACGTTTCGCAGCCATCTGGGGAACTAGTGCCTAAAGCTGTCCCTGCCAGCGTCACCTTCCGTAACATCTGCCCACACCTCGCACACATCGAGTAAACAACTCTCGATCCCCTCGACGGTGGTGGGAACGACCCCTTCCCCTTAACTCTTCTGCGCCTGCTTCTTTCGCCCCTCCAGAAGTCTCCTTTGCTCTTTCCGACTCAACCATCTTTCATCTTCTACTTGTCTCCCATCCTCTCGTCGGCGTCTAACTTCTCGACCTTACGACCTTCCACCGTCATCAAAACAGCAACATGGCCAACACTGTCTCGTGCAGGACCGTCGAGCCTCTGCTCTCCATCTGCTGCCAGCAGCTGAGCGGCACAGTCCAAGGCGACCAATGCGTCCTTTCGCTGGCTAACAGCCCGGAAATCGGCGGCCGCTTCCAGGGCTGCGCCCAGGGCGAGAGCAGCACCTGCTCCGACGGCAGTGTCCACGACGGTGTCTCCGGCGGCCTCGGTGTGACCACTCCCGTCACCGGAACTACCAACGCGACCTCGGCCGTGGGCGGGGAAGACCCCTCCGCCTCCTCGGCAACAGGGACTGAGAGCGCGAGCGCCAGCGCTTCAAGCGAGTCGGGATCGGCAAGTGACGGATCGTCGTCGGACAGTGCGTCGCCTACTGGCACTGCCTTCAGCCAGTCCAGCGACGCCGGGACTACCAGCGGCAGCGACACGGCCGCTGCTGTCCCAGCGGATGGGTCGACCTCCAAGGGCCCTCAGACCCTCAAGTCTTCTGCTGCAACTGGCCCCAGTCCCTCCAAGACCGCCGGCGCAACGAGCTCCTCGGACAAGGCGTCCGCCAGTCGCTCAGGCGCAAGTGCCGGCAGCGCCCTGCCCTCGCCTTCGAGTTCCGCCCGTGTCGAGCGCCGTCTCAGCGTGCTCGCTCTTCTCGGTGCCGTTGCTCTCGCCATGCTTGCGCAGTAACCCCATCGTCAACCACGTTGAGTAAGTTCGCCCCGTATCGTTTGACCTGACCCCAGCACGAGAACTCGGACAGCGTCAGAAGTCGAACGGATTGTACCATAGCCAAAGGAGGTGCGGACCGTGCGTGGTCCACGCGAAAGGATCGGCGAACTGCGAAACGGACTCGCTAGTGTGTTTGGTTCTCCAGTCTAATCGCCCGCAGGCCGCAGGGTGTGTTACATGCATAGTGTGTCCAGACCCTCCTTCCGCACACAGCATGGATCGACGTTTTGCGGTGCGAAGGAGGACCATCCAGATCCCGAGGACCACAGCTTGCACGCTTGCACGCACTGCTGTGCATATTCTCACCGTCTTCTAACACCTCACCCATCCTAGCCCAGCAAACATCCACCTCAAGCGCCCTGCTCAGCAATGGAGAAGCCCGTGTTCTGTAAGACGGTCGAACCGCTGCTCTCCATCTGCTGCGCCCAGTTCTCCGGCATCCTCATAGCAGCCGACAGCGAGTGCGTCGTGTCCCAAGTCAACGCACCCAACATCGACATGCAGTTCCTGAACTGCTCCCGGGGCCAGGACGCAATGTGCTCCGTCCTGTTCGCCTTTGAGAAACTCTCCCCGTCACAGAAGGACTTGACTGCATTGCCTGAGGTTACCGCCGCTGAGAGCTCGATCAAGGTCATTCGCGCACCCGCTACAGCTACGAATGCCCCAGCCGTGACTATGTCCCACCCAGCGCCGCCACCAGTGCGCGGCGCTGTGACTGTCTCGTCCTCTGGACGGCCTTCCTCGGCCAGGGTTAAGCGGCGCGTCGGGCTCCTGACGTTGCTGGGTGCTGTGAGCTTGACTCTTCTTGCCAACTCGACCACACCGTGACGGGTAAGCTGCCTTGTGTTGTCTGAATTTGAGCTGACTCCTTCCAGACGTCAGGGCCGTGATTTGGAAAGGAGGCGCGAACGGAGCACCGGTGGTCGGGGACATCTGGGACGTTTGATCGCCACCCGTTCTGACATTCTCCGTCTCCGCCGCGTTGGGTTCCAAGATCGTCGTAGAAGGACACATGCATCCCTTTCAATTCCCCCTGCGATAAGCTGCGATCCCCCTCATGCCTCCTCTCGTCACTGTCTGAGCGAGCGACTCTTTGCACCATCATTCGTTGAGCCGGACACAAACAGCTCTACAACTACATTCACATCGCACCTCCTCTCAACCCACCAACACAAACAAGATCGATCCAAGCCATCATGCCTTTCCGCTGGTACTGCACCACTCCCGAACCAGCGCTCTCAACCTGCTGCAACGAGCTAGGCGGCCACCTGACCGGGGACCAGTGCATCTTCACCTCTCTCCGACACCGCATCGACGACCTTTTCCTCGAATGCGTCACAGAGGGCACTGCCATCTGTCTTGACGAACCCTTCCAGTCTGCGAAAGGCTCGCTCGGCGCCCTCGGCACTCTCTTCGACGAACATCTGTATCCCTCGTCTACCTCCGCAGCGAGAACTACTTCCAACGCCGCACCGCAAGTTTCCAGCCCCCCGCCTTCCCCGGCCGCGCCTGCACCCGCCGCTGCTCCTGCCTCCGCGCACTCCGAGTCCCACTCCGACTCTGACTCAGGCTCCGGTGGCAGCTCGAACAATCAACAGCCTGCCAGTCAGGCTCCCAGCCCCGCTGCCCCGAGCCAGCCAGCTCCCAGTCAAGTGGAGCCCAGTCAGGCTCCTGCCCCAGCCGAGAGTCAAGCGGGCAGTGATTCGGGGGAGTCACCGAACGCCGCACCCGCCTCTGACGGCCCTGCGGCCGCGTCCAACAGCGCAGCATCATCCAACGCACCGGCGGACGGAGGCTCCGCCTCCCAAGAGACCGTCGCTGTCACCGGCGGGTCTTCTGCGGTTGCAGCCCCCCCATCCGGGTCTTCCTCCGGCCAGCTCCGGACCTCCGCCAGCGCTCGCCAGTCCACTTCTGGCAGCCAGTCTGCACCTGGCACCTCCTCCAGTGGCAGCAACACTCCCGCCTCCACTACGTCCAGCAGACCCGTGGTCATTGTTACCAGGACCAATGCCGCTGGTGCTGTCACCGTCTCGGCCACCGATGGTGAGGTGGCATCTGGTGCATGTGTCCGCCGTGTGAGCATCTTCGCACTCGTCGGCGCAGCTGCTGCAGCCTACTTCACCCAATGAAGTCCATACACTCGTAAGCTGGGGGGCGTTCAGAAGCAGCTAACCCGTCAGTGCCTTCCCAGCTGCTGCTTGACCGAAGCAGGGAGGAGCGGGCCTGGCAGCCGCGGAGAGCAACAAGGATGTGTGACCTGTGCTTCGGCTTTGGGCTGATCGTCATTCCGTTCTGACTTCGCTGTCGCATGCATGTTTGGTCCCAAGATGTGCAGTGTTACATGCATAGCTTTCGATCTGCCCCTTCCATCGCGGACCAGCTGACCCCAGGTCTGGTGCTCATGCGCAGCAGGTCGCGAGCAGCATAAGTACCTCTGCATTGCATAGCTGGAACAGTTCTCCATCTCGCATTCATCAGCAACACTAATGTCCCTCTCAGTGTACTGCACCGCGGCCGAGCCCGCGCTCTCGCACTGCTGCGGTGTTCTTTCCGGCACCCTCGGTGACGACTACTGCCTCTTGAGCGGTGACGAGGGCCAGCCGCTCATCGAGCAGTTTACCACCTGCACCACCGAAAGCGCTGTGTGCAGGGAAGGTGCGCCGCCCCTCGAGCCCCGCCAGCGCACGACGTCGAGACGTCCCAGACGTACTTCAACTCGTCCCCGTCGGACGTCCTCTGCACGCCCTCGCCGCACTTCCTCAGCTCGTCCGCGCCGCACCTCCTCTGCTCGTCCTAGGCGCACCTCCTCCGCTCGCCCTCGCCGTACCTCTTCAGCGCGGCCTAGGCGCACTACGTCGGCGCGCCCTCGCAGAACCTCATCTGCCCGCCCTCGTCGCACTTCTTCAGCCCGTCCCCGCCGTACGTCCTCTGCCCGTCCTCGCCGCACTTCCTCGAGCCGGCCTCGTCGTACATCCTCCTCTCGCCCGAGACGCACATCCTCCACCCGCCCCCGCCGTACCTCCTCAGAACCTCCTAGGCGTACCTCGACGGCCAGGGCTCGTCCCACGAGCCAAGCCACCATCAGGGAGACAGTTACAGTGCAGTCTGTCGAGCCCTCGCCCGTGCCTTCGCCCTCGCCCAGCCCCGTCCCAATTACCGCCACTGCAGAGGCGCCAGCTCCTGAAACAGTCACCGTTACAAGCGAGGCTCCGGCCAGCACCGTGGAGGTTACGGCGAGCACCTCCGAATCAGCGACTAGCGAAGCCTCCAACTTGCCGAGCGGGGAGGCCAGTCTTGCGCCTGCTGTGTCAAGCAGTGCTGTGACTTCGTCGTCGGCGAGCCCGGCCGTCAATCAGTCCGTGATCATCCGAACCCGGACTCGACAGGACGGCGGTGCGGTAACCGTCACATCTCCTATCGGTCAAGCTGTTGCCGAAGCTCCCCGCATGCGTCGTCTGAGCGCCATGGGGCTCCTCGCTGCCGCTGCGGTGGCCATTCTGGTCAACTAAGGGCGTGGGCCCAGGAGCTGTACGTGTGCAGGAGGTGAGCTCTCAATAAAGCTGACGGTTCAGTGCGAGCCACGGGTAATGCGTGGATGGGGAGGATGGTATGGCTGTGCGGTGTGTCATCGGTGTAATCGCCCCGGGTTTGTCTCCCGGTCGCTGTCTCATAATACAGTAGGAATGTTTGGTTCCAGACTCTAATCGTAATCGCCGTGACGGCCGAGTTATCGGCGGCTTCGGCGTGTCTGACTCTAGTGAATGCATAAGTGACAGTACATGCATGTGCACCAGACAGAGCATGTGATTCACAGCAAGCTGCGGAATATGCAGGCAGTGCAACGCTGTTGGGAGCCGAAGAGGCTCGAAATGGCCGTGGGCAGGCTATTTTGGGTGTCGACGCTGGCTAGGCGCTAACTGCTCCAGATCCAGGTCGGAGCGGATCCCGCCCGCATCGCCTTCGCTCTCGACCTTGCGGGAAGACGCTGTTCCGCAGCCACTGCTTGTCTTGCGAACAGAACAGTCTGAAGCCCCGGAGGTCCCTTGTGCTGTGCCGTTGAACCGAGAGAGGCATGCTGCGAGACGATAGATGATGGCGACCAATGACGAGAAGCCCTGGAAAGATACCATTCGCAGCCTTCGCTCCTAAGCTGCCCAGCAGGCCGCGACGGGGACTGGGCGACGCCACGCCCCTGCGATCGACCGTAGAGCCGTAGCGTCCCCGTTTCCCCTCGCAGTGCTCGGTGGGCAGCGGCTCCACCGGGCCAGCCGGGGGCGATGCTGCTGCGCACTCTAACAGCGTTGCTGCTCGCTCCGAATGAATCCCCAAGCCCACATGGCGCAATTCCATGCTCTCATGTGCGTTGCGCGTTGTGCATTTTGCATGTGCGCGCACAGGCATCGGTCCGATGACCGAGCCGGTCGTCGACCCAAACAGCTGACAGTGGAATCTCGGCGTTTCGACCAATATTGCTTTCCAATGTTCCATTTTGGGACGCCATTCAGATATTAAAGCTTTGAGGCTGAGCCCACGGGCCTTAGACAGTTCTTAAAATGTCCCAGAATAACTCAAACGAAGAGCTAAGCCCGATGTCCAAGCTACGGCTGATACGGCTCAGAGCAACTCCGCAGGGGCTGCAGAGTAACCGCTGGCGCGTCGCGAGGTGGATTCGAGGATTGCTTGACAGGCGCACGGCTAACGCCTGGCAGAAACGGCAAGGGACGGATCAAGTGGCAGAAACGGACAAAATTGCACAAAACGGCCAATTTGGCGTGTTTCTGCGCGCTTCGCGCCCATCGCGCACCTGAGCTGCTAACAGGCCGGCTGTCTCGGATACGACAGCCCCTGTATGAACGCCTCAAAGACGCCTTACTGCATTGCATGTTCAGGTGCCGAGTTGGCTGAGCCGTGCACCAAAATAGCGCTTTGCGCAGCACACGGCACGCACCACTGCACCTTGTGCTCACCTTTGGTGTCACATTTCACCCTCGTGCCATGGGCTGTGCGGAATCGAAGACCAGCATCATGGCTTTGTTCACCGATGTCAGATGCGAACTAGAGCAAGTACCTGTGCTCTCTAGGTTACCTCCCGGGCTCTCCCTTCCTTTCGAGATGTATAAAGCCCCCGCACGACATTCCCGTGAGCTGTCTCCCATCCCTCAGAGAACACACCATCACAATGTCCTTCGCCTGCACCCACATCGACCTCGCCGTTCAGGCCGCCTGTTGCGATCGCCTCGGTGACATCTTCACCGATGCCAAGGGCGCCTCCTTCTGTGGCACCTCCTCCCACGAGGAGTTCCTCTCGTGCGCCGGCGTCGAGTCCAAGTGCAACGTCGTCGTCGAGAAGCGTCAGGGTGAGTTCTGTTATCCACGACAATCAGATGCGGCCACTGACCCCAGCCGCCGCCTCGGCCACTTCGGCCATTGGCGCCGGTGCCTCTGCCGTCAAGTCTGGCGCTGCCCAGGTCTCTTCGGCCATCAAGTCGGGCGCCTCGAACGCAGCTTCGCACGCCGCTTCGGCCACTAAGGCTATTGGTGGCTCTGCCTCGCACTCCGCCTCCGGCTCCCACGCCGCGTCGGGCTCGCACTCTGCTTCGGCTGGTGCCAAGTCGTCAGCGGCTGCCAAGAAGAAGTCCGCTGGCGAGCGCACTGTCCCCTCGCTCGCTGCCGCTCTCGTTCTCGCCGTTGCGGCCGCTGCCATTGTTGCCTAAGCACGGTGTTAGTTGTAGCCATTAGGTATTCCGATGAGGGATGCAGTCTCTTGTGTAGCTTAGCAGAAGTAGCATGGAGCCATATCGGGAGCTTGTCACTGACGTGGTGCTGCAGCGAAGCTTCAAGGTGGATCCGAAGGCTTCCGTGTCCTAAGATCAGTAGTTGGCACTCCATTTCACAGCAATTTAGCTCATAGCAATAGGCTGACTGTTACAAGGTTCGCCATGAACGACCGGGGGTGACACCGATCCAGAATTGGTGTCCATATCCGAACCCCGGAATGTGGTCAAAGGTCTCGGATCACTCCCCGCAACTTGCTTGCGTCAGAAGTTCTGTACCACCGCCAGGCCCACCCCTATTATCGGGTATCGACTGAAAAATGGGATCGTTGCCTTCAATGGACACTTGCACTGGCCCGAGAGCCGAAGGTGTAATGAAGCCCGGCGGGCACGGTAGAGATGTCTGCAAAGTGTCCGCCCCGATACTCACGAGTGAAGCGAGCATGCATCGCCTAGTCATCCAAATGTCCGTTGTGAATATGTCTCGCAGCGGTGTCTGCTGAGGCTGCTGTGCTGCAAAGGCAGAGCGGACATCGCTGATCGATTGAGGGACATGGGCTCTGCGTGGCCCAATCGAGCGACACCGGTGGCTCTGTCTCTTCTGGAACACGAATAAGTGTTGCCTCCCTAAGACTTGTGCGCCACTTCAGTAGCAGTCAAGCTCTGCTAACATGTCTGACATCTTGAACTGCCTGAACGTCTGTTGTGAGACCGTCAACGGTACCCTTGGTACAGTTTGGCCGTGCTACACCAGAACTCAGCTAGACGGCCTCGCTCTAATAACTTGTGCTGAGGGTTGCGACGAGTCAGACGAGTACGGCTTCCTCCCAATGGAGAGGGCGTTGCAGCTTTACGGTAAGCTCACTTGCTGTTCGATGCCAACACTGATGACAGCCGCGTCCGCCGCCGCTTCCCGGTCTCCCCACGATCCTCTTGGTCATATCTCTCACGCTACCTCCTCATCGCTCGCCTCTGAGGCCGCTATGACCCCCACTGCGAAGAAGAGGAGCTCAGGGGAGAGCATTCGCACAAAAGTACACGTTATGCTTGCGCTTTCCCTAGTAGTCGTGGTGCTTGCCTAAGCCCATAGAAGGCTCTTGAATTGTTAGTAAAGGCCGTTTAGGCAGTGAGTAGTATGGTTTGTCAAACCTGTGATGGACGCCCGTGAACTGCAAGTTTGTGCCGACATGTTTGCCGGGCTATCCATGAAAGGCGTCTCGCCTAATGTTCGCGGCTAGGACAAGGTGTGGCGTTCGCTTTAGGCACAGCACAATCGCGGGTCAGTTCAGCAACAGAATCAGATGTCAGATCTGTGGCTTAGAGGCTATGCACTCAGCTTAATGTGTGCCCAGTTGCTCACCAGTTAGATCTGCAAGGTCACAACCTTGGATTTTTCCAAGGTGAAGGCTGCCGAGATGAACACACGTTTGTGGACAACAGCTCTCGGTTACCCGGCCGCATGAGTCTGGGCCCAAGTTTTGAAGAGACAAACCTGTGCCTACGATGTCCATCCCAATATATTGGACGATTTCGGCGCCGTATGGTATTGATACCAACTCCAGGACCCCGTGCATGTCTCCATCCCATACTGATATGGGTTAGATACCAAATCATACCAATATATTGTCGATATATCACTTCCCTAGCCACTCATTGGCAATGTGCACCCAGACAACGTGGTATACCCTTCATGACAGCGCTGAGGAGCCTATGAGCTGCCGTTTCGCTCCCCTGCTGCACTTCTACTTTTCCATGCGTCTCTCCTCTCTCTTCTTGACACACAAGCACCTTAACAACCATGGCAATCGTTGAACAGCTCAAGAACGCTCTTCAAGCTCTCACAGCCAAGGACAAGGAGAAACGAGCTGCTCTGCAAGCCCAGTCATCGCTATCTGCTTCACAAGAGGAGTGGCTAGACTCCCAAGCCAACTACACCGATCTGGCCTTGCTCATCGAAGCTCTGGAGGCAGAAGACGACGCCAACGCAGCCTATAAAGCTATGGAGGTGGCAGGAACACTGCCCAGCGAGGTCTCGACTGCTCTAGCTGAAGCTGAGAAGCTACAAGGTGGGCAGACAGCTAGGATCTTGAAAACGCTGACACTTTCAAGTTCCAGCTCGCAACTGTCGCACTCCTGAGTCGCAGCCTTTGTCTCTCCCTCTAAGACGTAGCCCTCGCGCTTCCAAGCCCCCCAGGGACCCTATGGCATCAGTTGCTGTCCCCTTGTCTCCTGCGAACCCTCTTGGCCTACCTGGCTATCGTGGCTGGGGTCTACTTGATGCCCCACGCATCTCAAACACTGGGGAATCGCCAGGGCCGCCTACAAGCCCCTCGCCTCAATCTAGCGCCCAAGAGAGCTTGTGGGTCGATGAACGAGCAGCTGCAGTTGCTGACGATAGGTATGGTACTCCTCTCAATGGAACGAGAGCTCTGGGGCCTTCACTGTCGCTGTCTTCGCTGCAATCCACTGTTATCGACTTCTCTCAAGATGATGACGAAGAGGAAGCGCTACCAAGGCCGAAAAGGAAGAAGCCCCACCACATGGTGTTCTTCGAAGCTACAGGGCGAGCTGCAGATGACTTGCATCGCTGCCTTCTCTGCAGAGCTGTTTTCAAAGGAGTAAGCGAGTATCAGTATCAGTCCTGACGCTGCAGAAGTACAATCTGAAGGGACACCTAACTGGCAAAGGAGGGAGACCTGTCTGCCCATCCAGAGCGCTCGCAGGGCGCCGCTTTCCTCATGCCACGCTGCCACAACTTGCAAGCTTGACTGCTGCAGTGCCAGATGACCAGCCGACACTGCCCCAGGTCCTGCAAGCCCCGTTCCAGCTCCCCATCTTCCACAAGCTCTTGACGCTCGCTGTGATCAGCAGTCGGTAGGTCAGCAACTGCAGGTGAAGGCTAACAAGCGCAGAGTTCCCTTCTCTCTCGTCGAACACCCAGCTTGGCGCGCTCTCTTCAACTACCTATGCCCACAAGCAATCGTGCAAAGCCGCCAGACGCTAGCTAGGAGCATGCGAGACCTTCACAGCAGCCTGCAGCACGCTGCCAGCACCTCATTCGAGCGTGCAAACACCATGTGCAGTGTTCAAACAGACGTATGGACCGCTGCAGCTGGCCAGGTGGGGTATAGGTGTGACAGAGCTGACGTTCCAGCTCTCTTTCACCGGTGGGAACGTTGCCTGGGTCGATGAGAAGTGGACACTGCACACAGACTTCGCATTCTTCACACCCTTGAGACTACGCCATACCGGAGTCAATCTGGCTGCGCCTCTCGCTGCCTGGATCCAATCTCGACGACTTGGGGGCCGGGTGCTGTCCATTACGACTGATGGCGCCTCAAACAACATCACCATGCTTGAACGACTTGCCCAAACACCTTACATCGAGTTCAACAACCAGAAAGATCATGTTCTGTGCTCCTGCCACTGCATAGGGCGCGTCGTCTTCGTTTTCATGAAGAACCTGGGCTGCACCATCCCTGCTCTTCGTCCCAAGCAGCTGGACATACCTAGCATCTTCATCAACGATGCCCTGGCTGAATCGGAAGCGCCTGAAGCTCAGGACGACAGAGATCCGGCCGAGGACTTGCAAGAGCTATCACAACTCGATCATGAGGCCGAAAGCTTCTTCGACGACGAAGGGGACGAAGAGGAAGCACCTCAGGAGGCCGATAGTGAAGAAGAACAGGACACAGCCTCTCCCAGCACTACCCCCCATGGAAACGCGGCCAGAATGGCAACCAAGTTCTGCAGAATGACCATGAGGTCTTCTCACCTTGTGGCAGCCTTTCGACAGCTCTCAGGCGGCCGTGCATTGAAGAGAGTGGCAGGGATCCGTTGGGCCAACGATGTAGAAGTCTGGGAGTCAGTGCTCGAGCACAGGCAGTCCATTCACCTCATGCTGCTCAATCATCATTCACACTACACCAAGCACGACATTCGGCTAGAGGGCACCGACTACTTGGCCCTAGAACGACTTCAATCGATCCTGGCGCCTCTCAGAGACTTCACGCGCGATATGGAGGGCAACAAGCCGACTGGCAGCCTGGTGATTCACATGTGGCTCCAACTTGTCCTCCACCTCAAAACGATGCGCTCTAGGTACTCTGATGCGCCTGATATCGTCTGCGCTCTCAGTGCTGCAATCAGAAAGGCTGAAGGATACCTTGCCCAGGCCTCGCAGTGTCGTCCTCTGCTCATAGCAACTGCACTGAACCCCCAGTGTCGCCTGCGCTTCTTCAGCAAGAACAGCAGATACTTGAGCACGTCCTCCAACGAGGTCAGAGGCCTGCTCATCGATGTGTGCGAGCAGATCTTCCAGGAACAGGCTCAAACGCCCCAGCAGCTCGACAGCGACAAGCCTGAGGCGCTCTCTACAGCCCCTACATCCCAGTTCCTCGACTTTGGCGATGACAGTGATGAAGAGCAGACACCTACAATGGTGGTAGAGGCTGAAATCGACCGATACAATCACAGAAGCTCGATGGCAGGGAGCCAGGGACTTCAGCAGGACGCTCTGAAGTGGTGGGAGGTCAACTCACACCTCTTTCCAACGCTTTCCAAGGCTGCGCAGCGCTACCTGAGCGTGCTAGGTGCTCAGGCAGTCACAGAGAGGCTTTTCTCTGCGTCTGCAGCTGTCTGCAATCCTAGAAGAATGGGTAACATCTTACCAGAGACTATCAGCGCGCAAGTGGGCACAGATCAGCTGTTACTCAATGACTATCGCGCTGGAAACGAGTGGGGCGATGCCCAAGAAGTCATTAGGCGTTATATCGCGCAGCAGAAGCAGCAGAAGAAGCTGTAAGCACCTGTAGAAGAACTCTTGAGAAACTCGAAGTAATGCATCAATAGTGCCACAATCTACGTCCTCAGTGCCACATTCTCACTTGAACAAGTGATTTCTGCATGTTTGAGGATGTTGAGACGCTGGTGGGAGCGGTGCCACACCTAGGAGACGAGTGCCACATTGCCTGGTGGCTTTGGAAGCGCCTGCAATCAAGATATGGTTGGGATATGGTGATGGATACTGATACTATCCCAAAAGAACACCCAGAGCGACAGCCTCATATGGTACTGATCCTATACTATCCTATTGGGATGCAGATCCCGATATATCGTTGGGACGAATCCTATCTGGACATCGTAGCCTGTGCACACTAAGACCAGCGACAACCCGTTTCAAACAGCCGGTCGGACATAGCGCCGAACTGGCCTCGACCAGTGCCATGCTAGCAGTGAGCCCCACATGTCGCCGCAAGTTCGGCGGTTTGTCAGGAGGATGCTTTTAGACACTCATGTGCTGGCGAAGGAAATCCGTGAAAGCGCAGTATATCTGCTGACTAGAGCCTCAACACTTTCGATTCTTTTTACTGACATCCAATCTACAGCACCCAAGTCTACAGCGCTACAGCACTCTTCACCACAGCCATGAGAGGAAACAGGGATCTTCGAGCTTGTATCGTCCGATGCTGCAACAGCATCCCCGGTACAATTGATCGGACTCCTCAGGGCTGCCATGTCATTGCGGGTTCGGCGGCCGACGCAGCCATGAGGACTTGCACTAAAGCCTGTCCAGACTCGTCGAGCAAGAAGCGCCTTGGTGCCCGTCAGGCTGACAGTCCCTGTAAGTGAGCTCTGCCTTCGGCAGCTCACGCTCCAGTGTCGGCCGCATCGTCCATCGCTGCCTCGGTGACTGCCTCTGTCTCGGCTTCTCAAGGTCCCAGCTCCGTCACTTCTGGCAGCGCGTCTTCTGCCGTCAGCCACCACGGCTCGAACACACGTACCCACACTTCGCACTCTGAATCTGCGTCCCATGCTTCGCACACGCACCCTGGCTCACACTCGACCCATGATGCTGGCCACTCTGGGACTCCTGTTAACTCGTCCTCGGTCACGGGGTCGGCGCCCGCCACCTCAATCATCGGCACTAGCGATGCGGCTGGTGCCTCTGTCGCCAGCGCCTCAGTTAGCCACTCAGCTTCTGGCTCCGCTCAGCCGTCAGCCAGTGGTAAGAAGAAGAGTGCCGCACCCCGTGCGGCAAGGGGAGTAAGCGTCGCCATCGTATGTGTTGCTGCTATGGTGGCGCTTACGGCGTGAGTTGTCAACGTGCATGCAGGCCTTTCACCATTATCCGTAAGCCAATGCCCCCCTTGTCTTTTGCAAACCACACCCTGTCTGTGCACCATCGGCGATTGAGCTGAGGCCGAAACTGCCCACTGAACTACCGCGGGCTGTATCAGAGGAACCCGGGAGCCTTGAAGGCGAGCCAATAATGTCATCCAACTGCCGCATGCGCTTCGTGAATAACACACTAAGTACGGGCACATCTACATCACCGCTCCGCCCGTGCTGTTAGCTGACGGCGCACGGCTCTAGCGCGTTCGTCAATATGCTTTCCGAGCCCCATTCGGCGCCGGCGATAGACACTGTTGAATGCATATAAGGCTCCGCTCCGTCGCTTCATTCTCACTTGTCGTCTAACACAGTTAACGCTATGGTCCAGTCCAACATCGTAGTCCTCTCCAGCCGAGACCTCTCCGCCCGCGACAGGTGGCACCCAGACGTCCCTCCCTGTGTAAAGGACTGCTGTCACCAGTATGGCGGCAAGTACCAAGACCAGGACAACAACATCACCTGTGGTTGGGACAAGGCCCCCCCTGGAGCGATGGACGGCTACGCCACCTGCAGGGACGCCTGCTGGCCCGGCCCACACAAACGCCAAGCGACGGATCATGGTGAGTCCTTATCGCAACACCCTGTCACTGATAAGTTATCAGCATCCTCCGCAGTGTCCGCTAAGCCTTCTGTCTCTGCTGGCCACTCGGCTTCACACAAGGCTAACAGTGGGGGTTCGGTCGGCAACGCCCCCTCCACGTCGGCGGCTCAGACTAAGCCCCAGGCATCGGGCTCTCACTCCGCCTCTGGTTCTGCCAAGCCGTCGGCGAGCGGCAGGAAGAAGAGCGCTGCCGGGAAGACGGCGAGCATGAACGTCGGCGCTCTCCTTCTCCTCTCGGCAGCCGTTGCGGCTCTCACATGCTGAGCTTCTCACGACTGCGCTTAGACCGTGTTCTCGGTCAAGTCATGTCAGACCAGTGACGTTCGACGAAGTGAAGAATGTAGGGTTCTGTATGCATGTTTGCGTATGCATCCGGCCTACTCTCAGGCCAGACCACGTCAGTGCAGCCCAAGATGACGAGGAGGCTGAGGTCGACCAAGACATCTCTGCATGGCAACAGCGACTGCGCAGCTTGCAGCCGAGCATTCATGTCTCGAACCGGCGGCATAAGTCCTGAGGCCGAGTGCCGGAATCGATCTGCGGCTCGTGATCGGGTTCCTGGACGAGGTATACCAAGCTTCTCTGCTCTGCAACATGGGTGACTGCCTGGCATCATCATGATGTGCGGGCTGCATGCTGATCTCATGCTAAGACAAACGGGCGACGAGCATACCGATGCGGCTGCGGAAGGCGTGGGAACTGCTGAGGCTCTCACTTATATAACGGCCTACACTGCTCGCCGAAGAGTGCACCTGCCCCCGCTTGCTCTTCTACTTCAACATCATGTCCATTTCCTGCACTGCCACCGACCCCGCGCTTCTCGCAGCCTGCTGCGTCGTGGCGGGCGGCACGCTCTTCGGCTCCTCATGCGCCGTAAACGCCGCCTGGGCCTTCCAAGCCTGTGCCGGCGACAGCATCTGCGACGGCGTCCTCGTCAAGCGCCAGGAGACGACCGACGCCGGCACGGCGACTTCCGCTCCCACCGAGCCGACGGGCACCGAGACCACCAGCATCAGCGAGCCTTCCGAGACAAGCTCAGCGTCGCCCTCGGTCTCGGGCTCCGAGTCCGGCTCGGCCGTGACCTCTGAGACGTCCGTGTCTGGCTCTGAGTCTGGCTCGGCCATGACCTCCGAGACGTCTGTGTCTGGTTCCGAGTCGGCCATCACCTCTCCCACCACCAGCGCCGAGGCCTCGCCCAGCGCTGGCACCCAGTCTGGCGGTAACGCAAGTCCCAGCGTTAGCGGCATGTCTGGAACTGAGTCCGTGTCACCCACGCACACCGGCGGCGCCGGCGCAGGATCTGGTACTGGCCACGGCAGCGCGACGTCCGGCGCGTCAGCCAGTCCCTCGGTCTCCGCCCCGACCGGTGCCGGCACCAAGAAGCGTGCGAGCGCCGCCGCGCTGGTGCTTGGCGTGGCTGTGGCTGCGCTCCTCAGCTAGATTCCACCTCCTCCAGTATCGTCATAAGTTTGTTCGTTGTAATCGTGATGGAGTTCGTAGTGCTAGTATTGCAAGTTAATGCGAGGCCCCATGCTTCCTCTTGCTGGATGCGATGCGTCACAGCGATCTGGGCTTCCATTTGCGACCGGCTCGGCGCTCGGATGTACACATATCGAAATGTGTGTTCGGCAGGCTCCGTATCCAGAGTGGATATCTGCAAACTATCATGCGTTCTTCTCTCGGTAGGTCAGGTGCGAGGATTAGTTACGGCCGTAGTCCGCGTTCCCGTCAATACGGAGATGGCGGACCACAATGCGCCGCACGTCATGCTGGTTATGCTGGAGGTAGTCGCGCTGTCTGAAACGTCGCTGTGAAGCTCCTGATATATCCTGTTAGGCGAAGGATGTACCGCTGGATTGGGAACGAACGTGATGGATTTCCAGGGTAGGATAATGAAATGGGGGGCGGGTACATCCATCACGCGTCTGGATGAGGTCAGCCAGAGTAAGCAGGTGACCCGGAATGATCGAGCGTGTGTGATGCGGTCAATTGTGGGCATCGATGTTTACTTGGTGAAGGCGGAGCAATATGGTGCGGCGTCTTCACCCTTTCAACGTGGTTTTGGGGTATATCCAGGCTGTTTCCGATAGAACATCCGTATCGCCAGCCAGAATTCCCCGCCCTTATCGCAATCTCCACTACATCCAGTTTCAGAGTCTAACGAGCTCTTACATCCGCCCTGCCGACCGTGCCGGCGGAAAACGGCCAGCCATGCGCCAGCAGAATGGGCAGACACGCTGGAGCGCTTCAGGATATTCCTGACAGGTGCTTCTACAGCCGACGGTAACGAGCAGGTGACGGCGCCGAGCTCGTCACACGGCGCGCGGCCTCGACATAGCCGAGCGAGCGGCGGAGCGGCCGTGGCTCTGCAACGGCGCCATAGTTGCAACATATAAGAGCGAGCCGTGACCAACATTTCGAAGCACCACCAACAGCTCTTCTCATCTTCACCACTTCTCTCAACAGCCTCAGGCTTCTCCCTACCCACACAACTAGCCAAGACACATTCAGCAATGGCGCCCGTCCGCAGAGACCTCAACCCCGGCGGTTTGACCGGTGGATCCTGGTGGTACCCTTCAGAGGCTGCCCACGTTCCCATGCCTTCCGAGTCCGCCTTGGACCACGGCCTCGGTGCCAGTGGTCTCACAACCGGCGACGGCAGTCTCCCCGTGCACGGCGGTGGTATCGTCCCCCACGACGGCAAGTTGAAGTTGACCCACGGCCACGTTGAGCAGGTCAAGAATGACGACACCGACACCAGCTCTACCTCCAGCAGCAGCACTACTCTGGCCCCCTCCAGCCAGCCCACCTCCAGCTCACCGCTGAGGCGGAGAGCCGGTGTCGGCGCCGTCGTCCTCGGCATTGCGCTCGCAGTTCTCTCCGCGTAAATCGCTGCACCGCACATTTCTATTTCAGCTTAACGACCACTACGCATTTCCGCCCACTCATGTTTGTATCGGTACAGGAGGGACGCCGGCTAGCAGGAGCGTGTGGCCGGTGTCGAGTGTAACAGCTCTTATAATAACCTTTGCATGATTGATGGAGATGTATACTACTTTTGCCCTCATACTGTTTTCCTGATGTTGCAATGTGGGTGAGTCACCACAGTCACCACCCGAACGCCTCCTCGAAGTACGACAACTGTGCCGCCGGAAGTTGTCCAGGACCCTGGCCATAGGTGTCAACTACGGCCTGGCGCAAGTCATCACACATTGCAAAGGGTCCGCAGACGAGTACGGCCAATCGCTCCCCGCCGACTACGTCAGCCACAGCTTCAGCGAGCATGGTGCGCATTTCGGGTCGGTACGTGTAAATCGCCGATCCCGAGCGAGGCTTGGCCTTAGCAGATGTGCCATCGGTGGCGTCGGTGCTGGATTGGTCGTCCTTGTCGCTCTTGTCGCTGCTGTCCGTTGGAGTGGACGGCTCGGTCTGGCTGATCACCTTCACGAGCTCAGCAGGCGTGGCCGCATCGCGGGTAAAGTGGAGCTGAAGAGAAGCATGTTCCCGTTTCGCGGGTATCAGCTCGTTCGAGAGAACGTCGGCGGCATATTCGGCAGTGCGTGCCGCCCAAACGAGGTGTACCTTGCGTTTCCGCTCACTCTGTCCCAAGGCAAAGAGGTACGGCAGGACGCCTGTGATGCCGCTCCCACCAGCGACGAGGAGGACGTGTTCGAATCCCGTCAAATCAGCTTCGTGGCCGTACGGACCTTCGAGAAGGAGACGCATGCGTGCTGGCCCGTTTGCGCGGTCGATACGACGCTGCAGCCGCCGCGTCCAGCCTTTCATTGGAGCTACAAGGAACTCGAGTTCCGTACCTCGGCCAGTAGTGTTCCATGAGGCGAGCGTGAAGGGGTGGTTCTCCCAGGGCGTCAAGCTGCGCGGTTCGTAGAGAAAGTAGTACTGCCCGGGCTTGGGCTTGAACGGTCCCGATGCGCGGACGCTGACTCGAATCAAGCCGCCGGTAGCCGTCATTCGCGCAACGGTGTTCTCGTCCCCAAGCGTGCGGTACGAGAGCAGAGCGATGCGCACGAGACGGACAAATCGGTCGAAAGCCCACAATCCAACGCACGCCCAGATCCAGGCCAGGTACCCAAAGTCCAAGACGTGGTAGTACATGAGGATGAGGGTGGCAGCAGCGAGTAGGATGTGCAGGACGAGGAACATCTCGTAAGCCCTCTCGCGAACGGGACGGAAAGAGAGCGGTAGAATTATACTCATCGTCACGGTTCCCTTCGGTCAGCTCAACGCTTCATCGTCACGTACGAAGACACCAGTGGCCCAGTACAGCGCCTTGAACGACTCGGCGAGTTCTTCCCGTTCGATCCACGTATAGGCCCTGCTGTCAGCCCGGCAGAGCCCAGCACTTACGCAGAGTGGACAATTGCTTGGATCGTCGCCACACGTGCGGTCCAGCGGTGGAACAGGTTCATGTTTTCTGCGGGTCAGCGTGGCCTAAGAATTAAACTTACGGAATGACCATCCCGTCAGCCAGATCAGAACGTCGTTCCGTCCCGCTAGAGCCCAGAGGAGAACCATGTTGTAGAACGACATGACGCCCGTGCGGTCGGCGACGAAACGGGCGATTTGCTGGTCTTCCTCCTGATACCAGCTGTGTCGTCAGCGCTGAACGGCGCGGCCTGCTCACTAGAGATTCTTCTCGAAGACGTCGTAGCCAACGAATGAAAATATGAAGTTCAGTGCGACGTAGATGAAGATCTGGGGTCAGTAGGTCCACGTGTAGTGACTTACGAGAAGACCTTGGATGCGAGTCGGGACAGAGAGAAAGCCCCAGCCTGTCGCTTGCAGATGACGCTCGCCCCAGAATGCTGGGGTGCCGAGACGCTTCTCGTACCATGTACCCAGGCGAGAGCCGTGCGATGGTCGTCCCTCGGGGTCGAAGGCGTACATTCTCCTCCGCAGGAGATGGTGGATCCGGTTCGTCACTCCAATCAGCACCATGAGGGCCATGAGAAGGAACATGGCCCACCCAAAGCAGTTGTCATAGTACATCATGCGCATGAACCCGACCTTTCGTCAGTCCTCACCTCACGTTTCACTTACGTCTGTATGCTCGCCGACATCGTACGCCTCCCTCGTAATCATGACCGGTCTGGTCTGATTACTGCCCATCTGCCCAGGTGCGAAGATGTCGATCGTCGGTAGAGGTCCGATCTGGGCCAGCTTGGCAAGCAGCGCCTCGCGGTCAGGCATCGGTGCCGTTGTCTTCGCTTCCTCGCCCCAATCCTTGATGCGGTCCCAGGCGTGGTCGAACTCGCCCCGCGGACAGTATGCTTGCATCGCAGCCGTGAGCGAAAGCATGAATGTGTCGCATACGGCGTACATCCCCCAGTAGTCCAGCGTGGGGTCGACGCATGGCCATTTCAACTGCTGCAGCGGGATGGAGGCGTAGCGGAAACACTCGCCGCGGGGTATCGACAAGGCCGTTGTGGTGATCGTCTTCGCGATTGCGGGTGTCGCTAGCAGGAGCAGCAGCGGCACTTTCATTGCTGCGGAGGTGAGTTAGGAAGCTCCGGCGGTCAGTGGGCAACGGGATGCCTCTGCACACGTAGTGGGTGAGGCCTTTTATTCGACTCTGTCAGCGAGCTAGCCCCATCGCTCCTCTGGAAACCGTCCCAGAAGGCCATGGACCGCGGTACGTTATCAGATAAAGTTGATCGGCCGAAAATATGGACTCGCCAAGCGGGTGCAGTTCTAATCCTGGCTGCGGAGTCACAGGACCACATTCCCAGAAACGCACTAAGGAATTGGGGGTCGACTGACCACAACATGCAGACGAATCGCAGCCAACGAGAGCGAAACGTTGCCCGATCGAAGCGCCATCGAAGCGCCAGCCCGGTGCCTGCAGTGCTCCCCACGCTGTTACAACGTTATTACGACGCTGCTCATTCGTGATCCGCATGGTACTGTGATCCCTGTCTCGTGCGGCCCCAGACGTCCATACGTCGGTGTCATCGCCGAAAACGCGGTGGAGTAGACCGGTTCCGAACCTTCAGATCTTAATTGCAGGTCCACGCCGACGTTGAAAACCCAATCAGCTGTCAGTGTGCCCGATCAGAAATGTTGTTCCGCAGCCGAGGCAGTCGTAAGACGGCCGAAACACTGCATCTGTGTCAGCGTTTCGTCCGACCATGCTCCGCGGCAGGTGCTTCTCGGCCTGATCTGCATGGGGTCGTCTGAGCTACAGGGCGTTGGGTCGCGAAGCCAGATTAGGCCAGAGGTGTGTGAGGTCCAGGCTTGTCTTTGGCGCCTCGGGCGGGATCGTGCTCGGAGCAGTTGAGGGAGCTCCCATCGAAGTCCCGTTCATACCTGGCCAACGGGCGCTGACGGGCGGAGGGAAATTGGAGCCCTGAGATGGCTCCAGAGAAGCGGGGTCTTGCCCGATCTCATTGGAATATGAGGACCTCTTCGAGAAGTCCTGCATGTGCACAGCTTCGGGCCTCGCTTGGGCAAGAGGCGGAGAGCGTTGTTCCTGACCGGTTTGCCCTTCCTCGTGAGACCGAGGAAGTGCGACTCGAGCCTTGTTCTTGAGCCACAGGTCTTTCAAGCCGCGACGCTTCTTGCGCTCTAGCTCTTCGTCAGCGGCAAGGACGTCCAAGCGCTTGTTCACTTCGTGTTTATCCAGCTGGTCAGCGAACTCTGCTGTGCGCTTGCGAGTTTCGCGACGCTGGCGCCGGATGTACCACGCCAGAAGAGCTAGAAGCGGAAGGACGGCCAGTGCGGCAAGTGGAGCGAGCGTTGTGCTTGAAGATCGGGCCTTGAACTGAGTGGCTGAGGATGGCGAGGGAGGAGTGTTAGAAGTACAGTCGGCACTGGTGTCGAGGAAGCCACTCAGGCAGATGCCGAAGGAGTTGGCGAAGAGGCACGGCACAGTGACACAAGCACCTGCCCTTAGAACGTGGCCCGATGCGCAACTGGTACATGAAGCTCCCGACGTGCAGGTCGAGCAGCCGTCATTGCAAGGCTCGCACTTGGATCCAGCGGCATACATGCCCTGTGGACAGGAGGGCAGGCAACGGCCGTCTCGGAGCAGTGGCCGATCCCGGGGGCAGGTGAGACACTTGGAGCCGCCAGCGCCAGAGCACGTTGCGCAGTCGGGACTGCACCGTGTACACTTTCCATCGGCCACAAACGTGTTGCCAGGGCATTCGTCGGTACAGGCCCCATTCAGAGCTGAGCCGGACGCGCAGGTCAGGCAGAAGTCCGCTTTGCCAGCGCATGTCCTGCACTTCGGGTCACACGCTGCTCCATTAGCTGATGAGTTGCAGAGACCATCTCACATAAGCAAGTGTTCGAATCCGCAGAAAGGTACCAGCCCTTGCCGCAATCGGTGACACACGTGCGATTCTTCATGGCGAAACCGTCTTGACATGAAGTGCAGACGCGGGTGTCGAAATAGGCAGCAGCCGTGTACTGAGGGATCACGCAGTCCTTGCAACCTCGCGGACAAGCTGCGAAGTTCGTTAGCGGAGTGCTACCGGACTCTTACATTTGCATTGTCCATTGTCGTTGTCGTACACGTAGCCCTGGCCTATGTGGAGATCCGCTCCATTGCATACGCCTGTCCTGACATCGAGCGAAACACAGGTGCCGGCGAGAGATCCGCGGGGCCTAGCGCAACCGACACAGTCAGTCAGCTCCGGGCCCGTGCAAGTGCGACAGAAGAAGTGGCAACTTTTGTCAGCTCGCTTTGGACTTCGGCACAACTCACGCGGTACACTTCTTCGCAGCATTGTCATAATACGTGCCCCTGCCACAAGGATATGCAGCCTCGCAAGTGGCTGGGATTTTGGTTGTCAGATCGAGGCCCTTTATGCAGGTTGTGCAAGTTGGCGAGTTATCGCCAGGCTTCAGCTCGCACTTCAGGCAGCCGAGTGGGCATTCTGCGGTTAGGTCAACATCAAGGTTGGCGCTTACCAGTGCACTGCTTGTCCTTCGTCTCATAGAAGCCATCAGCGCAGGCATTACACTTCAGCGAGCCTCCCTTGCTGATGCGACCGGGGGCACACTCGCAATCGCCTTTGTCTTTGCAAGTACCATATGCGCAGTTACAGGCTGCGGTCAGTCACACTTTCAGCGACGGGGAGCCCACCTTTAGGGTCCTTGAGTGCACCCAAACAAAGACCGGAACCGGACAGACCGTCATCACACAGCGAGCACCCTGCCGGACAAGCTGGCCGTTAGCACATAACGCTGCCGTAGACCCACCTCTGCAGTCTTTGCCGAAGTGATTTACGGCGCATTTGTCGCAGGCGGGACCACTCCATCCGGCATCGCAGACACAACGGGCCTCCTCAGAGCCGCTACACACACCCTTAGACGAACAGGGAGGGTCACAATTCGCTGCAAGTTAGCTAATCATGTGGGCGCTTTATCTTACAGTTTACGAAGCCCGTGATTTCGTAGTCTTCTGCGAGCTGGCTGCGGTCTGGGATCGATTCGGAAAGGACTTGAAACGACCTTAAGGAAGCGTGCCAACCGGAGGGAAGAAACAGGCTGCTCCAATTTCCGGGTGGCGAAGTCTGGACAGTAGCGGACCCCGAGTAGTTCACGATATCGAAGGACAGAGGGAATGCTGGCTCAGAAACATGGAGAGAGGATTCTGTCTCGTTCACCGTCCCGTTGAATGCTGGCTTGGGTATACCGTGTTCAGAAGAAGAGTATGATAATCCGGGAAGTAGTTGAGTGGAGTTGTTATCGATTGCTAGGACTGAAAATGAGCTCAAGTGACGCGCCATTAGGGCTCACGGGTTGAGGATGATCTGCCATCGATGCAGTGTGTTGAAGAACAAACTTTCGGATACACTGCTGTCAGAGATCGCATTAAGGCGGATTGCACCTTCGCGTCACTCACCGCACGAGGCAGTCGCTACTATCAGCGACAAGCTGATGCGGAGGTCGATAGAACGCATGGTCAGTAACGTTGTTAGTCACAATGGTGAGCTGCAAGCGGGTTATATGTAGCGGCTCCTCTTGCCACCTCCTTAGTCAACGTCCGCTTCTGCATTGTCGGTATCGCTGTCGCTGTGCGGGTCGACGGAACAAAGAGTAGGATGGTGCGTGTTGTCTTTGTCGTCGTGAAGCGAGCGTTTAAGTGACCGATCGGCACGGCGATCTGGCTTTGTAACTCACTTTCCCACGGATGCTTCGCCGGCCGCCGCCGTCATTGCCCAGGCACTGCCCAGGACCAGTGACGTTGGGCGTCGCTTGGGGAGATGAGACCATCTGACCGATGATATCGCCTTTGTACATTGTTTTACCAAGCTCTTAATACCTCGAGACCTCTTGTCGACCCGATCCCAGCGAAGATTCCGCATCGCCTCTCCTCACAGACCGCTCGCGATGTTTAGCATGGGTGGGCTCTCGTCCTTGGGGCTAGGCCCTGCGCCCGAGCCCCAACCCGTCACTGGCCAGCAATATCTCCTCAAGCTGCACAAGTACCTCAGCATTAACATCGCTCGGCTTGCTCCCCCTATCAAGCGGGACGGTACATGGTTACAGCAAGGCTACACACTCCTCACCCTCGGGCTGGACCCGAACTCGGCTCCCCTCTCCCGGAGTGTCAAGGTGCCGCTTACTCTGGGATTCGGTACACCGACCGCCCCGCGCACACGCCCCGTCCTTCTGCGACTGCCGCCAGACAAGCTGCTGTACCTGCTGCTTAGGTGGCAGAGCTTGCCGCAGAACCTGCCTCACGTTGGCCGAACCGACGTTCCAGTGCCTCCCGGAGTGCCCGTGGCCGCTAGGGGTGCCAGGGCGGATTCACGGAGTCGCCGAGGAGAGGGCGACGTCGAGAGTGTGCGGAGTTGGGTCGGCAGCGTGAGGAGCGTGAGCATGAGTGTCGTCGATGGAGGCTGGTTTAGGAAACCTAAGGAGATCGATGAAAGTGAGTCTACCCTATTTCGACATACAAGCTGACGTATCAGATAAGATTCTACTCGATCTGTACGCCATCTGCAACACACTGCCGGGGCTCTTACTGCATCCGCCATTCTCGACTGATCCACCGGTTGCTGAGCTTATGGATGCCGGCGGCTACACACAGTTGGGCGGCATCGACGTGCGCGTTCCACTAGACGTGTTCCGAAACCTTCAGACGTGAGTCTCAGGGGCTGTACGAGACTGACGATCAGACTTGAGCTCGAGTCCCTCGATCCGCGTAGCGTGCTGTCTCCGATCAACCCTGTGCTTCACAGCTTGACGGTTCACGATGTGGAAGACGGGGATGAGTGGATCGTGGAGCTCCTCGTGGCAAATGACGGCGAAGAGGCAATGGGGAGGGCCCCCAAGGGAGACTCAGCGGACGAGAGCGATGAGGCCTCGAAGACGAACGGCAAGGGCACAGATGCGGCTGAAGCCTCGTCGCAAACGAATGGTGCCGACGATGACCACACCAACTCGAAAGCGCGGTTCCCCAACTTGCGCCACCTGTCGCTGCATCACGTCTCGATGCTGTCCTTCCCCCGGCTGCCGCTGCAGAACCTCTCACACCTCGATCTCTCACACAATCTGTTGAACGACCTACCGGACCTGTCCCACCTGTCAAGCCTCATCTCGCTGGATCTGTCGCATAACGTCATCTCGTCCGTGCGAAGTGCGCAGACGTTCCTGGGCAACATCGCGACGCTGAACCTGTCCCACAACAGGATGGATTGCCTCGTCGGTCTCGACCGCGTCCCAGGCCTGCGTCGCGTAGACCTGCGGCATAACGACATTAGTGATCCGGGCGAAGTGGGTCGACTGGCGGTGCTCCCGCAGGTCTCGGAGATCTGGGTTGCGGGCAACCCCTTGAGTGGCGAGTTCCGAGCGGAGATCTCGGCCGCTTTCGCAGCAGAGGGCAAGGAGGTTTTGCTGGACAATACGCCATTGACGTGGTCCGAGAAGAACCAAATGGAGGAGATCTTGCGTCAGCGCGGCCGCACTGTGCGCCGGCAGAACCTGAGGGAGGACCCGGTGGTGCCGGCGGCTGCGCCGCCGCCAAAGGTGCTCAGTCCCCGACCGAGGCGGCCATCTCTGCCAATTGACCAGGAAAGGAGCAAGTCTCCTGGCTCCCCGACACGGGCGAAGCCGAAGTCTAAGTCTCCGGTGCAGGACCGGCCGAGCACAATATCGCCGACGCCGGACGCAAAGGGTGCTAAGGACTCGCCGGCGCCCCCGGAGACCACGTCCACTGATGCCGAGACTACCAAGACGCGGCGCACTGTTGGAGGAAAGAAGAAGAAGGCGAAGCGCCGTGTTGTCGCGCTCGAGTGAGACCAGAGAATGAGAACGGGCTTAGAGACACCTCTGATTGGTGATAAGCATAGCATGAAGTATTTCGATAGATGTTAGATTGCTGTTGTATCGTGTTTCTTACCTAATGCATTTGCTAGCGGAAATGACAACTGGGTCGACTGCACCACATCTGCCGACTGTCGCACACAAGGCTCTGTCTCCAGCTTCTCAAGCTCACATCTGCACTGGCCAGTACCAGCCAAATGCGTTCTACATCCTTCGTGTCCCCACATGTCCCATAGTAATAGATCTCGTCATGCGCGGAGGGTCGGTTCCAGAATTCCAGCGGAAAGAAGGTCCCGGCGTTCGTACCGGATCTCCCGCCAAGCTGAACGCCGATCCGACCTCCACCTGGTCGCGTCACAGTTGCCACCTGAAACACAGTCCTCCCTCCTTCCTCCCATCACACCAATATCCACCCCACGTCCTCAATGGCGCTCGTCGAGCACAGGAATTACCTTCAAGACGTACTTGCGCGGCAAGCTCGCCGCCGCCAGGTTATCGGAGCGCGGTACGAGCCGCAGCCGAAGCTCTCGACCGTCGTCTCCGCGAGTGATGCGGCCGATCCCGCCGCCGAGGCGTCTACGAGCGACGTCAAGGGCAAGTCAAAGGCGAATGTCACAAACTACGTCCCCGCTGAAGAGGCCGTGAGGAACGACTACGAGGCTCGTTACGGTGTCTCTGGAGAGTTTCCGAGCAACTATGTTCTCGGTGCTGGGAGCAAGGAGATCTGCGAGGAGTGAGTTCCCTCACCAACACATACGTACATCTCGCCCTTCCCTCCATTCGATTGGACTGTTGTCATCGTCGACGCAGTTCCAATGGCCGCGAATTGCTGAACTAACGACAGATTCCCGGCTCTGCGCCGCCTCATGGATCTCAAGGCTGCGAACGTGAATGCATCAGCGCACCCGCCGCTGGTCTGTAGTCTGCCCGATGCCTCACCTTCCTCTATCCTCTCATCGCTGGCACCGCAGCACTTCGACGTCATCCTCTTGCACCCGCCCGCATCAGCGTCGTGGGCAGAGATCGCGGCCCTGCCGATCCGGCAGCTGAGTGCGGACCCAGGTTTTGTCTTCCTCTGGGTCGGAACAGGAGACAGCGATGGCCTCGAGCGTGGGCGCGAGTGTCTCGCACGCTGGGGATTCAGGCGCGCCGAGGACATTGTCTGGGTCAAGACGAACCGACGATCGCATCGTGGCGGATCTGGCTCCGAAGAGAGCGTTGACGGTGATGGCGTCGACGGAAGTGTGGACGGGGAAGGCACCGACAGGACCGTACCGCGGAACGCCGGTGCGAACGGGAATGGCCTATTCGCGAGCCAGAAAGAACATTGTCTGATGGGCATTCGCGGCACGGTACGCCGAAGCACGGACGCGTACTTCGTGCACTGCAACGTTGACACGGATGTGATCGTGTGGGAGCCAGAGGGTGAGTTCCTTAGCTGAGTAGCTCGGTCAGGTAGCTGACATCAGACGGAGATGACGACACGCGCACACCGCCATACCTCTACACTCTTATCGAGAACTTCTGTCTCGGTGCGCGCCGTCTCGAGCTCTTCGGTACGAAGCCGCGACGAGGTTGGGTCAGCGCGCAGCTGAGCCCTTCCTCGGACTCTGACGCCGAGCCCTTCGACTCCAGCACCTATCCCTCCCTCTTACCCAGCAAAGATGAGGGCAAGCCCGTCGTGCCCTTCAGTGCCGAAATCGACGCTCTGCGCCCCAAATCGCCTCAGCGTCGCACCCCGGGGCAGCGCAGGCAGCAGCAGCAGCCCCGATACAACACGCCACACCACAACCAGCATCAGCACCATGGTCCGCCGCGCGGCGCAGGCGTCATGCGCATGGGCGCGCTGACGGACAACAACATGATGGAGGCGCTGTTCCAGCAGCAAATGCTGGCAGGCATGGCACCGCAGATGGCTCAAATGCAGATGGCCCAGATGGGCGTCAACCCCATGATGCAGATGGGCATGGGCGGGATGAACCTGGGCCAGCCGGGTCAATCTGGCCAGCCTGGACAGCCTGGCCAGCCAGGCCAGCCCGGTCAAGGCATGATGGGCGGTATGGGCATGGGAGGGATGGGCGGAATGGGTATGGGCCAAATGGGCCAGATGCCGTTCAACCCCATGATGGCCATGGGCGGCTTGTCGATGGGCGGGGGGATGGGCGGGGGGATGGGAGGCATGGGTGCCGGCGGCATGGGCGGGATGGGCGGCGGGATGGGCATGCTCCCTGGCTCGCCGCACCTGCAGCCGCCGATGCTGAATCCGATGATGATGGACGCCGGCGGAGGCTTCAACCCGCTGCAGATGCAGCAGATGGTGATGCAGCAGGCCATGGCGGGTATGGGTCTCGGGTCCATGGGCTCCATGGGCTCCATGGATATGGACATGGGCGACTATGGCCAGATGAACATGAACAACATGAACAACATGGGCATGGGCATGAGCCCGCACATGTATGGCGGATCGTCGCCTGGTCCCTCCCACCAGCAGCCGGGGCAGCCTGGCCAACCTGGCGCCGGCGCCAGCGGCGGACAGTACTACTACGGCTAGGAACCGTACGAGTAAGCCAGAATCAGGAGACAACAAGATATGCATTCACTCTAAGCAGACCCCGGATCAAACTATAGACGTTACGTTTCTACTTTTACACACTTTACAGCTTGGCCTTGTACCCGACCGGGTGCATCTGCTCGTAGTTGTACGAGTACACCGTGTTGCCCGGGGCGGGGTAGCCGAGCGCGCGCGTGTCGACCATGTTCTCAGTGACGTCGGCGAGCGTCGGGGCGCCGATGAGGCGCATGTTCATCTCAAACTCGTCCTTGAGGATCTGGAGCGCGCGGTCGACACCCGGAACGCCGTCGTACGCCGACATGGCGTACAGGAACGGTCGACCGATACCGACGGCAGTGGCGCCAAGGGCGACGGCCTTGAGGACGTCGGTCGCACGGCGGACACCACCGTCGACGTAGACCTCGAACTTGGCGCGACCCGGGCGCTCGATGAGGCCCCGCGTCTTGAGCGCCGACATAACCTCGGGGAGAATGGTGATGGGGGAGGGGGCAAAGTCGAGCTGGCGACCACCGTGGTTCGATAGAACGATACCGTCAACACCAGCCTCGGCAGCCATGACGGCGTCCTCCCAGCACTGAACACCCTTGAGGATGATCTTCATGTCACCCGAGGCCTCGATGAGCTCGGGGATGTGCTCCCAGGCGAGAGCGGGGTCAATGAACGACGAGATGGCACGGGCGGCACCCTCGTTACGGTTGAACTTATCACCTCCCTTGGTCTGCTGGTTGGAAGCGGCGCCCTCGAACTTGGTCCTCATGTCCTTCTCGCGACGTCCGAGCTGGGGAGCGTCGACGGTGATGAAGAGAGCCTTGACGCCACGCTGAGCAGCGTGGGCAATGATCTTTTTCGTACGGGCGCGGTCGGCGTTGACGTAGAGCTGGAGGAACTGAACCTGTCCCGGAGCGGCGGCGTCAACCATCTCGTCGAACGAGCACGAAGCAAGAGTGGGGATCTGATGTCAGCTCGGAGGCGCGGACGCAGCAGCTTACCATCTGGATGACATTGTGCTTGTGGGCAGCCTTGGTGAGGTTGACCTCACCGTCCTTGTGACCCAGCTTTCCGAGGGCAGTGGCGGTGATGTAAATAGGCATCGAGGTGGGGAAGCCGAGGATCTTGGACGAGTAGTCGACCGTGCCGACGTTGCGGAGCACACGCGGGCGGAACCAGACGCGCTGATAAGCGTTGTAGTTCTCGCGCTGGACGTCAGCTTAATAACCCACAGCGGCCCGGCTGCTCCGACATATCGGCAAGCAACTGAAACCACGTACCATGGTGATCTCATCATCGGCGCCAGACGAGTAGTAGTTCCAAGCCCTGCGGTTCATGGTAGCGCGGGCAACGGCCTCGAAGTCGTGGAGCGAGAGGATCTGGTCGAGAGGAGGCTTCTCGAAGGGCTCGGGAGCGGCGGCGACGACCTGGTTCTGGGCAGGCGCAGCGGCGGCAGGAGCAGGAGGGGCCTCCTTCTTCTCCTCCGGGAGCTCGCCGACGAGCTTGCCGAGGTGCTTCGACGGGTCGAGGTTCTCCTTGATGGCCTCGGGCGGGTGGATGGGCTGGCGGTCAGTAACAGTTCTAGCTTGCGGCAGTTTCTGAGCTATCGGTGCAGACTGTGGGGTCTCTCGGCTAATTGGGCTGCGGCTGCGGCCCAGCACACCTTGAGGAAGACACAGTCGCGACAGAGGACACTGCAAGATCCGGGAACACTCACGTCGTACTCCTCAGTCGCGTCCTTGCCGGCGTACTGCAGGATGATCTCGGCACCTCCGGGATGCTCCTGTCTGTCAGCTTTCAAGCCACTCCTAGCGCCAGCTTGCTGTGGCCTCCCCGTTCGGTAGTGCCTCGCGAAGCGACGGAGCTACTCACATCGACGAAGTCAGTCACATCGTAGACGTGGCCTGTCTGTCAGCTATCTCTGGAGATGTGTAGTCGAAGCTGGCAAAAATGCTTTGGTGCGCCTGCCTTCCTCGCCGCCAGCTCCACCGCTACTAACCGTGGACGACGATCCAGACACCCTGTTGCTGTTAGTTTCAAGTTCCCTAGGATTAAAGCTCACATTCTCGGGCGAGTTGTGCTTCGCGACCTCCTTGGCGTCGACGGTCTTGGTCATTTTGGTAGTTGTGGGAAGGTGAAGGAGAGTTGGAAAGGCAGAGAAGGGGCGGAAAGGGATGGAGGAAGACAATATTAATGTCTGTGGTGCCGAGGCGGCTCAACTTCGGTCGGCTGACTGCGGCGGCTTTGGGTGCGCTGCACTGTGCTGATGTGATCTCAGGTTGCCCCTGTTGGCTGGCATGGCTGGGCTGAAGGGCTTGGCTGGGCATGCGGGGGCTGATAGCAGTCGCAGGCGGCCAGCGGCGGGTCTGCGGAGAATCTCCCCGGGTACGCACCCGGCCAATCTGATCCGACCTATTGCCGGCATGTCGGCTAGGCGCGGCCAGAGTTGCTTACCCGGCATCTGCCGCCGTCTGCCTGGTGAGAGATTCGGTGGACCTCCACCGCCGCTTCGGTTCTTCGGCACGCGCTCCGCCCAAGGCTCACCCAGTAAGGTGTCCGAAACGGATTTTCGATCGTGTGGAGGGCCATCAAGCGCATGAAGCGCACGCCGCTCACTCGCTCGTCGTGTGGAGGCAACGCTGGGCACCACATCCCCAGGTGGAGGCCTGCGAGGGGATCGTCACCGACATGCCGGATAGAGACAGCCTGTTGGTTCCTGCTTCTCGGTCGTCGCTCGCCGCCGCCACTTGCCCACCTCCCTTCCCTGCATTCCAGACACCCGGACCATCTCTGTTCTCCATCTCTGCGCCATAGCGCGCCAGAGTTGGAAATCGCTCGGTATCTTTTCGGTCTTTCTCCCCGTTATCTTCCTTCGTGCGTCACAGGAGGCGAAGGATGTTCATGCAGTCATTACCTCCACTCTGTTGGCGCCCCGCGCCAAGGCGTCGTCGTTGGTGGAGACTATTTCTGAGGCTTGGCTTTCACAAATCTTTGCATGGTTTATGTGGTACAGGGTTGCGGAGCTACGATCGGTTTGTCTCCCTCGGAAAGTCGACGACCAGGCTACGGATACGTGAACAAAGCTACTCTCATACAGCAGATACTCCCAGAAGAAAAAGCACACAACGCCCAATCAAGCTTCACGACGGGCTGCTCTTCGCGCTGATAGCGCTCAGCCGCCTAGATCCCGACAAGAGCCACTAATCCTTTGGCGGTACAGGCGGAGGCACGTCTTCCCGCAAGCCGTGTCCAAGGCTGTTCTGTCGACTCGGGCGGTCGCTGGGCGGGCTGCCCCTCCACGGCTCCCACTTCGTCACAACAGCCCAACCTCCACCTTCAAAGTCTCCCGGGTCCTCGTCATCGAGCTCGGGCGGCCGGTAGCTCAGGCGTTTGGGCCCTCTGGGGGCAACCCCGAGGGATCGAGTGCTGCCGTCAGAAGACCCTTTCGACGGACTGCCATGCAAGGAAGGTGTCCTCGCTGAAGCTGCCTCACTACGGGGTGTTCCACCGTCTGGCGCGCTCGGGAACGGGGTCTTCGGGTTTAACTGGCTGGCGGTGCCCTTTGCGTGGGGGGAGATGTGGACGCCGACATAGGGGTGCTCCTCATCCGGAACCTTTGGGAAGGCTTTGGGCGAGATAGTCGACGCTGCCGCGTTCGCGGTCGGGGTCGAAGATCGCACAGGGGTAACAACTCCTGGCGTATTGGGGAGAGTGTTGTTCGGGGCGTCAGGGAAATCCGGTGTACGCCTGTCCGTCGTCGGTTCCTTCACCGTTTCGAAAGTTAAGACAGGCGCTGTGAGGCCGGAGCCAAGCGTGCCAGATTCGGGTCGGGCGGGCTTGGTCGGCTCCGGCTTCTCCTCCGGAACGTCGTCGTCACTGATGGGGCCGAAAGGCGAAGGTTCAATGTGTACTTGCATAGGTGACTTGGTCTTTAGTTCGGTGGCGGGGACGGTGGGAAAACCGTTCTCGTCGACTGCCGACGCAGCCACATTGCCAAGCGGGTTGTTCGATTGCTCAGTTTTCGACGTAGAGCCACGAAAGTCAGAAGTGGCGGCTGCGGCCTGCCCCCGCCGCAGCGGGAGTGAACGAGTGAGAAGAATTGGTGTTAGGGTTGGTCTTGGCTCCGTCGGGGCCGAAGCGCTCGTGCAGGTCCTCATACCGGAACTCAAGCTCGGATGAGGCGCGCGCAGGTGGCATACTGCTGCGATTGGACATCTCGTCCTCAAAGTTGTCGATCTGCGACTGGCTTAAGTCATCAGAGAAAGGACGCTCGGTTGGAGCAGCGATCATACTGACCAGGTCCGAGTTTTGGTCCAGGACGCTCTGAGATGTTGTGGAATCACGAGGAACCGGAGTCGAGTCACGGTCGGCGGAGGTCAGCTTCGGACTGCTGCTGAGGTCGATGACGGAGGGAGTGTCGGAAGAGTCCTTGTCCTTCGGAATAGCGAGCGGGGTGGACGCGACATCGTCCTGGCTCGGGGAGGTCGACAGGTTTCCTAATGATGCAGAAGGCATGATGGTGTCCTCGCTGCGGCGTCCAATCGCCTCGGTGGGGCCGGGAGCCTGGTCTTCCTCTTTCTCGGGTGCGGGCGAGATGGCGACCTTGGGTGCCTCCGGGGTTGCGTCCCGATCCACGGTCTTGGCCGTATCATCATCCTTGATGGTCTCAATGTCGTTGGCGGCCTTTCCCGGAGTGGCAGAGGACTTGCCTTCTGCTTCGGATTTCAGTTTGTCGGCGGCTGCATCTGCACGCTTGGCCAAGTCCTCGAGAGCCTCTGCTTGACTGTCAGCAGCGCTGCTCTTCTCCGCCGATGGGACGGAGGTCGTCGAAGTGTCCTTGGAAGCATTGTCGGCGGTCGCGTTGGGCGTGATCTGCTCTGCAAGGGGCGGGGGAGACCTTGCGTCAACAGTAGCGGGGGTTAGGCTGTCTGCTGACGGCGTATCCTTCTCTTCCTGGGCAGCCGCGGACTCATCCTTGCTCCCAGCAGCAGCCGCGGAGCCCACATTCAACGCATCGAGCTTGTCCTGCAAATCGGCGACGTCCCCGGTGTCGCTAGGCGGGGCGCTAGGTGCTCCACGAGAGGACCCGGCAACGCTATCGTTGTCTAGTTGACGTAAGGCTTGACGAGGAGTGCCAGTAGGGGTGCTAACCTCACTGACGTCCTTCAGGTTCGTCGGACGCTCGCCTTCCTCGCGGCCTTCCTCGGATGCGGGGTCGTACTGTGAAACAAGCGAGCTGGAGACGGACATGGCGGACGAGACGCTCCTGGCATCTCCGGCCTTAGCGTCGCCAGCGGCGAGCTTCAGGTTTCCAGGGACGAGATCATAATCCGGCGGCGGCAGCTCGGACGAAGCGGTCGGTACCGGCGTGCTAGGCATGGAAATGGCGTCTTCGCCAGCCTCCGCTCGTGTGGACGAGGGCGTCATCGTCCCAGGCTCATGACCGTCAGGCAGCGTCGACACCAACAACTGCGGAGGCATGAAGCCGCCTCCCGGCGAAGTGGCGGGCGAGGAAGACAGTGACGTGCCGACGGAAGCCGAATCCAGTGTTCCAGAGGCGGCGGATGCAGATGCCGATGCGACTGAGGATGTCGCGGAGCCTGCTGGTGACGCGCTTCGCACAGATCGGCCTGATGCGCCGGGCACCCTGCTACCAGCAACGGATCCGGGCGCTGAGCCAGCGCTCGAGACGCTCGCACCGCTGCTAGGAATGCGGTTCCCGATGATCCCTTTGCCTTCTGAGACGCGACGGAAGCCAGGACTGCCGACAATACCAGCAGACTTGGGGTCCAGGGATGGTAGCCGGTTGCCGATCAGCCCACCGCGAGCATACGATGTGTGTGTGGACGAGTGTGGATGAGAGCCATCATTGTTCGGAAGAAGGGGCGAGGAGCCGGCGTTGTTGAACTTGGCGATACGATCCTTCAGCGAGCCGGATACGATGCGTTTCGGAGGACCCGCGGGCGACTCGGGTCGCGACGACGACGACTCAGACCTGTAACGTCAGCGGTGGATAACGAGCGCCAAGCTCACATGAGTGTTATTGAGGTCGGCGGCGGCGGCGGCGGCGGGCGGCGACAGGCGCGTTATGGGTGGGTCAAAGGAGGGACGTGGATGGCGATGAGAGAGGTAGTGACCGTGATGAAGCTAGATGTTAATACAAGGCAATGGCGGGGCCGCGGCGTCGACGGCGTGAGAGGTGTGATGGAGAAGCAAGGAATGGGTAACGGTGTGGAGTCTGTGGATGAATTGGATGGGACTGGAATAATGAAGCTGACCGGAGGTGGCCAGTGAGGGGCCGGATGGAGGACTGGATAGTGACCTGAGGGAGGATGGCGACCCTGGCCTACGGCCCTGTGATGGAACGGCGTCGTCTGCGGGTCTACGGTGGCCACTACGCGTGTGGTGGTCCAGCGGACTGAAAGCAGGTCGCAGGACGATAACTGATTGGGCCGAGCCCTAAAGGACACTTGTGACAAACGAAGGCAGAGAAGCAGGGATGGATCGATGAGGGATGGGGGTCGACGGGTGTGAGGGACGAGAGGCCTGAGGGACGATAGGGAGGTGAGGGTCAATGGAAGGGGGAGGGGGAGGGGGTACGTGATCGGACGCGCGAGGCACACCGCGTCGAGCCTGGCGCCTGCGCGCCTGGCGTGTCCCACCCACTCACAAGTCCGGCCCACACACGCATGTAACCCCACACACACCCCGCCCAACATGTGCATGTGCAACGGAGCGTCCTTAAAGCCAGAAACTGAGGCTGACCCCAGCCTGAGTGTTGGCGCAGCTGCACTGGCAGTAAACTGACTTCTCACCGCATTGCAGGTATCAGCCCCTCACGGGATACACTGCTCCAGCTGGGTAGCCCACAACGGCTGGAGGTCGAATGTTAGGGCCAACTCACGTTTGATGTCCTTGAGCAAGTCTGTGAGCATGAGCCCGGGGTGACGGGGGCGACCAACGTCGTAATGGGTGCACCTGTCGGGCGGCGCTCTCAGGTGCAAAGTGTCGGCAGTCGAGCCTGGAATAACGGAACCGACCTATGGGACAGTGGACTGATGGGAGTACGATGTGCTGGGTCGAGTAAAGTTAAGGTGCGACGGAGCACCTTAAGTCGAGCAGTGGTAGAAGTAATGTTGACAGACAGACTAGCCACCCAGCTCGCTGCCTTCAGACATCGAGTCCATACACCCAGAGTGTGCACATGCTTCTTCGGCGTAGGACACGGTTTGCCGTTCAGGAAATGAGACACCGTGTAGCACCACAAGGCCACCACAAACCGAACGTTAAGGACTCAGGATACTCTCCGTGACATGCACATCCTTCGCGTTCACTGCACGCATGCTCCAATCTTGGTCCCTCAACCTCACCCCTCGCGTCGCATCACTTTTCCCCTCTATTCGCGATTTACAGCATGCGATGCAACCGAAGCCTGACTGACGGTCAACTACCACCCGAGCATCGGCGCCTGTTTCCACCGTCGATATGGTCACGTGATCCATTGTTGTTGTTGACATCAGACCCGCCAGACCACAGGCTCACAACCAGCGCTGGGTTGTTTAAACTTGCATCTGCTCATCTACCTCACAATCCCACTACTATGCCGCTCGCACGAACCCCTCCAAGGGGTACAGGCAACGTCAACCACCGCGCCCATACGTTTTCCCCTTCCCAGGCGTACCCCGATGGCGTCCCTCCAACTGAACCGGCTCCGATTTCAAGAGGAGGAGGTCTCGCGCGAACACCTCCACCAGGAGCACCGCAACCGCAACCGACATCTCGCGGAAAGGAGAAGCAACACGAAGGCATGGATGTCGAGGAGGAGCGGCCATCGGAGCGAAGACGATCGAGGCGTTCGATTGCGCAACCGGATCCCCCGGAACAGCCCGAGGAAGTGTCGGACGAGGACGACAGAGAAGAACCGAAGGTCGAGGAGGACGACCGGGAAGGCGAGGAAGACACACAGGATGATCGACCAGGGGAAGCCGAAGTCGCGGTCGAGATAGAGGTGGAAGAGGACGTAGAGGTGCACGCTCCTCCGCATACCCCGCCGCCGCAACGCGCTCCTTCACAACCAGCCGTGACGCCAGGTCGCACCCCTCGAGCGCCGCGGGCATCATATCACCCCGCCGATCCACTGTCGCCTGACGACCCCTCCGAATCCACGCGGACCCCTCGGACACCGCGTGACCGGCGCATGAGCCGCGCGCGCACCCCAGCCGAGGTCGTCAGCGAGCCCCCCGTGCCGATCCGCGACACAGACGAGGCAGAGTACGGCAAGTACTACGAAACGCTGTCTCGAGCGCTGCGGATCAACACAATCGACAAGGGGCTGAGCAAGTTGACGTGAATAGCTTCAGGTATCACAAGGACGCTAACAACAGGCTCGGACATATGAAGTCGTGCTATCCATTGCTCTCGGAGGAGAAGCCAGAGTCGATCCGCGACGTCTGGACCAACATGCTGTACCAGCTCCGGACGGACAGTCTTGTAAGCTAGAGCGACATTTTGAAAAGGAAAGCTGACGCAAGTCCGGCGCGCACAAACTCCTGGACGACTACAGGGTACCGAAACGACTGCGCACGCTCGCGCAGGTCGTCGACGAGGCGAACGCGTGGAAGGAGTCGTCGTCCGAGGGCCGGCCAGATGCTTGGCGGTAAGCTGGCTCGCGTGCGTCGCTGTAGCTGACCCTGCAGACCAGACTTGACGCCGTTCACGATCTCGACAGGCACCAACCTGGAAGTGTACGACCAGTCGTGGGCCGAGCTGCGTGAGGAGTATCTCGCGCTCACGAAGGAGTGCGGCGAGCGCATGAAGACGATCCAGGAGAAGCGCGAGCGGCTCGCCAACGTCGACAACGGCGTCAGCGACAGTGTCGTCGAGCTGGCCAAGGTGAGTTGATGCAAAGGTTTCCAACTGACAAGCAGACAAACAAACTGCTCGACGGCTTCCCCAGTGCCGAGATGCTCGACTGGGCCGAGCGTTCGGGATCCCGCGCATAGAGCCCAAGGGGGAAGACTGTAGAATAGTAGCCAGTTGTATGATGTATCCATTGGTTTCGTGAGAATCTACAGATTTCTAGTTCCTAGTCAAACGAACCCTACTCGTCGTCCTCATCGTCGTCCTCGTCCTCGGAAACATCCATGCCCTTCTCGCGCATAGCGGCCTTGTCGCTCTTGCGCTTCTGGGATAATTCGTCAAGCAGCACGAGCAGGTCCTCGTGCTCGCGCTCCTTGTCCTCGAGCTCGGTCTTGACGGAAGAAAGCTCCTCCTCGAGCTTCTTGACCTTGGCCTCGAGCTCGGCGTTGCCTCCCCCGCCACCGCCAGCGCCGCCCTTGCCCTTCTTGCCCTTTCCTCCGGCCGAGTCGGCCTTCTTGGCCGCCTCCTCTGCGGCCTTCTGCGCCTCCTCCGCCTTCTTCTTCTCGTCCTCGGCCTTCTTCTGAGCCTCGGCGGCCTTCTTCGCCTCCTCCTCCGCCTTGGACTTGCCCTCGGAGGCAGACTTGGCGTCAGCCTCCGCCTTCTTCTGCGCCGCCTCGGCCTTCTCGAGCTTGTCCTTCAGCTCCTTCAGTTCATTCTGGACCTTCTCGAGCTCGGTCGCGTCCGCCTTGTCCTTGCCCTCGTCCTTCAACTCGGGCTTGGAGGTAGCAGCCTCGGCAGCAGCCTTGGCGTCCGCCTCGGCCTTCTCGGCCTTGTTGGCGCGCTCCTTGGCCTCCGTCAGCGCCTTCTTCTCCTCCTCCAGCTCGTCGCGGAGGGCGGCGAGCTGCGCCTTGGTCTCGGCGTGCGCGGCGGCTTCCTGGAGATTCGTCGCGATCTGAGCCTTCGCACTGGTCAGGTCCGCGCGGAGCTGCTCGAGCTCGGCGCTTCCGTCCGGCGCACTCGGGGGCGGGGGCATGTGTCGCAGGACCTCGAGCTCCTTGCGCAGCTCCTCGTTCTGTCTTGTCAGCTGCAAAAACCTTCGGAAAGCTCACCTCCTTCTCCTGGTCCTCGCGCAGCTTTTCAAGATCCTTCGCGTGGTCCGCCTTGATCGTCGCCAGGCGAGCCTGGTACTTGAGGTTGTCCTCGGTCTGGGTCTTGAGCTGCTGGCGCAGCGAGATGATGACGTCCTCGTTTCCGTCCGTCTGGTGCGAGCCGCGCACCGCGTCCGGCTCGATCGCGATGGATCGCTGGATCGTGTAATAGTGGTTCTTCCAGAAGTCGACAAACGCCCAGTCAAACCACAGCTCGACGTCCTCGTCCGTCTCGGGTTCCGGGGCGGACTCGTCGGGCGGCTGGGCACCCTCCTCGAATGTATCCGGCTGGACGGCGCGGAAACGCGGATCCTCGCGCAGCCGGGCCATGCGGGAGACGAACTGGTCGGGCCCGATACGCGAGTGAAGGATCGGGTGCAGCGTCGCGCGCGTCACGTCGTTCGGCTCCCGGTTGAACTCGTAGCACACGCCGAGCAGGAAGGCACACAGGCCCTGAACGAGCGGGTCGATGCCCTGGCTCTGCGTGATGGGGCCGATGAGCGTCTGCAGGTTGTTGCTCTCGTTCAGGAACTCGGCGACAGACTTCGGGCTGTCCCACAGCCACGTGCAGAGGAGAACGAGATAGCCCACCATGATGCGCGTCCAGTCCTCCTCCTCGTGTCCGGAGGCGCCGTCCTTGATTGCCCGGCTCGTCGCCTCCGCCTGCGCGCGAGAAGCCATCATGAAGTTGCCCACAACCAGCTGGATCAGAGATACCTTGTCGTCCTCGTCGTCACCACCCAGGGAAATCTCGCGAGCGAGCTTCTTCGCGTGCTCACTGTCGCGGATAAGGTGGGAGAGGAACAGACACGAGAACAGCGGTCGGTACGGGTCGAACTGCGTCTCGGCTGAGGGAAGGTCGAGAAGTCCGTTCAGGATCATCGAGCCAGCCGTCCGTGTCTCTCCGCCCTCTGCTCCGGGAGCAGACATAGACTCCAGAATTCCTATCCGCGCATCATCGTTTCCACTGACGTACGCCTGAGAGTTAGTAGAGCCCAGAACTCTGAAACTCACCTCGAACATGTTAACTCCGGCTGCCCGGCTGCGGAGCGCCTTACCGCCTGCTGACGGGTCACCCTCGACAACGGACGAGACCAGGGCCTCAACTGTCGACTGCAGCGGAAGCCGCACAAATCCTCCGTTCGGGTGCTCGTCGTCAGCGTGCACGGGCACCAGGGGCGCGACCTTGAGCGACGACATGAGCTGCTGGTTCGCCAACGACCCGAGCATGATAGGCGTCAGAGTATTGAGGGCGAGACACTTCAGGCTGTTGGGGGCGTTGGAAGCAAGCGCAAGCTCGAGCAGGCAGCGCGTGACGCCGTCCTTAGCCATCGCGGTCTGGTTGCCTCCACCGGGGCCGCCGACGAGCATGCGGACGAGACCGAGCACCAGGCCGGCATTGTACATTTTCTGTTCCGGCCAGTCCTGGAGTGCAAAGGCGTCAGGAGCCTGCTCGTCGGGTCCGATCGGTGACGGGAAATGCAGCATCGGCGGGATCTGCGGGATGAGGCTGAGCTCGCGGAACAGGTTCTGGTTCGAGACGTTGAAGCGCAACAGCGTGCCGATTACGGTGAGCGCGTCCTGGACGACGATGCCACCCTCGATGCCGTTCTCCGAGTGAATGATGTCGAGCGTCTTCTCGAACGCTCCCGAGAATGCAACGATCTTCTGGAGGTCCGAGTTACCCTGCAACAGCGCCGGGAGGAGGAGCAGGCCCTCATTGCGAAGCATCTCACCCGCACCGCCTCCCATCGTGCCCGTACCGACACTCGCACTCGGGTCCAGCACCGTGAGAACACCATCGACTCCCGGTGGGGGTGCAGACAGGACATACGACTGGGCATGCGCTGGGCGGGCCGTCAGGAGCTGCGATAGGAGCTGGATCGCATAGAATCGTGGGAAGAATGCAGGTGCCGATGACAGCAGCCCGAGTATGGCATGGAAGGGTTCAGGTTCCTGGTGGTCAGCTGAGGAGTGACTACTTGATAGCTCACCTCGAGGAGCTGGTCGATGTGCTTCAGCCCGACGTCGTCTTTCGCCGGCTTCTCTTGCGTCTCGCACAGCTGCATGAGAGTCTCGAGTACGGCCTTGGCGATGTCAACGTCGTGGGGGGCGTCATGTCGGAGAACAGCAATCAGTGACGGCATGGCCGCAGTTCCGACGTCAGCCTTCCAGTCTCGACTGAGGCCCTTGAGACCCAGGACAGCCGTTCGTCGGTCATCGACCTGCGGCGACGTTTGGATCTTCTCAACAAGCTTGGTGATCGTGTCATTGGCGGTTTGCGGGGCAGCGCTGAGCTCACCGCGCAGCTGAGTGACTGCCGATGAGAGTCGCGTGCCAAAGAATGACATGGTGGTGCTGGCGGCCCTGCGACGGAGGTGATTGCGAAGTCAACAGCACGTCGCCTCGAGTGGCCGTAATCTCGAGATCCACGATCGTCACCGGGGTGACCGGGCGCGGGGCGCGGGACGATCAGCACGGATGCAGATTACGGTCGACGCGTGGTTTCCAAATGGTTCTCACGTGCGTTTGGCTCCGCATGTGGCACTCTGCACGATCTGGCCAGCCAAGACACCGGCGCTCACCGGGACTCACCGGACGACAATGGGCTTGACGCACAGACAATAGCGGTCTCTCTCAATCGCTTCGTTCGCCATTGTCCTTACCTCCAGCTCCGACTGGCTCCATCCAAGCCAACATGTCTCGCTCCATTCCCCACTCTGACCTATTGCAGATGCGTCTCAACATGAGGCAGCCCGCCGCCAGCCGGATCCGCCCTGGGCACAGACCCCATCGACAGCGTATGGCTCTGTCCACACCTTCCCGGCGCCGCCATCTTAGCACCAGGGAGAGTAACACCCGGTCGACGTAACCGCATCACACAAATACTCACCACCAGCAGTGATGTGTTTGACCTCATACTAACCTTATTGTCCCATGGAGAAGCATGCTGCGCAACGAGGGTCAGCCCACCATTGACGACAATACGGCTCTCGACGTCCGGACTGCTTTCCTCCATCGCTCTCGTCCCCAGTCCCATCCAAACAATCGCAGATCAATCGCCCACTGCAGAAGAATACATTAAGTCTGTCACACATTCGTCTCTCATCGACATCGCACACGCCATCACTCTCTATCGACCATACGCCCACACGCCCATACGCCACCACCGCCGCCTCCGCCTCTTGCTACCGCAGGCTGCAGAACCACCCTCTGCCCCTGTGCGTGTCATCGCTGTCTCATCTCTTGATAAGAGAAGAGAATAGAGTATGACAGGGATACTTGTTCCACCACCGCCTCTTCCACCTGTGCAGGAAGACCTTCCTCAAGACATTGACTTCGACTTCCATATGGAGTTCAGTCTCGACCCCCTCCCTACCTTTGAGCGGGCAGCCCCCGCTCCTCTCGACTACCCCGAGTCGGAGCATGAAGTGGACTCTCTGGGCCTCTCCAGGACCTCACAAGCCTCTCTCTACTCGCAGTACAGCAGCCGAGCATCGCTTCCGTCCGTTCCAGCTTCGCGCGAGGATCCGCAGTCCACTGCATTCTGGGGCAACTTTGGGGTCTCCTCCGTCAATCTGGATCAAGATCTTTCGGACATGACGGCCCCTCTGAATATCGTGAAGCGTGAGCGAGCGCTATCTGAACACAGGCTGTCCGATCGTCGCGGTGGAGACCGCTCGGGTGAGCTCAGTGCTGCTAGCCTTCCGAATGCGACTAACCACCCTTCAGCGATCTACGAGACGGAATTATCCATCCCTGACATCTTCCTCGACCCTGGCATCTCCCCGGCTGAACCTAGTCCCGTTAGTCAACGCACCATCGCTCGGAAATCTGTCGTTCCTTCACACTGTGTATCTGTTCCGCATTCCCCTACCACCAGTGCGGGCGACCATGGCTACCCCAACGAGATCCCCGATTACTACAGAGGAGGAAGGAAGATCAGTCTTCAGTTCCGCGATTCCGTCCCACCAGTGCCTAGTCGTGACTCTTCGCCAGGCGAAGAAGAGAACGCACTGTTGAAGTACCCTCCATTCCCTGAGGATGCAGATCCGCACTCTGGCGACGAGCTGTTGTCGCCCACGGAATGGGGCGTTGAGCCACCAGAGATGCGGCGTGACTCTGGGCACTCCTCTGACGGTGGAATGGTACCTGCGACTCCCAAGTTGGCCGCCGCGCGTTCGCCGCCTGCGAGACCTCCACGACCGCCGCCAAATCTTTGCCCGCCCGTGAACGGGCTCCCTCTTCCCCACCTTCCTGAGGAGCAAAGCCGACGCGACGACAACCTAAACTCAGGCTTAGCCGGGTCTCAGAAGCGAGATCTTCTGTCACCAAGCGTGTCGCCACCGCCGCCCTCAGAACGCGTGGACGTCCGGCGCCATAGCGGATACTCAGCTCGCGACTCGGGCTCTGATTTTAGCTATCGGTACAAGGCCACTTCCCCTGCCGGCAGCGGCGGATACGATGACGTGGACAGCGAGACGGGGAGCAAATGGCGGCCAAGCAAAGAACTGGGGAGCACGCAGCGGCAGCGTGACCCAACGCTTCCTCCCTCACCGACCAAGTCACTGGCACCGCCAGCCGTAAGGAAGCTGAAGCCGCGCAGCCCACTCGCAAAGGACGGGCAGGAAGAAGATGAAACGTGCCTCTTCTCCGACACGGACGAAGACGATGACTTTGGCCCGGGACTGCGGTCCCGTGCGCGCTCCGCCGCCTCCAGTGCCAGGAGGCGCTCGTCTATGCCTGAGTCGCCCGTGCCATTCGACATCCCGTCGAAAGCCGCCTCCATCCTCGGTCTTGGTGATAGCGCACCAGAAAGCGGAAAGAAGAAGAAGAGCGGTGGCATTCTCGGTGACATCGGAAGCAAGCGTCTGCTCTCGCGGCGGCGCACTGCTGGCTCTTCCTCTGCCTCCACCCTACGAGGCCACATGCGGAAACTTAGCGAGTTTGACCCCATCGGCTTCGTCAAGGGCGATACCCGCGAGGCCCACATCGATCGCAACGGCGACCTTTGGGTCAACGTTAGTGCCGAGGCGAAGAAGCGCCCCGAGTCCACGCGCACGACACGCACCCGGTCGGATTCCGACAAAGGTCTTCCGGCGCTGCCGCAGACGCCTAACGAGGTCGATGTCGCGGAGCAGGTCGAGCTGTATCACGCGGTCAAGTCTCGCGCGCTGCCCCCGACACCCGAGTCACCGAACTCTGCAAGACCCCGCACCACGACTCCGAGCGGTCGCACCACCCCCATCGCGGCGACGACCAAGCGTGCCCGCCCTGGGTCGATGTTCCTGAGCCGAAGCGCATCGCAGAGCCTGCGCCGCACCGGCTCGCAAGCGTCGAGCATCAAGGCTGCGAGCGTCGCCGTCCCACCGCCGATCAGGGAAAGCCCTCCTCGCGCTCCGCCTCGCGGCCCGTTGCCGCCGCCCCCTCATAGTCCACCTGGCAGTCCGCGCCAGGTCACCAGCCCAATCCCGGGCAGCGCAGGCCACAAGCGCTCCGCCTCTAGCAGCTCCGGCGCCACGAGCCTGGCCCATGTCAAGCCAACTCGAGACACGTTGATCCCCTACTTCCCTCCTGAGGAGCAGCTGATCCGATATGTGTCGCCTTCTCGCCCGCTGTCACACGCACAGGGTCGACGCACGCGCGCTCTGGCACGTACGCCCTCGCAGAGCCAGACAATGTACGAGGGCTCACGCGCCCCGCAGCACGGTATCTCTGATTCGATGCGTGACGAGCTCATCGCCGCGCTGCAGCACGGCAACCTGACGCCGGAGCAGAGTGCGCTCCTCGAGGCAACATTTGCGGCGCTGTTCAGTCGCCCGCCGGCGCCTCGCCCCAGTGCACCTGAGCCCGGACGCCAGCGCCCGGACGAAATGGTATTCCCCGCCCCTCCGCCTCGCACCTCTGGTGAGCTTCTGCGACCCGAGAACGCTCTGCCTGACGTGGACACGGAGGAAGATGAGCCACCGCGCCCGGCGTCGGTGCCTCCCCCGCGACCTCCAAGGCGGAGCGTGAGGCGCCACTCGCGCAGCATGAACCGCCTCAATGTGCCCTTGGAGACGCACTCGGATGAGTCGGGGCTCGAGAGCGCGCGCGACGACCGCAGCGAGATCGATCCTGCTCCTGCCTCCGCTGCGGCTGTCCAGAGTGAAGTGTCCGAGTGGGAGCCCGATACACCAGCGACGAAGACGCGTTTCCCGGACTTCATGAAACGGCTCAACAAGAAGGATCAGGTGTAGGTCCACTCGGACCTGGCTCCCTGAAACGCCGTCGCTTCTCCTGACGACGGCACTCCGAAACGAACAATGCCAAAGATGTTATCATACCACCACGTTACCATACCAACATCTTACCAGCAACCAAGCTAATGCCCCTCTCGGTTGTCCCCTTTCCCTCCAGGGTTTCCGGTCTTTTCTACCGTCTCTGTAGTTTGCCATGTCTCTAACGCCTTTTCATGTATTGTTGTGCTTTCACCAGAAGCTCTGGATCTCCCAGATCGACACCGCCGTTTGAACAGGACGGACAGGCGCAGAGCACCGTTTCAGAACCCAGGCGGACCAATCACTTTTGGTTCGCCGGCGGCGCCGGAAGCGGTCTCTGGAGAGCGTCCCAACTTTTACAACAGATCAACCTGCAACAGATCAACCTGCAGCAGATCACCCCCATCGGCCCCAGCTCTGGTCCTCAACGGTGTGGCGTTCTGCTCCTCGTGCTTCACAAATCCATGACTCCCCGTGGGACATGACTTCACCAACGCCAGCAGCGCCATTGTTCTACTAAGCAATGCCGTCACGCTGATGAAGATGCGGCGCCACAAAGGCCCCGCACTCGTTCGGCTGCACCCAACCGAACATACCCAAGGCGAGCCGAGGCCGGACGCCACAGCACGCTGCATGTTTCAGTTTCAGATCGATTCGAGAAAGTCGCGACTCGCGACGCAGGAAACTCAGATGTCATCGGGATGCATCGAACGCTTCTTCTCGTGCTATTTTTGCTACTCGTACTTATTATGTTGTGTTTATGCGTACACTTACACGTACACGTACAGAACGGGGTCGGGACGCTTAGAAGATGGCCTTCTGGAACGTCTTGCCGGCCTGGACGAAGAGCGACAGGCAGCCGCCCATGCCCGCGAGCCAGGCGACCGAGCGCGCGATGCCGGAGGCGTCTGCGGTTAGCTACCACATTTCCGAGAGGGAAGCTGGGTAAAAAGTGCCCGGACTCACTGGTCGTGCCGAAGATGTAGAGCATGTTGAAAGCGATGCGGGAACCAATGTAGAGCGCAGCAACGTTGTTGAGGGTCTTGTTGGGGAGCTTGGCGAGGTTACCGGCGACGATGGCAGCAGCGAAGAAGGGGAGCGAAACAAAGCCGTTGTCGTTGGCAGCCTCAGCGCGCTGGAAGCGGTCCTGGTCCTTGGGGGTGAGCTGGCACTCGGAGACGAACTCGCGAGTCTTCCTGGGCATCTGTTGGTCAGCTCTGATAACTTTCCAGCTAAAGTCGCGCATGCTGCCTTCCATGCATCATCGGCCGCTCGTTCAACGGCTGATAGGCTTTGCTCGCCCGATCAAGCCGACCGTGCTCATGCAAAACCATCCGGGGCACATCGGAACGGCAGGAATCGTGACGTCTGCCTGACCGAATGACCGAGGACGTCCCATCCGTCGGTGGACGGAAGTAGATGCGGCCGTTGAACCCGGTGACGCTTCCCACGCGAGCATGATGCAACGTCGGAGCAAGTTTCGAACACTGTGCAGCTCGAAAAAAGTGGGACTCACAGAGAGGTTGAAGCCCTTGCCGCCGGGGGCGCGGCGGTTGTTCACGAGCATGATCGCGAACAGGTGCGGCGCGAAGCTGTCCGTTAGCATGGTCCAGAGTCACGGTAAAGGGCGGAAAGTGGCTCAGGGACATGCGCGGCTCGGCAAAGCGGAAAGCTGAGGAAGGCAAACGCATCATTGACGTTCCGCTGGCTCTCTGCACGATCACTCGAGGACCGGGGGTCGCGAGCTGCGCAGGCTGGGCAGCAAGCAAGCTCATTGAAGCGTCGCCATAGCTCCGGCAGCGCCAAGATCCGCAATTGCAGTTGCATTCCTCCCACTGTAGATTGTGAGATCGCCACCGTACTTACGCGCTGAGGAAGGCGGCGGGAACCGCGTAGAACGAGTAGTTCTCGACGACGTGAAGGCCGAGCTGGTGCTCAAGGGTGCCGGGCATTGTTGCTAGTATTTGGTGGGATGTAGATGGGTCAGAAGAACAAGTGTTGATAGCTGAAGAAGTGGTCGGAGCGTTGTTTGTGTCCGTTTATAAGGGGGTTGCCAGGCTGACAGTCTGTCAGGTGAGATACGGAGACATCCTCGGACACCCGGGATCGCAGAGTGCAAGAGCATCCAGTGACATCGTCTGGAGGCTCGGCCCTGACGTCATTCATGTTTACATGACCGTTGCAGGGGGTGGACAGGGCTCGGTCAAGCCATTGTCACGTGACTCTTCCCTCATGCGACTCTCGCGTGGAAGCCAGGGCCACCGTTTTTTTCGCCGAATCGCCGGAATCTTGGCTCTCCCCTCCGCTCGAGATTTCGAAGTCCACCAGCACCCGATCGGCAGACGAACTCGACTTCGGCGCCGGTCTCGACGGACACACCCACCACACTCACTCCTAGACAAACAAAATGTCGGCCCTCGCGTCCTCTTCGCGCGCCCGCGTCGCCGCTCCGACACTCCGTGCCGTCCGTGGCATGGCCGGCCTCAACCCGCACACCGCCCAGTCGACCGATGCGCGTATCGACATCATCCGTAACTACCTTTACCCGCCCGACAGCGTTGAGCCGCGCAACACGTCCCCGATCGGTGCCCGTCGCTACGAGTTTGAGGAGCGTCTCCGTGCTGTGATCCCCAGCAACGAGGCGCACGAGACGATCGAGCGCGCGTGGCAGCTGTTCAAGCGCGAGAAGCGCGAGAAGCGCCAGCGCGCCATTGCGGCCAAGTACCGCGCCATGGAGGATGCGTGCAACGAGCTCGACGCTCTCTCCGGTGGTGTCCAGGGCAAGGGCGAGATCTCCCGCAAGATCTACACCCGTGCCATGCAGCGCATGAACCACGGTCCCGCTGCCTACCAGGCTGCCCTCCAGGGCATTGAGCAGGGCAAGAAGAAGACGGCCGAGAGCCGCTTCCTCGAGGCCCGCGTCGACGGTCTCGTTCCCCGTGAGGCTTGGGTCCCCGTTGACAGCAGGGGGAAGGGATGGAACTACGAGTGGACCAGGCCGCTTAACGTTCAGCAATAAACCCCAGACCAGTGAGTAGTTTGCTTAGCTCTGCTCCATTCGCTAACAGCAGATTTCCTCCCCCTCCTCTAGCATCGCAACGCAACGAATCTAGCAACTTTTGGTAGCATATGCATTGATAACCATTCTCTAGGCTCTTGGCTTTTGGGTTGTGTTGTTGGGTATTGCGAGGTGCCGGGTATACTGTGGCTGTGTACAAACAAACGATCACGCCTCCGTCTTGGGCTCGACGTCCATGCCGCCATTCTGGCTCTGTCCCTGCTGGTGCTCTCCGTTGACGCCGTTGCCCTGTTCGCCTTCCTGCTCCGCGCCCTCGACGGGCAGCGGCTGGTGTCGCCGCTCAGGCAGCGGGACGTTGGGGAACGCCTCGCCAACAGCGCCCTCGAGTTGCCGTCTGAAGCTCTGTCTTGTTAGCTAGAACAGGCGAAACCGCTAGCTCCAACTCACCTCCAGACCAAGAACGCGTCCAAGGGCGTACTGGTTCTCGCCCGTAGCACGAGACAGCGCCGTCTTCGTGTACGTGTGCGGGTTTCTGTAGCGATCGATGAGGCTGTTGGTCAGCAATGACATGCCAATGGCGCGCCAAAGAAGCACTCACTCGACAACAAGTCGCGGCACGGAGTCCGTCACCTGCGGAGCCATGTTGGCGAGGTTGATGAAAGATTGGTTGACTTTGGCACTGTCGTTAGCTGATGAATGCCGTCGGCCAGCTCGCGGCAACTCACAGGTACTCGGGCACCTTATCCTCCATGCCCTGGTTAACCTCTCCAGCACACACCTCCATCTCGTACAGATCCTGCGCAAGCTTGAGCAGTTGGTTCTCGACCTCGTTGCGGACAGTACCCTGGTCGGTGTTCGGGCTCGGGGCGGGGGAAGGCAGCGACATGATGGAGAGGGAAGGTGGAGGTCGATATTCAGATTGACGTAGATGTAGAAGAAGATTAACAGTCCTTCGCGGTCGCTTCGCTCTAGCGGCCTTTCTTTCCAAGTCGGGCGTGTTCAGATTCGTCTATGGTCGGAGGCGATGTGTTAATGTGTTGCAGCGATGCGGGGTGAGGAAGGCGGATGCGTCGCTCGGTCGAGATGGACAGCAGAAGAACAACAGCAACTTCGTTGCGGGACCAGATACGGCATGCGGCGGCAGATGGCCCGGCGTACCTGGCAATGTCCGGTTGGCGTCATTTCGAGTTGCTCACAATCGGCTGAGCTAATCACCAACTCCACCATGGTCGAACCGATATCGGACCGCCTGCAGCGCCTCGACCTCTCGGACCCCAAGGCGTCGCTCGCCGAGGGCGCGGAGGGCACGCCCGGAACGCCCGGCACCCCGGCGAGCGGCAGCGGCTCAGTGACGCCGAGCGAGATCGATACGAGCGAGCTCAACTCGCGCTCAGTGTCTGGTGCGCCTACGCCTGCGCCAGCAGGAGCAGTGCCGGACGATGAGCTTGAGCGTTTCCGGCGGGAATGGAAGGAGGAGGTCGCTGCCAAGCGACCTGGTGCCGTCGACGTCGGGCCGGTCAAGTGGACGACTGCGCCGGCTGCGTCAGGAGATGCCGCCGACAAGGGCAAGGGCAAGGCGCTTGTCTCCTCTGTCGAGCCCGAGGCGCCAGCCCCGACGTCACCGGTCAAGCTCACGCGCGTGATCTCTCCGGAACAGGCCCGATCGCCTGAACGTCGTCCCGCGCCCGTCTCGCCGAAGAAGGTCACCGGCATCGGTCTTCCTGCCCGTTTGGTCGGGCAGGGTCTGGAGGCTACACCAGCACCGGCCTCAACGTCAGGGGCTAAGATCCCCTTCCGTGCTCCGCGGGTGCGGCGCAACCCCCTCGCCGCCGTGGAGGTGTACACGCAAGCGGTCGAGGCGGAGCAGCAGGGACGCCTGAACGACGCGCTGAAGCTGTACCGACAAGCGTTCAAGATGGACGACGGCGTCGACCGGGCATACCAGCGGGAAGCGCGAGCGCGAGCCGAAGTCGAGGCAAACACGGCCGCAGCGGCCGAAGAGGAGGGAGCGACGAGCGCGGACATTGTGGACCCCCGCGGACCGAGTGAGCGGGAATACCAGTTTACGAGACACATCCAGCTCGAGGCGGACTATGCCCGGCCGCTGGCGCCTACCTCGCGACTCACGGCGCTGATTGACAAGTACGCTCATGTCAAGGGAGTCAACCCCGCGACGGGGGAGGAGTGGGAGCACTCTCGTCTCGAGGAGTTTGCACCCCTCGACGCCGAGTTGCCGTTACCTATCGCCAACCTGCCGGCCGAGATCCTGGACCGCATCTTCCGACACCTGGACGTCGGCGCCGTTGAGCGCTTCGGGAGCACATGTTGGCGCGCGAGGCTCTTAACAGAGCACACGAGCCTGTGGCACCACCTCGTCAAGGCGGTGTACCGGCCGCCGATGCTGCGCGACGTCTCCGTCCCGCAGCTGATCCACAAGCACCGCGGCGAGTGGCGCTCCGTGTTCGTCGAGGAGGAGCGCCTGCGCATGGACGGCGTCTACATCGCCGTGTGCCACTACATCCGCCCCGGTGCGGGTGAGGAGTGGGTCGCGATTACGCATATGAGTGAGTTGAGCGGCGCTTCCCGAAACTGACAAGCAGTCACGTACCACCGCTTCCTCCGTTTCTACCCCAACGGCACCGTGCTGTCGTTCCTCACGACTGATCATCCGTCCGACGTCGTGCCGATGCTCAAGCCGAGTCTCCGCGCCAAGGGATTGCATATTGGCCGCTGGCGCCTGGTCCGCATGGATGAGGACGAGGATGAGCCGGAGACAGCGGCACCTTCCAGCCCTACGAAGGCGACGACCAACGGCCGTACGAGCCCCGTTAAACCCACTGGCCCAACCAAAACTACGCATAACCAGCCGCAGAAGAAGAGGAAGCATCCCAAGGTCGTCATCACCGAACTTCTCGAGCCCGGAGAGAACACGCCCAAGTATGAGTTCGAGATGGAACTCACCCTCAAGGAGACGCAGCGCGGCCGGTGGAACAAGCTCGACCTCGACCATTACGCCAGCATCAACCTCGCTACTGGGGAGGCGCTGGGCCTTAGCTTAAAGCATCAAAAGCCATTCTACTTTTCCAAGTGAGTTGGTGTGGCTGGACGGTTTAACTGACAAAAACAGGGTCCGATCATATCATCCTGCACTTTAACACCAGCACAACAGTATTCTTGCATATGCATCTTTCAGCATGGAACTATTGCACATGAGAGGCGAACTCGCTGCCACTCCTCAGTCGCGGACGTTTCGCGGGAGCGGCACGCGCTTGAGTATAGAAGACGTCTTCTTCTGGATCGTTAGCAAGGCTGACTCCTTTGGCGCCGCCATCACTATTGCGGGTAGCCCACGTTGGACACAGCCTCACCGGTTTCTTTACGGATTCGACGTTTTCGAGAATTGCTTTGCGGGCCGCGGCGCTGAGTGCGTTCTTCGAGCGCTTGGGAGGCTGCGACCCGTTCGGACTCTTGCTCTTGGTCTTGCGCCGCTTCCTTGCAGTTAGGTCGATCAGCTCCTCCCCGCTGCTGCTGCTGCTCGCTAACTCGTCGACCTCTTCCTCTGACTCGGTTGCCGGAGGGCAGTGCTTCCAGCGGCCCTTTCGGGCCGTGGCCTTCGCAGCAGGAGAGTGACAGTCTTCCTGTGAACTTGAAGGCGATGGCTGGCTGAGCTCCGCCTCCGGGTCCGATGGGTTCTTAGCGCGATCTGTGGCATGTCGTCGACGCTTCCATCAGTTCAATCTCTGCATTCATCTCTCACCAGCTCTTCTTCGGTTGGAAACATGTGACGGGGGACTCGAGGCTTGTACTCAAACGTAGTCGTCAGGCCTGCCTTCTCTTCGACTGTCTGTCAGCTTCGTATATGTATGCACGTACTCCCGGCAATGGCTATGATAGACTCGGTGGGAGAGCACAGCTTGACGTTGACAATCATTTCATTATCATCATCAGCCAGATCCTCCGTACTTATGTCAGCTATTCGTCAATCATGAAGCTCACTCAATGCGCCGCAGATCGACGAAACGATTGTGGTCGGATGTGACAAAGAGGATGCTGAATTGATACGAGTCCTTTGTCCGGTACCTCTTCTTGCTCTTCCGGCCACGCTTGCTTGCACTGGTCTTGGTCGTCTTCTTAGCTGCAGCGGTATTGTATACACCTCTGCACACAACAGTGACCCTTAGTCGCACGACGGGCCATCCGTCTTTCTCCTTACGGATTGCAGGATCTGGGTTCTTGCGCTCTTCACCATTATCCAGACTGAAGCATCAGCATTGTTGAGTGGTCACAGCCTCACCCTATCGTCAGATAGAATCTGGGCAGTTGCTTGGCTTGGCTCAGAACCTCGAACCCGAACGGCGTTTGACGATTGAGCCACATTTCTAGCCTGCTCGCATCTAGTGCAAGGAGCTTGTCCCAACCTGCCGGTTAGCTCCACCAAGACGAATGAGCTCACTTGTAATGCCATTCGCGTCCAGCACCGAGATAGACTTTGGGCCGATCTGATCGATCTGGCGAAAGATCGTCGCCGAGTCCTCCCAGGCCATTCCGTTCACTGTCCGCACCAACTCCAGCGCGGCCCGACTAGCTCCGCCGTACTCCTTCTCCGTCGCCACAAGCAGAATGGCTTTCGCAATGCGTGGCGCTGAGTTGTAGATCGCCATCTGTGTCTGCATGGGGGAGCCATTCTCTGCCTTTGTGGCAAACTTGTCCAAGCTTACGTTGCCGAAAATGATCTGCAGATGTAGAAAGACCTTGTCCGCGTAAGTCTTGACGCTTTCCCCGAGCCGGAAACGGATGTCATCGCTAACACGTAGCTTGTTCAGCATAGCCTTATCGCCTTGGCGGATACGGAGTGACGAGAATCTGGACCGAGTCAGGTATGTAAAGCTTTCGTTGCTTACTCTTCCGATCCGGCGAGGATCTCCAACAGCGACCTGAGGTCCGCATCGGGCTCCATGGTCATGATGTTGCACATCTGCGAGCTATCAGTAAGGCTTCGCCAGTCACTCACAGTGTCGTAGGAGACGAAGTTGTGAGCCATGATCTTGCCCATGGGTGTCAGGCGCAGGACTCTCCGTTGCGAGGCACCGGCATAGTCCTCGTCCTCTTCATTAGACACAAGATCTTGCGACTCCAGATTATCCAACGCTTTCTGACGGTCAATCCAGATAACAGCTGTGTCTCACCTCCACATACGACTCCAGTGTTTCATCCCAAGTCCGAGACCGGTCTCTGGCAACTTTGTTGACGTAGTGTTTCGGGTTCTGCTGGATGCGAATGTAGAGGAACGAGCTGAAATGAGCATCGTGCGCGCAATCGCCGCGAACATACCGTTTCAGCCAGTCTTGGGCCTCCCTCAACGACGTGATAGTCCCCAGCCCTATCTCGCTGTTGATGTCTGTCGTGTCAACTAACTGGACAGAGCTGATCATGGAGCTTACGCTCTGTGAGATTCTCGTGCAGGCAGCTTTCCAGCACCATGCGCGAGTCAAGCATTTGCTGGTACCTGGAAACCTGCGCTCGCTCGCACATGACAACGACCGTACCGGACGTGTCATACTGCGGTCGCCCTGCGCGGCCCATCATTTGCTGCGGTTAACCGGATGCTCCCGCTGGACGCTACTCACCTGGAGGTCGATGTCCGAGTATTCACGGAAACCTTGGCCGTTCCACATGGAGGTGCCCTTGATCACAACGAGGTGTGCTGGAAGGTTCACACCCACGGCCAGTGTTGACGTTGCCACGAGCAAGTGAAGCTTCGAGTTCTTGAACGCTTGCTCAATCTCACGGCGGTCCATATGGTCCAAGCCAGCGTGGTGAACAGCAACGCCGTGCTTCGTCAGGGCCTGGATGCTTTCGTCCTTCAAGTTGAGACGTTCACTGACGTCAGCTCGGCCGCTAGTGGAAACATACTTCTTCCGATGGTCCCAAGGCAGAGCTTGCCCAGAGTTGAGAGCGTCTTCAAACTGCTTTGCCATCTTGGTGGCAGTCGCCTGACATCCCTTCCGGGTGGCACAGAACACGAGGATAGGCCGCTGCTCCCCGTATCTCGTTAGGATAGGGAAGAGCTCCTTGTCCAGCCGAGAGTCGAAAGCGAACTTATTACCATTGCCGCAGTCGTAGCCGATGGTGATCTTCTTCAGGGGCACAGGCCGCATCTCTTCACCAAACTTGCGTCAGCAGAAACGCCCGATTTTAACCTTACCTTGAAAACGCGAGCTTTGGGCATATGAGCAACAGGGTTGTTGCTGTCTTGGTCTGAAGTGTGGGGAGCAATGGAGTTACCGATCCAGCGCGCAATGTCGTCGATGTTCGGCGCTGTGGCAGAGACCGCCACGAATCGGACGGCGTCGCCACGACTCTTGGTTCTTGAGACCACCACCTCCAATGTGGCACCGCGAGGTGCTTCATGAAGTGTGTGAACCTCGTCGATCATCACAAGTTGCAGTCGGTTCAGCATGCGGTTCATCGAGGTTCGACGGGTCACGGAATCCCACTTCTCCGGCTGCTAGTCAGTTCGGCCTGAGACATGACGAACCGTCGTCACCACCAGATCCACGGTGCGGACTCGATTGTAGAGGGCAGAGAAGTCTGTGTCGCCAGTGAACTCGAGACCTGATGGTGAGCTTCCTGCAGATGAGAACAGCACGAACAGCTGATGCCCATGGTGCCCAATCTGGAAGACCAATCGTTTGCTCGTTCGGAGCAGAGGGCTTTCGTCGGGGACATGTAGATTGCCAGTGGCCTATCAGAATGATGAGATGAGCGCATGCGAAGGAATGCTAGCTCGAACACCGTCGTCTTTCCGGATCCAGTCGGTGCTGTCCGTCAGGTATGACAGACTCTACGGATACCCACCAGATACAACGAGATTCTCATCAGAGCGGTAAGCAGCCTCAAAGACGGCGCTCTGCATCTTGTTGAAGTGCTCAAATGAGAACAGCCTCGCTTCTTCGGACGAATCTGCGATCAGCTTCAGCGCACTACCTGAGCTTACCCAGCTCGGAAATCGGAACAAGGCCGCTTCCAACTCTAGGCTTCGGCAGCTGGGTGGTCTGGCTTTGTTGCCCCTCGGCGAACGCCTTGTGGGGCGTCGGCGTCAGTACAGGAGGAGTCGCGGCGTTGAACCGCATCTGGAGTCCAGAACCAGGTCGTTTAGGGAACGTCACCGAGCTTGAGGTGTTGCTAAGCCGTGATGAGCTGCGCAGCTGACCAAGCTGTTGTGTTTGAGGTGGTTGAGAACTGGCGGGGAAGTACGGTGATCGAGTGATGGTTCGCTCGGGAGCCGGCTCCGCAGATTGCATCGGCGCAGAGAGTGAGTGCTGCTTTTGGGAAGACTTACTCTGTATCCGGTCGAGGTCGACTTCAGCCATAGCCGACTCGAACCACTGGTCATCCACCGCGTACTCGTCTTCGGACTCTGGCACCTGCTGGAGCTGGGGTGTGTCACCCTCATTCGCGGGTACCCGCTGGGCTGGCTCGAAGAACAGATAATCTGCAGCCGTCGAGTCTTCAATGGGCGGCGACGGGATCTGGGACTGAGATGCCGACTCGGAGAACAGGCTATGTCTTGTGCCATAGCCATCGAGGGCGTTCGGAGACTCATGAAGGTGATGCTCAAACCGTCCGATGTTGGACGACAGCTGATGCACGGGAGTGGCGGGGATTTGTAGGGGTTGAGATGAGAAGTCGGCGAAAGTGATTAGCCCATTCGCATTGCGGTCATGATCGGGGTCGTAGAAGTTGATCTGACGGCGAGAAGGGGGAGAGCTGGACAGAGGTGGTGTGAGGTGAGTGGAAGGGAGGAAGGGGTCATCGAGTCCGCGTCGCTGGGTGGTTGGTCGCGAGATGTCGTGTACAACGCGGGGCCGGAGTGGTGTCGTCAAACCACTGTTTCCCAACAAAGGGCTGCTGAACTTTGATGGGTCGGAGCGGAGATCTGCGAAGCTTCTAGGTGCTGGGCCTTGACGACTCGCAGGCCGGTCGCCGCCGTTGCGTAGGCGCTGAATGAGATCCTCGCTGAGGCCCATGGTGTGGCAAGTTTGGGCACAGCGGGTCAACAGAGATGGATCGTTGGATGTGAGGTAAGCGAAAAAGAGTTAGAAAAGGTCAGGTGGAGAGATGAGTGAAAGTAGGAATTTAGGTATCCACAGCAGTTGGTAGCGTGGCGAACGGCGAGGAAGACACGGCGATGGCCGGAGGAAGACACGTCGAAGGTGAGGAGGGAAGACACCAAGACGTCAACATTGCAGTGAGCAGTCCAGTCAACCTCCGCGTGTGATGGACCCTCGCTTGCCCGCAGCCAGTTTCAGCTACGCGCCGATCATTCCACGGGACTTCTTCATCTAATGCATCGACCTCAAGTGCGATATTTACTGGGGAGTGACCTCGAAGACAATCTGCTGGTTAGCCTACGCCTCGGCGACCTCCAATACTCACCTTGCCCGAGTTCTTGTTGTCCTGCATCTCCTTCTGAGCTTTCTGAACCTCGTTCCAGGGGAATACCTCGTGGACGGCGATGACCATCTTCCCGTCCAAGATCTTGGGGAGCGCATTCTTCTCGAACTGGCCGAGAAGGTTGGACTGGTACTCGAGGTCGCGGGAGCGGAGGGTCGAGCCCTTGAGTGTGAGGCGCTTGTAGAGGACGGGGCCGAAGTTGGCCTTGTCGAAGACAGGTCCGGAGAGGAAGGCGAGGTAAACGACGGTACCGTCGCGGTTCAGCGCCTCAATGTTCTGGTTGAAGTAGTTCTTGCCAACAAAGTCGATAACGAGGTCGACGCCAGCGTTGTCCTCCTTGATAACCTCAGCGAAGTTCTGCGTGCGGTAGTTGATGGCCTTGAAGCGCTTGTCGCCCTTGGCGATCTCATCGTTCAGGAACTTGACCTTCTCGTTGGTACCGCAAGTCGCGTAGACCTTGGTGGCCTCGCCAACGTCGACTGTATTTATCAGACTAGGCGGCTGTGCACTGTGACTCACGAGCAAGCTGGATAGCAGCGACTCCGACACCAGAGGCGCCGGCGTGAACGAGGACGTTGGCGCCCTTCTTCATGTTGCCCTCGAGGAAAACGGCCTGGTAGGCTGTCGACGTCAGCACTAGTCCTCCACGCCCGTTGCTCACCGGTGAGCCAGTTCTCGGGGATAGCCGCAGCCTGAACCCAAGAGAGGTTGTCAGGCTTGGGGAGACACATGCGCTCGTTGGCACAGATGTACTGGGCGTAGGCGCCCTAGTCGTCAGCTCGAGCGGACCGAGAGTGCTTACGCCATAGGTGAGACCGAAGACGGCGTCGCCGACCTTATACTTGGTGGCCTTGTCTCCGACCTTGGTAACGGTTCCAGAGAACTCGACACCAAGAATAGTCTTTGAAGCCTGAGGGGGGAGAGGGTACCTGCCCTCGCGCTGGACAATGTCCATGCGGTTAAGACCGAAAGCCTGCCTACGTCAGCACACAGAGGTCGCTTCACCGTTGTCCGTTGTTCGTGTCAGTAAGTCTCACCTTGATCTCAACCTGGATCTCGCCCTCCTTGGGCTGAGGAACGGGCTCCTCGCCCATGTAGAGGTTCTCAACAGGGCCCTTTCCATCCTTGATCAGGATACACTTCATGTTTCCGTCAGCCATGATGCGCGGTGTGGAGGAGAAAGTTCGTTGGGGCTGAGTAAAGGCGCGGGTAGCGAGCGCAGCAGAGACAGGAGTGTAACGAGTAGCTTGGGGAGCGATGCGGGTGCGAGCAACGGTGCGTGCAGTGGTGCTGACGAGTGCTCTGACAGACATTGTATGCGTGAAAGTTGATGCACAGCGACATCGCTGTATCTTGGTTTATCCCGGTCGCCCTCCACCTATGACGGAATCCTGGGGACTATTCCGAGAAGACGGCAGAGCGGCGGAGAGAAAGCCGAACTCCGATTATACCATCTTCGAAGCCGCGTATAGAACGGCTGGTCGCGAGCTCTTCGCGTGAGGTGTGTCTGCCACCGTGTTATCCGCCGAGAAGATTCATGCCGAAGGTCGTGAAGAAGGCAGATTACCGGTGAGGATCACGACCACGAGCTGTTCTTGGGGTGCTTTGGACTTCGTGGGGCATGAAAAACCCGCCGTTATGAGAGCAAAGAGCCAGGACGAGAAAGAGCAACATTGGTCACTGGACCAAGAAACCCAGGAGTAACGTGAAGCCAAGAGTATGCAGTCGTCCGTCACCCGATCACGAGACCGATACGCTGTATGTGGAATGTGTGGCGCTCCGTGATAGCGAGATCGCGAGATCCATGTGCCGCTTCCAAGTTCGCTAGAGCAGACCTAACGTGTTCGTGCGACAGCTGGACCGATTCATGACGCAGCATGTGGGCCGAACAGCATGGGAGTATGCATGTCGTGTCTGTGCGTTCTTGGCCCCTTGATCTCTTTGGGCGTGTTGGGCGCATTTGGACAGCATGAAAATTCTGCACGTACCGACCGGGTATCCGGCTGGTACCGATGCGACAGGTGAGGGGGAGGGTGGCCGGCATGGGTTGCATGATGAGCGGAGGGTGGGGAGGTCTTTGGTTGGTGACTGAATTGTCGTGAAGATCCGGAGAAGCATGATCGTTACTCGGCCAAGAGTAACGAGAGCTTGGCGACTGGCGAATCGCATTGTGCATCGCCTACCCGGTGATGGACCTCACCCTCACCCGATGCCGGATGTCGCAGACCTGGGCAGCCTGTTCGGCCCGTGCGAGGGGGTGTCGGCGGTGACAGGACGGGGTACGGGGATGTAAGGAAAACGCCCTCGGCGCGCGGGGCCCTCGCGACTCTCCACTTTGGCCCGCGGGCCGCGAGGTGGCCAGCTGACATCTGAGAACTGGCTCGCGCACGAGCAAAGGAATGCGGCGCACCGAAACATCGAATCGACGTGCGTTGTAATGAGCCAATATGTCAGCATCGCCGACTGCGCCGTCGAGTGATCGGTGACAGGTGCGACAGACTCTGGTCACCCTGGCTGCCTTGCATGCATGCCTGCCCGAGCATGTCGAACAGGCCGAGTTGTGTGGCATCGTCAGCGTGCATACGCTCTTCTGCACCCATGGCAGCACGGAAACGCTGGCACATCGGCACCGACAGTTTTTGATCACCGTTCTTACCCGTGCCCCGTGAGTGCCCTGGAAGATTGCTGAACTAGCGCCCAGAACGCAGAACTTGCGCCCAGCGGAACCGAGCTCTGGGAGCGACACACAGCACTCATGGATCTCGCCCCCAGCTCGAGTGCTGCACAAGATGGTCCGTCGATAGCGATCACCGCAGCACCCAGCATACTAGCTCGAATCATACCAAGACAAGAGTCCAAGACATCGCAAGCCACTGTGTGGTGCCTGGACTGCAGCCGCGGGGGCGCTGGGCGTGGGCCGTCCATTTGATCCATTCAATCTCGGTGTGTTGGAATGCATTCAGTAGTGCGGCGACCTTCAGACGACACCGGCCAAGATGGCCAGCCCACGGCTATTTACTTTGTGCTCGCCGGACCGCGGCGCACGGCGCTGAGAGCACAGAGCCAGCGCAACGAAGAATTTTCAGTTGTTGAGAACATTGCACTGTATGACAAAGGACGCCAGGCCCGCAAGGACCGGCCCAGGTACTAGGAAATAAAGTGAAGAAGCTTCTGCGCGTCCTTGCAGAAAGAGGGCAAAGAGACAAGGCGGACGAGGGTGTCTGCGACAGGCACGACAGTCTAGCGGCAGAAGCGGCAAAAGCAGCAAGTACGGCCCGTGGCCACCACTGGACCCTGACTTCTGGGGATGCGCCCGGAGTTCCTGACAGCCTGGGCATGCTGGGCAGCCTGGGTGTCCTAGGCTAGGGCGAACACGACCTGTCCCTGTGTGCGTGTGTGTGCGGGCCTAGGGACCTGGGGTCTACCATGGCCTGGGACTTCTAGGTTTGGCACGCGTTGCGGATTGTCATGGATCGAAATGGGAAAGCAGGAAGCAGCCTAGTGCCGGTCTCGTACCGGTCCGGTCGGCACCAGCGTGTCAGCCCGCAGCCTCTGCAGCCTGCCTGCCAGCGCATCAGCGTCCGAATCGCAAGCCCATGTCTGCCCTGCCTGGTGAGGCTGCCCATGGCTCTTCGCTCAACCGCTTGGCCATCTTCGCCAGCGCCCAGCTGCGCCCAGATGCGCAACGAAGCTGGGCTCTGGGTCTAACGTAATGTCGGACGCAGGGAGGGGAGCACAAGGGACGCAGATTCATCTCTGGCACATGTCCTCCTGCGATCCTGCATTGGCCCGCTCATCACTCAAAGAGTGGGTCACCGTCACCGGCGCCCCCGCTCTCCGCGACGCTGACGGCTCGCCCGCCCGTATTCGGTCACTTGCACCTGTGTCACGAAAAAAAAAATCTTTGCGAGTCGGTCCATAGGTCGAGGTGCCCTCCGCTTCCCGACTAGAGGGCAGGCCGCAGTATACAGGTACAGACTATGAACGCAGGATCCCAAGGCTGCAGACAGACAGGGGCGGACAGGGCAAAGATTGCTGGTCGAGGATTGGGTGGCGTCCTGGGGAGATGGGGGAAGGGCGTTGAGCTTTGCGCTAGCTGGCAGAGGAAGACCAACGCCATAGCTTTGAGCCTTCGAGCCACTGCCCTATGAGCCTTTCCTTTGAGCCAAGCCGTTCTCGTCACTACCCCGCCTTGCCCGCGAGCCAGCGAACTCGGCTTCCACCCACCTCAGGCCAAGCCCAATGCAGCATCAAACATACATCGGCCCCTGCATGCATGCATCTCGCATCTTTCTTCCTCATCATTATCCTCTTGCACACTAACGCAAGCTGCCCCTCCGCACAGCCAAGTACCGTGCACCGCGTTGAGACGATTCGACTGCGTGCCAGACACTACTTGCTCTAGTTCCGCCACCGTGCGCTCGTCTGTCTCCGCTTATAACACACGGCCCAATTTCGCCTTTGCCCTTCCCTCCCGCTCTCATCTACCAACACCCCTTCCCTACTCCTCCCACTTCCTTTCACTCTTTTGCTTCCTCACATTCTATCCTCTGTAACGCTTCAACATGGCTCCCCGCAAGCACCACGAGTTTGCTTCCTGGGAGGTCGATGCCGACAAGCCCAAGCCTGAGGGCGAGACGCGTGCTCGTCGCTCATACTGCACCAAGGAGCTCGTTCTCAGTGAGTCACTTTCGACTGCGACATGTGTTTCTGCCATCTTGCAACAATCGCGACCAGGGGGAGGCACCTCATTGCCTTGCGCTGAGCTGCGATGATTGATGGCTGCTCGGTGACACGTTGGCGCGCAACACACGTCATCAGCGGCGCAGACTCGACGTCCAGACGCAGTGGTGAATCGCGGATTGATCGCTGATGCACGCAGGGCCCGAGAACGGCATCGACACCGTCCACGACATCATGCTCTACTCCGCTCGCACGCACGGTTCCAAGAAGGCCCTTGGTAACCGTGACATCGTCGACACGATCAACGAGGAGAAGGAGATCACCAGGATGGTGAACGGCAAGGAGGAGAAGGCCACGAAGAAGTGGCAATACTTCAAGCTGTCGCCCCTGTCGTGGATCTCGTACGAGGAGGCTCTCGAGGATACCCGCAACATTGGTAGCGGTCTCCGACACTTCGGTCTCGGTGGCGAGAACGAGACGTTCTTCAACGTCTATGCTCAGACCTCGTGAGTTGGCCCATTCCCCACTGCGCCCAACCGGGCTTGGCGCCGTGGGGACCCAAGTCACGCGCCCAGACACCTTCCGCTAACCGCACTAGCCGTAACTGGATGCTCTCTGCCCAGGCTGCCGCCTTCAACGCCGTCCCCATCTGCACGGCCTACGACTCGCTCGGCCCCGAGGGTCTTCGCCACTCCCTCAACGAGACTGAGGTGCGCTTCATGTTCACCAATGCCGAGCTCCTCCCTACTCTCGCCAAGGTCCTGCCCGGCGCCCAGACTGTCAAGTTTGTGATGTACGATGGCAAGGCCGACCCCGCCATGATTGAGAAGATCCAGTCGATCCGCGAGGGCCTCCAGGTCGTGCACATTGACGACGTCCGCGCCGCCGGTAAGGCTCACCCTGCCGAGGCCATCCCCGCCAAGCGCGAGGACGTCTACTGCTGCATGTACACTTCTGGCTCGAGTAAGTCAACATGCTTGTGCCTTGGCTGACGAGAACAGCTGGTACTCCCAAGGGTGTTCTTCTGACTCACGGAAATATCGTCTCCGCTGTCGGTGCCATCTGGCTCCTGCTTTATGAGTTCCTCACCCCTGACGATGTCTACCTCGCTTTCCTTCCCCTCGCGCACATTCTCGAGTTCGTCGTCGAGATGTCGTTCTTCTTCTGTGGTCTTCCCATCGCCTACGGTCGTGTGAAGACCCTCACCGACGCCAACGTCCGTGACTCTAAGTCGGACATCATGGAGGCTCGTCCTGTGAGTAGAATCCGTGGGACTGCGCGGTTCCAAGCTAACGCTGCAGTCCATCATGGTTGGTGTTCCCCAGGTCTGGGAGATTATCCGCAAGGGTATCATGAGCAAGGTCGACGCTGCTGGTGGCCTGAAGAAGAGCATCTTCAACCTCGCCTTCAAGGCCAAGTCTGCCGCCCAGCACTACTCGCTCCCTCTCCTTGGTGGCATCTCTGACGCCATCGTCTTCAACGGTGTCAAGGCCCAGACCGGTGGCCGCCTCAAGATCATGTTCTCTGGCGGTGGTCCCGTTTCGCGCTCTACCCAGCAGTTCCTTACGACTGCCCTCGTTATCATGATCCAGGGCTACGGTCTTACTGAGGGTACCGCCATGGCCTGTATTCTTCACCCCGACTGGATGCAGTTCGGCTCTGTTGGTGGACCTACTCCCGCTGCCGAGGTCAAGCTTGTCGACACTCCCGAGGCCGGCTACTTCTCGACCAACGACCCCCCTCAGGGTGAGATCTACCTCCGTGGTCCTTCGATCTTCAAGGGCTACTACAAGCGCCCTGACCTTGACGAGGAGGCCTTCACCAAGGACGGCTGGTTCAAGACTGGTGACATCGGACAGTGGAACAAGGACGGCACTCTCTCGATCATTGACCGTATCAAGAACCTCGTCAAGCTCTCTGGTGGCGAGTACATCGCCCTCGAGCACCTTGAGTCTGTCTACAAGTCTGTTCCCTTCGTCGCGAACGGCGCAGTTATTGCCTCGCCGGACCACTCGAAGCCCGCCATGGTCGTCATGGCCCACCCCCAGAACCTGCCCGCGTTCTGCAAGAAGAACAACATCGGTAACGGCGCCGACCTTGAGACCTTGGTTAAGGACCCGAAGGTCATCAGCGCGTGCCTTCGCGAGCTCAACGAGACCGGCAAGAAGCAGGGCCTCAAGGGCATGGAGCTCCTCGAGGCCGTTGTCCTCACCGCCGACGAGTGGACCCCCGAGTCTGGCTTCCTCACTGCCGCCCAGAAGCTGCAGCGTAAGACGATCGAGCGTCACTACCACGACGACATCGACAAGGTCTACAAGCTCTAAGTCTGCTAGCCTTTCGTTTGCGCCAAATCATTAGTTTGAAGGTCTCTGGATCCGGCTCGGCTCTTCTCACTTCCCTTCCCTCATCGATAACCGACGATTAAATATATCCATCTAACCGCCCTCTCCATTAGTAGTTAAGTTCACTGTTCCCTCATTGACCCCTTCGTCTGAGGTCCTTCCTCCGTATCTGATGGCATGTAACCTTACGAATCGCGAGGTGCGGAGTTGTTGTTGTTGTCGTGACTAACCGGATAGGTTGAGAGACCGGTGCCCCAGAGTTGTTGTTGTGGGGGTGTTGGAGCAGATCTAGAGCATAGCGCGGCGTCGTCCGCCTATATGGATGACGTCGGCGGCGATGCGGGGTGTGTGCATGCATTCCACACACCACCGCGCCCATTCCTCGCTTTGATCTCGGGCATCAGTCGCAATCTCGGGCACCTAACACTGCGTTCCAGGCTCACGACTCCCCATCGGCCATGTCGCTGTCGCTCGATCAGTCTGACTCTGAGTGTTGCTCCTCCAGTCACATCCACGCCTCAACTCATCGATCCGCTCATGTCTCATTTCAGTGCATCACAAATCTATGGAAGATCCCATACAGTCCAATCCAATCCAAAGCGAAAAGCGCAGCCCTACGTCCTACGTCATTCATATCCTAGATTCTAAGTCCTTTACTCGTGGTTCATCCGCTGGGCGCGGGCCATGAGCGCGGCCGCGAGATCCATCTGTCCGCCGGCCGCCTGGGGCTGCGCAACCTTACCCGGACCCGAGGACTGTTGCGCGGGCGCCTTGAACGCGCCGGGCACGGCAGGCTTGCCCCCGCCACCGCCGGAGGGGGGCGTGGGCGCGGCGGGTTTCGGCTTGCTGCCCGGCTTGGGGGGGATGACGGGCTTGGGCTTGTTGATGGCGGGCGGGGGGC